TTGAGCTTGGGATAAAACTATTGAGAAACCCCATTTTTGGGACAAACCCCGGGTTTCTGCGGAAACCCATGTGAAAGTGATGAAGTGACTTCTAAGCCGCCGAACTCTGCTCCGAAAAATGGGGTTTCTCAATAGTTTTATCCATATCCTAAAGCTTGTAATATTTTGGTAGTTATGCGCCTCTTCAAAATTTCGTTGTTCCCTCAATGCGACCGCCGACAATGGCCCACTGGCCGAGTTTTCGAGAGTACGCATCGCCGCCGCCAGTATCTTGACTACTCAGCTGCTTTTTTCTCCAAAACTCACCATTTATTAAGTACCAGAGATAGACTTAACTATCCAACAATTTCAGACCATTACACCTCTGCATAAGTACTGGCCTATTTCTTTGACATGACCTAAGTCCTCCGAGCAGCGGAGATGCGATGGGGTTTCTCCGAAAAATGGGGTTTCTCAATACATAGTTTTATCCGTGAGCTTGAGCGCTGATGATCGATGATCGTCGGCAAAGCTCGAACGGGTACTATGCGCGTATTCAAGCTCTCGGATTGGGTATTCATTCCGCTCACCGTCCGATGGAGGTTGGATGGAGGGCTCGGCGCTGGAGTTTCCTCGGGGATTTGGGAGACGAGGTGCGGCCGCAGGCCAAGTATGGTGAATGCGCCTTCGCTCCCTCGGCGCTTATCCGTGGCGTACGCCTAGTCTAGAGAGCCTCGTGTTCTCCTTGCTATCCTCGCGGCCAGAGTGCGCCTTCGGTGTCCCAGGAAGCTCAGGAATGGTTTACCAAGACTGCCGAATAAAGTCCTGACAGAATTGGGCCTCCTTCAGGTAAAGGATCTACTACAGCCAACGGAAGGATTTTCATTTCCTGACTTCTAAACCGTTCGTTCTGTATCCCTAGAACTCCTCGAATACCTCGAAGATATTACAAATTAAAACACTATCCTATCACGGTCCATTATTATCACTCTGAAACCGACCCTCCCAGTCTAAATTATCCAACCCAATCGTCTCGTCCGGCGTTACGAGCACGTCTACCTTCCAATCGTGTGCGCCAGTCGGTACTGGGCCAGCTATCCGTTCCCTTTCCCTTTCCATCTCTCTTTTTCTCCCTTCCCCTTCCCCCTCTCCCTCTCCTCCTTCCCCCTCCTTATCTGCATCTCCTTTATCTCCGTCGAGCTCTAAGAGCTGCTCGCGCAGGCCTAAGCCGACTATACACGCGCCGTCGGCGAGAGGGCAGAAAGGGGTCGGGGTTGAGGTGGGTGCAGTACGAACAAAATCCAAGCCCAAGGAAATTGGGGTCAAGTTAACGTTAAGATCGTAAACGCGTAAGTGGCAAGGCGCCAGAAGCACACCAACGCAACGGCAAAACCCAAGGTGCACGCGGTAGGTTTACGGGAGGACCGAGGAGAAGGTTCGATGGTGGTGCCATGAGGTGGATACAATCCGCAAAACAGCCCAACAGACAATTTGACGATGCCGTCGGCCGCGTCCGCCGACGTTGAGTGGCGTTTGTTCACCGTTTACATATGCGAAGAGAAAAAAAAGCGGCAGCAGTGGCCATGATCGTGTCGGCACAGCGCGCCGCCACGACAGGAAACCGGGCGAAAGATGTAGCGGACAGCGCGCGAGATGTCGGCGTCGGGGTTTGGTTCGCGCAACGCGCCGTTGTCGATGAGGAGATGCACAGATGAGAGGTTGGAGGGTTGTGAGGTTGATAAAAATAGGAGTTGGCAGGCCGTAATGAACGTGAGAGGTGAGTAAGGTGTTGGGCGTGGTCGAGGATGGCGGTGAACGGTGATAGCGGGTTTCGCGAAAGCCATTGGTATTGGTGCATGTGGGTAACGTCAACGTTAGCGGCAGTTTCGACGGCGTGTGCGATCGGATGACGGCACGCACACGCGTCCGTTAGGCATTGGCCACGGGGGATTGACGTGGGTATGAGCGGAGACGCAAGGAGGTAGGGGATTTCGGATTACATGATCGAGGAAAGGAAGGAAGGAAGAGAAGAGGGGAAGGATGTCAGCGAGTGTGCATAAAGACAATGGAGACGAGTAAAGGAAGAGGAAGGAAATAAAGGGAAAGAAGGAAACCGGCCAATGAATGAGAAAGAAGGAATAACCAAAAAGAAATGGTTTGGAGGAGAAGAGACTTTACACAGATGTATGGAAGAAAGACGCACCGAGCAAAGGCTTTCTTCGACCAGAGGCGACGTACGACGTGATGAATCGATCATAATACCCTTTTCCGTGCCCCAGTCGTGAAAGGCTACGGTCGAAGGCTACACCTGTGAGTAGAAGAAGAGGGATATCAAAAGCAGAACGTGCAGACAAGATCTCCCGAAATACCACCCAAAGGCATTTGCAGAAGAAGCACATACCAGGTACGAGTATAACATCCAGCTCCCCCTTCGTCCCAGATACTGCACAAACCACCATCATTAAACAACTATCCGATATCGAAAACATAAATTAAAACCACTCACCCCTCCCCCTCTTCAGATTCTGCGCATCCCACATCTCGCCCGGCTCCCTAATGCCCCAGGTCCCGCTCGGGAGGTCCTCCAAGTCCGCCTGGTCGTACACGCGCAGAAAGTCCATCCGGCCGTCCTTCGCAGAGGCGATCTTGGGGACGTAGAGGTTCTTTCCTGTTCATCACAACATCATCAGTTTATATGCGATTTAAACTCAAGCTTTCCTCCTCCGAAGGAAGATAAACGCACCGGCTTCCAGAAGGGTTTCGACGAGAGGCCCGGTACGTGCCTCGGCGGAGGGCATGCTGAGGTAGCAGCTTATGGATGTGCAGGGTGCGAGGAAGGGCAGGGCGAGGACGCGCGCTGTTATCGCTCGTGCTGGAGGGGGGGTCGATTAGTATAGGGCATTGCCAGACAGATGCGTATGGATCGTTGGAGGAGGATGAAGATGTGGGGGCATATGTAGTAGAAATGAATCAGGAAGGTTGGGCGCGTCGCGAGGTTGGATCAAGAGAATGGTAAGAATGGTAGAGATCGGACGCGTCGCAGGGTGAGATCGGAGGCTCCATCGTGAAAGTCAGACGCGTCAAGACAACAGGATCTGGAGGCACAGTCAGGATCGGACGCGTCGAACGCGTCGCGAGCAACACCAACGGCATCGTGGGTCGATGAGAACGAGGCCGAGGTGCAGATCGGAGGAAAGGCGGCGCAAAGGCAGGACAAGACCTTCTCGTACTTTCTCATCCCTTCTCACCCCTCCAACCCAACCAAAACCCAACCCAACCAACCCAACCAAAAACTACCCCACCCCTCACCCCAAAAACCACAAGAAACACCAAACCAAAACACAAAAGAAAACCACCAAACCAAAAAACCACAACCCCACTCACATTGCTCCTCCAAGCTCCTCTCCTCCACCCCCGCCAGGCGCGCCGCGACCGCGCGCCTCAGGGCCCTTTTCTGCGCTTGGAGGGTCGTGGAGGCGCTCGCGGCGGCGAGGGCGGCGAAGGAGGGCGAGGGCGAGGTCATTGGCATGTGCTCGAATTCGAATATGTTGGGAGGTTGAGGTTGAGGTTGAGGTTGAGGTTTTATGACTTGAGTGGAATTGAAGATTGAAGTAGTATGGGGGGGTGAGGGGGGTGAGGAAAGATCAGGTGAGGCCTGGTTGGGCGGGTTAGGCCTGGTTGGGGGTTATGTTTGCGGTTCGGTTGGAGTTTGTGGGGGGTGAGGAGAAGGGTTGGGATAGAGGGGTTGTGGCGCAGGGCTTGGAGGCGTTGAGGGTCGCGTCGGACTGGCGGGTAAGACGGTTGTGGCGCCAGATGCGTGGGCAGGGGCCGGGTGTTCTGTCGTCGTCGCTGTCGTCGTCGTTGTCACTGACTCTCACTATCATCGACCGGTCCGAGAACGTCCGAGCCACCTCCGTTCTTTCCTTTATCAATATTTTGAAAGTACGGCTCGACTGCCCCTCTATTGAGCTTTCTCCTGTCAGAGTGATACTTATTCAGGGCGAACCGATTGCACCCAGCGCCAATGCCCATTCACCTACAATACTTTACTTTACATATCTGCACCCAGCACTAGCTATAGTCTGCACTCGCGCCTCCTGTCCCAACTCGAGGGTCTCGGTCTTCCGTCGGAACTTTAAACGCTGTATGCGCGAAATGGGGATGTCTTGCGAGAGCGAGAGGAAAGATAACTACGAGAGATAATCGATACCCACTGCTGTGCTGGCTGTCCGACGTCCAGCCTCCGTCGACGGTCGCTGTGCCGTTGCCCGTCGCTCGTCTCCCGTTGCCTCCATTGAAGTCTCGTGGCGTAGTCGTGGCGTGTCACACCGTTGCTCGACTCTCGACTAGCTTGACGCTCGGGCGCCTTCATGTAAGTCAAAGCACAATACCGTACAGCTTCAGGGTCTCCGGGGATTTACCGTTCCCGTCGTTCTATAGCTACACGAGCAAGACTGGGAGCAAGGAGTCTGACTTAGACCCATCTCGTCAGATCCCACTTCTTACGATATGTACACAGGCGCGAAGCTGCTTACCTCTAGGAGCCTCCGGGCAGCCTTCTTTCCTCCTTCTTACATATTGTATTACTCGAGCCCAACTTCCAAGCGAGCGCTCGACAAATCCAACAGAAAACGTCGGAAACGTCAAAAAAAAAACTTGTGCGCACATCTCTCCACGTTGGTCGTTGGTGGGCTTCGCGATGGTGGCGTCGTCGTGATAGCTTCCGGATGTCAATATGGGGATGGGGATCAAGGAGATCAGAGTTGAGGAGCAAGGAACTGAAGGAGCAAGGAACTGAAGGAGCAAGGAACTGAAGGAGCAAGGGATGGCATTGGATATGGCAAGGTCGGATACCGGCGACTCAAAACCGGTCCGCTGGTGTGATCCGTGTGTTGCTGTCGGTCGTCGAGTGCATTAGAGGTGAATTCTGAGGTCTATTTTACTCGAGGGGCTGCTACATAACCCCTCCCCTCTTCCGCGAATTCGAATTCGAGGGCATTGTGTGGCTTGCGTGCCGAGCCGACGCCTCCCGACCGAGTACATACACCCAACGACGTTACGATCCGACGATGCAATTGCAACCCCGGTGCCCCTATCTGCCCTCGAAGAAGGCGCAAGGTCCTGATAAATCGGCACCAACTGCGGTGAAAAGACGACTGGCTGGCGGACCGCGTCGCTTAGGGTGCTGGATAACGTGTGCTCGCGCTGACTCGGACGGTGGACCCCTGGTTACCTTGCGTCTGGGATCTGAGAAGGTGGGAGGTGGAAGGTCTTCTAAGACTTCGAAGAATCTGGCTCTGAATAGTTCCACGGTGGGAGGACGGCATCGGATGCCCCGAGTGTGTTCTCGGCGCCTGGATAAGGGAGGAGGCGCCCCGTTAGGCGTGTGTTTGCCATTTGGGCTATGTTTGGGTTTGTACGTGTTCGGGTCGGCGGACGGGGAACTGGAGAACTTGTGAACTAGACTGTGGGCTAAGGTTTGGGGTAGGTATTTAGTCTTCGAGGAGAGTGTCAAGAGAGGTCTAGAGCTGGGACTAGAGATATGGATAAGGACACGAGGCGAGCTGGAGAGATACATGTACAATTGGAGAGCCCTGGAAGGTGGGTGTATGTGTAATTGGGGAGAAGAAGCACGGAGGATTGTCATTTCTGGGTTGGAGGACGGTAGGGAGTGGCGTTGGGCCGGGGACAGTACGAAGGTTGCTGTTGCACCCGCTCGCGTATGTAGGCGACGGTGAGAGACGAGCGAGGCGGTTGGTAGCAACGCTCGGGACGGCGAGGGTTGCGACGAAATTGCAGAGAATTAACTGGAGGGAACGAGGGAGTGGGATTTGCGGTCGAAAATGACGTAATGTGTTTGTTGTGTTTGTTGGAATGTCAGGTGGGACGGATGTGCCTGGCTATCCACTCCTCCACCTCAATCCACCGCCACCACAGGCAACGGCAACCACCGCCGTCCTCAAAGCCCACAGCAGGGCCTCTGTGCGTCGATATCCACTGGTTAACCCCCACAGACACTGATAGCACCGACAAGCCCCCGAGCCAAGGACTATATTCACTTTGGTCCCGCGTGTCCAGATCTCACTTCCTGCATCTCAGCCCGCGTCCTGAAAACACCCAACCGCTCCCCCGCCACCCTTCCATCCCCCCGCCGCACCCCACAGNNNCCCCCACCCACACCCGCCCCCTGCTTCGCAGCCAAACCACCCCAGGCCACACGTTGCAGAAGCCCTTGCCCTGCGCCGAGTTCCTGTTCTCTGTCCAGCCGCCTCGACCCCAGACATGGACAATATCCACCATAACAGCCACCCCTTCCCACACATGTCGCCCACCTACTCGCGTCATCCCCACGGTCTGGACCTCCACACCTCCTCGTCCATGCCCCCGCCCACAGAAAGGCTATATGGCGACATCGACACGCCCCACGTCCCCCACATCCATACAGCCGCACGGAGCTACTCGACGAGCGTCCCTGCCTTTGCCCAGGACGAGTATGCGCCCCCGCCCTTGCTCACCGGCGCGCGATACGCCGATCCCGCGCCCCACCGTAGCGCGGGTAGCGTACACGCCCACGACCGCTCGCTCAACCCCTACCTCTACCCCTCCGACTACGATCCGTCGAGCGGCGGCGGCGACATGTATCACAACCAGCAACGATACCCCGAGCCTGTTTCCTCATACCCGCCCCCAACCCTCGATACCCACACCTCTGTCCGCATCAGCGCGCCCGTCGAGGCGCATATGATGCCCGATTCCGCGTCTCCCTCAGCGTCGACATCGACGTCCGTCCCAGAGTACCGCCAGCCGTCCATGCGCGCGTACCACCAGCCCCGGCAGCAATCGACCCCAGGCGCCTTCTACACCAGCCCGCAGGCGTACCACCAGCCGAGTGCGTACCCTGCAGCAAGGCGCACGTCGCTCATCGGCGAGCCGATCCAGTCCTCGAGGCGCTACTCCCAGTCGATGACGTACGAGGCGCCGAGTGCCGACGCAGCGAGCATGAGCGGCAGTAGCGGCAGCGAAAATCATACCCACCCCCATAATCATACCCACCCCAACACCAGCACGAATACCCCCAGCACCACAGGACAGTATCACACGCACGCGGCATCCTCCATTCCCATGAGTAACACCCCCCACCAACACCAAAACTATGCGTCGGCACACCAGCAACAGCAACAGCACAGTCAGCATCACGGTCAACAGCAGCATCTACGGCAAAGTCAGCAGCACCAGCACCAGCAGCAATCGCACTTACAGCATCACCAACAGCATTCGCATTCACAGTCCCACCACCCCTCGTCCTACTACGGCAACACCGAAAGCAGCAGGAGCAGCAGTCGCCAGCCGGATGACGATGGCCCCTACAGCCTCACAAGCCATTCGCGTCATCCCGACATCCACCACCCCCACTCAACCCCGACCTACGCACACCAAGCCCAAACCCAAACGCATCACCAATATCCCCAGGCCTTCCGCCCGCGCTCATCCACGACCGGTTCCTCGACGTCCACATCTACCGTCGGTCCTGGACTCGGTAACAGCGGGCCGGTATATGCCTCCAACGCCAACGCCGCGTCCTCCTCCACGTCCACGAGCGGTATGGGTATGGGCTTTGCGGGAGCGGGTGGAGCAGGGCCGAGTGGCCGACCCCTGCTCGCGCGCGAGAGCCCCACCGCGTCGGACGAGGACGGTGAGGTTGAGAGCGGGAGTGGTACCGGCGCGCGCGAGTTTGGGAACGAGTTTGGCGGTGAGTATGGGTACGCCCACCAGGGTTCGACAGCCCTTTCGACGTCAGCGACAGGGACAGGGTTCGAAGGCGAGCTTGAGGGGGGCAGCGGCGGCGAGCGGTGGCCTGGCTCGGGCTCGGGCTCGTCTGCGGGTTCGGTTTCGGGTGCGGGTATGGGTGTAGGTGTGAGTACGGCTGCGACGGGCAGCGGAGAGAGGTGGCGAGGCGGGAGCAGCGAGCGTGGGCGGGGCGTAGGGGACCTTCGAGGTGGCGTAGGCGGTCATCGAGGTGGTGGTGCAGGAGGAGGCAGGGAGAGGAGCGAGGACGGCAGCGAGGGCGGGCGGAGCGCCGGCGCGCATTCAGGCTCGGGCTCGGGTTTGGGCTCGGGAACGCCCCCTGCAGGAACGCCGCCTACGCCGTCTCATCCTCCTGCTGTACACGTCCATGCGTATGCGTATGCAGCGCATGCTCAGGTTCACCCGTACTCCCACTCCCACACCCATGCTCAGACCCAAGGCCAGGGTGCAGGGGTCGTCCACCCACCCCCGCCTGCGCCGCACCAACAACATCAGCAACACCAGCACCGCCAGCCCCAACAGCACCATCACGGCGAGAAGCGGAAAGCGGGCGTCGCGGTGGACGACCTCGCTGGAGAGGTTGCGAGTGCAAGGATGGGCGGCACGGGGCCTGCCCTCACGCTTGGTGGGCCGTCCGGACTTGGTAGTTCTGCTGGTCTGCCCGGGTCTTCTGGTCTGCCGGGCTCCTCTGGCGCGGGTTTCGGAGGGATAGGAAGTGCGGCTGGTGCGGGTGCAAGTGGGATGAACGGTGGTGCAAGCGGTGGTGGAGGGCCAGGTAGAGGTGGTGGTGGTGGTGGTATTGGGGCAGGAGCAGGGCAGGGCAGGAGGCGCAGGAGCCCCCTTCGACACGGGGCCGGTGCTGAAGAAGAAGAAAAAGTCCAAGATGCACGAGTGTGAGGTTTGCGGGAAGAAGTTTCCTAGGTGTGTTCCTTTTCCTTCTTGTCCTGTTGACTTCTTGTCCTGTTCTCTCTCTCCTTTTCCCTTTGATGGGTTTTTTGGTGGATGGAATTTTGTTTTCCCCTTTCCCCTTTCCTTCTAATTCCCTTGCGCGTCCCACGGACGAGGGGCGACCGGGGCTCGGCCATCGTCTCGGTGCAAGCTGCGCGTGGAGAGCTCAAAAAGGCTAAATAAATATCGACGCGACGCGTTTGTTCGAGTGGGCCGTGGGCCGTGGCGCGTCGATTCGATTCGATCATTGCTTGATCCATCCATTTTCGTCTTTTGAAATGATCGCTGGACGCTGCTGCACTTTCGCGTCTGGCTGCCATTTTCTCTTGCGTGCTGTGCGACGCGTGCTGCATTTAGGCATTTTGGGTGTTGGTTATTCCGTTCCGACGCGCGTCGCATGCGTTTCCTTCTTTCTCCCTTTCTCTCTCCGCCCTGCCCTGCCTAACGCTCAAGCTGCGCGTTCTGCACGATCGTAACTGCAAGGGGTGCGTGCGGAGATGCGATGCGGCAGGAGGCGCTGATCCTGCCCCGCTGATCGGCTCAAAGGGCGAAGGCGAAGGGAAGGAGTAATTGCGCAACTCTAATTTCATTCGAGGTCGTCGATCCTCCTTGATGATGCAGATGAATGATCATCGATCCTCCCTCTCCTTGATGTCATTATTACATTACGCACCGGTGGTTCTGCCGCCGGCGTTCGCTCCTTCCTCCTGCCCTTTTTACTCCGTCTGTTCCTTTTCCTCTCCGGGTCATTGTTCGCGTTCGTTATTCGTTTCTCGTTTCTCGTTTCTCATTCATTAATCCCCCTCTACGCCGATCCACCCGGCGTTTAACCCCCTCGGTCATGACCCATGCCCGCCGAACGATGATGAGCGGAATGCTAACACACGCATTTGCACCTGCAGGCCGAGCGGACTCAAGACGCATATGAACACGCACAATAATGAGAAACGTACGTCGTTTATACTTTGTTGTCTGTTGGGTGTATGCATGGTTCTTACTAAACATGGTGCTTTTTCCTTTTTTCCCTCCTGCTTCTTACTTCCTATGTCCTGTTGCTTTCCTTTTTGCGTCTCGTTTGGACCCTGCTCCCGCCTGCTGCTGCCTGTGCGTTGGGTAACTTGAATTCTTGCCGGAACGTCAATCATGAATCGCGCGTGCGCCACGCTCGCTTGGGTAATCGTTATGCTAACTGTAACGTGAACACGGAACGCGGAACGCGTCAATACTTGGATGGGATCGTCGTCGGATGATCGTCGCTGTTCGCAAAACGCGTACACACACGAACACGCGACTGTCGCGATGAATTTAACCCTTTTTCTGCTCGCCTGGAAACGTCGCGACTTTTTTACTCAACATCTGTCTGTCTGTCTGTGTTCGACGCCAACCGTACCACACTTCTCACTCACTGCCAACTCTAAAACTCAAAATCCAACCTTTGAAAAATCACACTGGAATTCGTCCCCACGCCCACGCCCATCCCCATCCCCGTCACAATGCCGACGTCAACATCTACATCTACACCGTCTCCTTCGCCTACGCCACCGTCAACACCAACAGCCTATCCGTGCGGGTTCCCAGGCTGCACACGCACGTTCGGGGTACGGTCCAACGCGAAGCGGCATCTGCGGACGCACGGCGTCTTGCCCTCGTCCGTCCAAGAGTCGACCGGGACACCATACGTCGTCGGCTTCAGCACGCCCATGGTCCTACCCTCGCCCGGGCTCTCGCTCGCAGCTGTCGGTGCCGACGGGCTCCCCTCCGACTTCGAGGGCCTCTCCTCCGCCGAGGGTATCGAGGGCGCGGGTATGGGGTATGGCATGGGCGAAGGTTCAGGTGCCCAAGGGGCGATGGGGCCAAGGGTGGTACCCGGCCCGAGGCAGGCAGCGTTCAAGTTGCGCTGGATGCCCCCGAGCTTGACGTCGAGGACGAACGCGGCTGCGCTGAGAGAGGTCGTTGAGGCGGGTGGGCAGCTGCCGCATGAGCCGAATCGGGGGCCGAAGAAGGTCAAGACGGCGCCTCCAGGTGCGGCAGCGCAGAGGAAGGCGGAGAAAGCGAAGGCCAGTGCTAGGCAGGCCTCCTCGTCGGTGGTGGCTGCGTCTGATGCCCCTGGAGGAGGTGCGGTCGAGGAACAGGGAGGGGAATTGGGTATGGATGTGGATATGGGGGGTAAACAACCTGAGATGGAAGAGGAAGGCGAGGAAGGCGAGGACACGGATTCTATCGCAGTCAGCCGCCTAACTGTGCCGCTGCCCCCTGTCGTGCCTACCACGTCGAGCTCTCTGTCGAGCTCTTTGTCCACCCCTGCCTCGGCACCTGTCTCCTCCTCTGCCACGATGTCCGTCCCGACGCCAGCCTCTGCCTACCCATCCTCGTCGTCGCTGTCCTCCATGTCCGGCTCTGGCACCTTCACCTCGATCTCGCCCTCGTCGTCTGCGACGTCCTTCTCTACCCCACCGCTGAGTGCCTCGTCGACGTCGTCGCCGTACATCGCACAAGGTTCGAGCACCATGTCAAAGCTGACTAGTGGTATTGGTATGGGTCCTGGAATCGGTGGTATGGGTGTAAACTTGGACTTTGGTTTGGAGGAAGAGCGTAATTCGTTCGCGCCTGCGGGGTCGCATCCCTATCACCCTTCTCAGGTGAGTTTCTTTCTTTTCCTTTCTGTCTCTCTTCCCTTTTTCTCTCCGTCCATTTCCTCTCCTAATCTTCCCTCCAACCCTTCGGACCCTCTGTGAAGTGCATGGTGACAACGGCTCACCTTCCCTTCTCGTGTTTCCTAGTGCTACCCCTCCGAATCTACCCGCAGAGTAAACTGAATGCTCACGCTATTGCATTGATTTAGTTCTGCGGGCTGCCTGGCCCCGCGGTTGTTGCGGGCTCAGTGCCGACGACAGCTTATCAGTTGGTTGCGTGAAAAGAGGGAAAGGGGAGAACGTGTGAGTTGTCGCTGTTCTCTACTCGGACATTTCAGAAAAAGGACATTGCGTCGTCGTCAATGCCGCATCTTCGTGCAACCTGCATCTTTGCTGTGTTGTGCTGTACACATTCATTCATTATGGACTCGGACTCGTTGGACGTTTTTATGGTCGATTTTTTATTCTGCTCTCTTTTGGGTTTTTTATCTGCCTTGTGGTTCTGGGGACGTTTGCTGGCCCTATATCATACATATATCATCATCATCTGCGTCTTGCTTGTGTTGCACACTGCGTACGGCACATTACCACCACCTTTCTTTTGCTTTATATTCTGACCGTGACTACTGACGCATCTTCGTCGCATAACGTTCATTTATCGTCGTCCGCCGCTATTGTACTTTACATGCTGGGTCTGTCGTGCTGCTACTCCCTGATGTATCTATATGTTTATCTCAAAAATGAATCGTTCTGCCGGGTTGTTCCTCTTTTCTCGATAGCGTTGGACTTGGACACGAAAGGAGGAACGGGCATCCGGGCCGCCAGTTCCGCCCCACGCCGGAGTTTCCCAACAACCAGCACAACCGCTGTCTCCACCGGCTTCCAGGAAGATGCCTGTATGGCAGAAACTCCATCCTCTCTCCTCCTAGATAACACACCCAGGTCACCTACCGCTCCACACCGCTGGCCACCAGAGCCAGAAGACACCCGAAGTCGCGCGTCAGAGTTCTACGGATTCGTAGCATGGACGTCGACGTACCTTCTGTTCGTGCTTTATGTCCTTTGGGTGGTTCTGCCAGACGAGTGGATTGTCTGGACGGGCGTAACGTGGTATCCTAATAGGTACGTTTGATTGTTGTGCTTTCCTCGTGTGCCAGATATACGTGGATTTGTTGGCTGACACCTGGCATGCACCGACAGGGAATGGGCCATCCTGATACCGTCCTGGACCGTCGTGCTTGTGATTTTGACCTACATCGCATACTCTGGCCTTGCTATCCGCGCGACGCCTGCATTCGACGAGATGAGTGCTATTACAGGTGTGTCTTTTTCCTGGTCGTCTTTCTTCGCTGAAGGCTCATTTCAACACGTTGATGATCCATAGACTCTCGCGCTGCCCTACCTTCCAGTGAAGACCGCGACAGAAACCACAACCCCTACCTCGAGTCCGTCAAACCAAACGCGATACCCGAGCTGTACGATATTCCGATTGGGATGGTCAACAGCGTGCTGTACCACGAAGCACTGGAACGAGCTGCCCTGAAAGCGCGAGCAAGGAGACAAGCACAAGGCCAAAGCTCGCAAACTTGACGCACGAATCATGAGCTGTCCAACGGCTCGATTGCTCCAAGTTGAGTCGGAACTCGCTGACAGAATACTGAATGGATCACACCTGCACCCTGGTCACCGTCTGTTGACGCCCTTCGACAATCCTCGAATTTTGAGGAGCAGACGTGTCCCAATATTGACCGTGCCTTAGGCAATGTCGGAAGTGGCAGCGATGCCACCGGAACAAGCATGGCGATGTAACAAAGTCCGGAAGGGAAGGGTTCAGGCGGACGCTTCAGAGCAGGGGGACTCAGTCTCAGTATAACAACCAGCCAGCACCCATCCGAAGACCGATACTCTCTTTCCTATCTCCCAACATCATAAGTTCATCTCAGATTCAGGTCCGCGTCGCCCTGGTCATATGCGATGAAGTCCCCTTCCTACTCCTACGTTAGCAAGTTTCCCGTCAGCCTGTCGTCAAATTACGATGTATCGGTGAAGGTCAGGTAGATGGTCCTGGGAATGGGTCGGATGGTTTGGAAGGGTCTTGACAGGGGTGAAAGAGATGGTGGCGTTGCTTCGACGTGGTTGGGTGCGCCCTTTATACGCCATGAGGTAGAGCAGAATGCCCCGCAGGCTTCTGTGATAGAAAGTAATTAACAATGCACCGGGGAGTTCTGTTTCGCTGATAGCATCGAGTACACATCGACATCAGCGTCCATCTGTGCCCCATCCACCACGTTTAAACGAGGTTCCTGACTTATTTCCGACATTGATGTGCAAAGTGTGTTGATACTAGTCGCAAGTCAATAAAATGGCCAAGCGCGTAAGTCGCCGAAGTCTATTCATGGACACCATAGGTCTTGTGAACTTGGATTACCTGCAGCCTCCGAGAGGCATAAGACTGCGTCAGCCTGAGGCAAAGGCTAAGGCGGACCTCCGACATCAATACCATATTTGTCGAGAAGACGTCTCAGCCTTCCACTATGCGCACGAAACAGGCTGACCCTGATAGTACTCGATTTATCCTGGGCAACATATTGGCAACATATTATGTTCACGCAGCATACCATGACCAGTCAACTATGGCGCATGACGTTGGGTTGACTTCAGTGTATAATACAATGTACTTGCTTATCTCTCTCGACCTACGCAACTATATCCCTCGACATCTAAATGCAAAGTCTGACCACGAGGGCCCGTATGTAAGTCACACCAGATGCCTACATAAAATAACCCGCATCCATGTGCGGGTTTTTACACCTGACTGTCCCGCGCTGGAAATCCAGCTCAAGAGCCCCCATTTCACTTCACCACAGATCAGATAAAGGTCCCAAGGGGGTGGAATAAAAAGGAAATAATCTTGTCGATCTCGTCAACGCGAAGGACGAGAGACAAGACAAGAAGGAGGAAAGAGAAACTCACCAGCAGAAGACCAGGAGGCGACCAAGGGAGCAAAAGCAAGGTATTTAGAGTACAACGAATCGATATTATGTAGTGCAGAAAATGTCGGCGACGTTGCGTAGGGAGGCCTGACGATGAAAGCGAGAGAGAGAATGGCGCGAGCAATGCAGGGTGAAATTTGAGAGATAGTGAGCGTATGGGAAGAAAGAGGTTTTCAAAGAAATGGGGCTTATATATCTTGTCAAATCCCACATTTTTTCGCATGGGCACTAATCCCACGACTTATGAACGTCCATTTTTTGGGGGATGAACGTTTTCGGTAGGCGAAGAGACATCCAATCACGACCTGAGCTGCCTGTGGCCCTCTGTTTGCGTTAATAGTATTTCATATATGCGCTTAAAAACCCAATTTTATGGAATGAGGATGCGAGGGACGACCCTCTAATTGCTCTGCGGCTTTGGCGGCAGTTGTGCTGGAGCTGGCCATTTTTGGTAGCTTGATTTCCGAATTAGGACACAAGCAGCAGTCTGCTCAGCACCTCCCTATTCCATGCGACAGGAACGCATTCCAGGATTCCAGAAAGTGGGCCCGTACACGGGACCGTCTCGTCGTCATCTCATATGATGTTAATCTTTAACAAGAAATATGTACAATATGTGCTTAGCGACAGCAAGACAATGATAGCATTCATATTCTCCAAAGCATTCCAGATGGAAAGAAAGCTTAAAACGATAGCGTACTCCGTTGTCCAGTGTTACATAATATTCTTCCCTATACCTGGCGAGGAGATCAAAGCTCTCAAGAGCACCTGAACCCAAATCGATTGCCAACGCTTCGCAAAAGGGCGACAGACTCACCGAAACTGAGCCAACCTCATCCGACCCCTCGCAAGGATCTCATCGTCGTACCTCAACACCGGCGCAGCCGAGGCTGGACGTCTGGATCCACCTACACCCTGCCGCTCGTCGTCAGAGGCGGTGAGGTCAACAACCTCTTTCGTCTTTTGCGCTGTCATTGTCTCGAACACCAGTGTACTGCGCTTCGGTTTCACCCCCAATGACGGTGTGCCAGTTCCCGATCCGTTTGCGCCAATCTTCGACGGTGCGCTCTTCGGTGGTTTGTAGAATTCAGTCTGTGCCAGGTTATGTCGGCCGGCAGGGGTGACATTCGTCTCGTTGCGCCGAAGAGCCAAGGCTCGTGCTGCGCCAGACCCAGGTGTGAACAGTTTCTTCTTCGGAGAGGATCGCACACTTGCAGGCCTGGATGGTGGTCGGGAACTCGTCGGAGTGTTTGTGGATGAACCCGGCTTGGCCTTCATCGGGTTCTGTCCGCCCGTCGGACCAACAGGCTGCTTGGAAGGCAACGCCCACTTGTTCCGCCATCCATCCATAACTGCCTTCGTCCTCGCCAGTCCAGCCTCTCCGTCCTCCTCATCGAACCCGAAATCAAGTTCGTCGACGTCGATGACCACATTGATTGAATTATTGCAGGCAAGTTCGTTGACTGGTGTTTCGGGCGATGGGCTGGGAGGGGATACGGAGCCGGAGCCAAAACCAGAACCCAGCGAGTCCTCGTGGCGGATTCTCTTGACATCTGGGAGACCATCCAAGTCAGAAGTGCTGTCGTCATTCCCTAGCATGCTGCGCAAATCCGGTCCATGGAAAAGAGTTGGTGAAGGAACTTCATCAATGTCTGGGTATATGCTTTTTGTCGGTGTCGGTGTTGGGTCAACCAAAATACTACCACTTGCATGGTTGGCGTTCCCTTTTGTAGGCGTTCGATACGGTTGGTGTCGACGGGTCGTTCTTGTGGGCCGTTTGGTTGAAACCGGACTTGAGACTGGGTCTACACTAAGATCGTGGTCTTCATGATCGCTCAGGATCATACCCGTGGGCTCCATTTCCTCATCCTCGCCTCGCTCTAGTCGCCCTCCCGGTCGAGGAGGTGACGACAAGTCCGCTGCATCCCTCGAAGACGACCGCATTGGCGAGATGTACCCATCCTCCTGCTCGACGACATCAGGAAAGTCCTCCACACTAAGCTCCATAACAGCATCCGCATTGAAGTTAGCCTGAATCAAAAGCTCCGTTCCATCCAGCTCCGGTTCGGACGTCTCCGCTTCTGAAGTATCGTCGTCGTCCACCACGATGTATCTGTTCGCGTTCTCCTTGTCGTCGTCCTGGATTCGTGATGGACCGGCGAGAAATACGACACCCTCGCTGTGTCTGCGCTGTATGCTGGCTTCACGGGGAGAGTGTCTTGGAGAGAAGAATTTGGATTGGGTAGAACGTAGAGGCGAGGCACTTTTGCGCTTTTTCTTGCGTTCGATGTCTTGATCCATGACCTCAGCTAGTGTTCGTTTCCCGCTGGCCTTTCCTGTCATTCCGAGCTTGGGTGCACGAGTATGCACAGGTGAAGCTTGAGGATGTTTAGTACGAGGTGGAATAATTGGGTTAGGTCCTGGGGGTCGCAGATCAGAATAGGAGCAGTTGGAGGGGCGCAGAAATATCACGTACCGAAAAAGCTCATGATGCCCCCAGGCGCAGGAAGGCTTGCTCGCATCTTGCCCTTGCCTTTGTTAGACTTGGCTGGGCTGACAGGTGCCATTCCTAGAGGTTTGACGGTACGAGGAAGGAAGCTAGGGTTGATATCGTCCATCGGTAGGCGGGTTTCAGGATCTGCGTCCCCCAAAGCTATTTGCTTCGCCAACGTAGGTTCCATATCGCTATACGGGTCGTCAATGAAAGTGTCCATTCAAAAAGTCATGCAATGCAACTCACCCGCCAACATATGCGTCGAATTCGTCGCTCCAGTCTCCAGCAACATCGGTCCAATGTACAAGCCTCTCAGCGAGAGGACAGTAGACCCTCTGGTGCAAGAAACACTTCTCCGCAAGCTGGTACTGCTTCCAATACCCAATCGGCACCGCCTTCTTCCCCTCTAGACTCAGCGCCCTCACGACCTGCTCTGGGGTCTTCCATTTCCGCAGAAGCGAATTCGCGGTCTTCAACCCAACGCCAGGTATACTCGGGAGATAATCACACCCGCTCAGAATCGCCATCGCCCGAAACTGGACGTCGGACCAGCCGATGAGGGAGATGCTGGTGGGGTCGGCGGACGAGGCGGACACGGAGCCAAAGTCGGCGCGCGAGATGGAGACGACAGTGCTGGCGACGACGTCGAGCTTATAGAGGACGTTCTTGCAGCCGAAGACGAGGAGGTCGGAGTCTTCGGTGAGAATGGCATCAGCGAGGCCGACGCGCTCGAGGTATGCGAGTTGGGCGTCTGCTTCGTACGGCGCTACGACGTATTGGACGGACTCGGCGCGGAGGGCCTGTGGTGTGCCACCACTTTGAGTCTCTCATTCTTAGTGTAAGAAGAAAGGGTGACGCACTTTGATGAACTGAAACGCCATCTGCGGGGTAATGTCTACGCATTTGGTGTAGTATTCTCTAGCCTGCGAGTGCTTCCCTTGGGCGGCCAGCGCGTTCCCCCGAGCAAGGTTCTCATCGCGTTTCTGCTTCCGTTCTTTCTCTGTACCTTTCTTCGCTGGCAGAGGGCCACCGTCGAAGACAATGTAGGGCTCTATCCCATGGTGTTTTAAGAGCCGCACACGGTGCATCGCATAGTTCACATATCTGTTCACAGACTTAAGTCAGACCTGGTTCATAACTCGTGGCTTAAGCCACCACCAACTAAGAGCCGTCTGGACACCATCCCCTCCGCCTTCAACCCTTGCAAAATTATGAAAACTCACTTATGTGTCTTCTTCCCCGTCGCCAGCTCGGTGGCACATGAATACAGCCCCTTGTGCAGCCAAACATACGCGTCGACAGCAATCGTCTTGCCCTTGAATTCTGAGAGATGTCTGGTGACCTGTATCGACTTGAGAGCTGGCAAAAGTCCAGAAATACCCATACTCCAGGGGTATTACGATGGAAGATGAAGGAGAGTGGTCATCAGCAGGAAGTGTCAGAGGCGGGAGCCGAGGTCAATGGTGGCGGCCCTGGTCCGAACAGAGTTACAAAACAAACGCGCTCGTCACACAGAAGTCACGCGTCAGCGTTTACGTACGCGACGCGACGCTCCAAAAATATTTTTTTAGGATTCGAACGGTCTTCCCATTAGAGACATTCTACGAAAGTAGTCTTTGTTCAGACCAGCTGCCTATCCAATACCGACAATTGGCCTTACGCAGTGCCAAAGCCTCTGCGTCCAGACTGGGTACTTCAAGCTGACCCATCCATTTCATTTCTTCGCTGGGGACGGTAATCTCTTCAAAGACCAAGCCCGCCATCCGCCCTTTCTCCAAGAAATTGTCGCATACGTCTGTGTGAGTGTACTTGCCGGCCTAAAACACCGCCTTCAGCAGAACATGGCATTTAGTAACGACTGTCCACCAACCCCAACATAGACCTTTGCGCCACGTTTCATAGCCAGCAGAGCCTCAATCGATGAGACCAACACGTCATGTGAGGTGAGGAAATGCAATAGGTCAGACAAGATAACAACGTCATACGTCTTCGATAGTTGCCTATGTACAAGATCAAGCTCTGGTGTTTCTGATGAGGGCTGAGACTTACAGAAGACCAGAGTGGTCAGTTCCCCATTCATAGCCTCGACATTCAACCCTACATCCGTCGGCGACCGAACTACGATTTCTCTCCACGTTTTGCTTCAGGTTTCCTAGAATCCCTTCATCTGGATAGTCGGTCACAACGATAAGAGTTGGAGGGTTGGGTTGTGTGCTCAGCAACAAAGATGGTAAAGCGCTTCCAGCACCAAGCTCAATAACTGAAGACAAACGTATAGCAGGGCACCTAATTCCTGAAACGATCGTGGATGCTTACCTGTCGCCCCACCGAGATCCAGAAGCCCCCTCTCGATCCGCTCAGCCAGGAACAGTGCGGGGGAGAATAGATGATCTGCAAGGAGGGTATTGGCCTTGGGTTAGACTTAGAGGCGAGATTGGCTTCAGATATACAGATGCTGAGCGTACTTTGCCTTCCTAGCACCGCCAAGGGGTCGGTAGATCGTCGAGATCAAGGTGGAAGCTTTCAATTAAGAGGGATCCATACTTTCGGTGCGAGGGTCAGAACCAAAGGACCGTAACGAATGATGGTATCGTCGATTATGGGTTTGCCTCCGAGAAACTCGAGCGCTTCACTAAGGATGTCCTCGGTCTCGAAATCAACTGAGGCCATTGTCCTGCTTGGCGCACTGTCAGCACCACCGTCGATGACGAAGAAGAATGACTTAACGTACTCTCTGGCGGGGTTTGAGAAGAGGGGGAGTGGGAAAGGTCACCAGCAGTCACCAGCTCGACCTCGAGATCACCAAGCAAGCTTGGTACCCGCCTTCCAATCACACAAATCCAAGCAGGTGCATACACTTTCTATCCAATCGTTTCCCCGCATCAGCACTGTCCCCGACAAACGCTCAACTTTTTCTCCTTTATCACCTCAAATCCGACCATCGTCCAGGAAATCTTCGGCAAAAAGACTTGCTGCGGCATCCGATCCAGACCTCCATGCGTCCACCTCGGCCGTTTTCGTGATGCTTGTACGCCTTCAATTGGAGTTGCACTGTAGCCTGTTGTGGTTACCAAGACACCTTTTTTCGCCAATTATCTGATTACTCCATGAAAGGCATGGAAGCCTGCAATTAAATTGGTTACTACTCACTGACTGCGCACCGCGTCATAGGATGTCCGCTATCGGTCAGCAGGAGCCAGCAGGCCAACATAAACAGTCGGCTTCCCTCAACCATGATGACTTCCTGCGTCGCACACGTTGGAATTTGAACAGCACGGTACGGCGAGCCACCGCCTCACGGTCCCCTATGTATCAAAATCATGGAATGCAACCTTCATTAGCAGGAATATGAAATGTTGCTCTTCCCTCCAGGAGTGACGAAGGCAATCTGATTGTCAGTGTTTCCTGGCGACCCCTCCTGCCCGAAGCTGATTGGCGCACTGTGGTCGTCCGACCACAATTCTAGTGCTCCAACCAATCGCCTACGACGCCCCCATCTTTTTCGCCGAATTTAACCGCTATCAATAGGGTCTGTCGACATCCCTTCATCACAGGTTCGCAGCAACATCTCGTTCGATATCAGCACATCGTGCTTCAGGTCCGGCAGACCGACCTTGCCGGTGCGTTGTCATTTGTTCGAGGAGGTGAGGAGTCACCTAAAAATAGCCAGCATAAAGTCACAAGGGATCCGTCTGGAAAGCCTTTCGTTCATTACCACCCCCTATACTCAACCGCGTTTCTCGCTTTCGTTGTTTCAAGCGTTTGTCATGCATCCACAACGACCACCAGAGTAACATTGGTCTTTCCATCTTTGTGCCTTCTTTTTTCGTGGGTCACCGCCAAGCATGCCCAGCCTAACATCTTTTCCGATTCTGTCGTTTTAGGCGTACCGCCAAGCAGCCAAGAGGCGATTTGTTGTGTCCTCACATTGGTTACGAGTGGCAAATCCATTGGTCCCCAACACGCTCACCATCCCTATAAGATCAAACGCCGTCGAGCGGCATGTCCTATCTCCTCTTCTCCTTCCTTCACCTGGTTCCTCTTTGGTTGTGGGTTGATTCCCTTTGAGGTTTTCATTTGTCCACTCTTTCAGGCGCTAGCTTCGCCATTTCTCTTCCGACGCCAGTCGTTTTTGGCTTCCCTGCATCCTCCACTTCTTTACACTCTCTTTTCCACAACAAACCCGGTCTTTCACTCTCCCTTTTCTTCACTTGAATTCCACCATGCGTTCTTTCAGCCTTGTTTTTGCTCTTGCCGCCATCTCTTCAGTGGTTGCCCACCCTATCCATCAGGCCCGGGAATTGAAGATCATCGGCCGCGATACTTCGGCCAAGTTCATTCGTCGAGAAACCGACCCTGCCGCTGAGCTCAAGCTTCTCGCCGATGGAAATACGGCTTTCCGGGATAGTCTCCAAACCTCGGAGCCTGAGTTGTTGCAAAAGTTGACCGACGATGGCCAATGTAAGCAGACTTGGCGTTTGTAGATTTATCCGAGCTAACGCAAATTCTAGCGCCTCCGTTCATGTTCTTGGGATGCTCTGACTCTCGTGTTAGTGAGGGCACCGTCTTCAACGCGAAGCCCGGAACTCTGTTCACTCAGCGCAACATCGCTAACCAGTTCCAAGCTAATGATAATAACGCGTAAGTGGCGCACTGTTCTTGGGACTTGGCGAGTACAAGCGCTCATGTCGATCACTCGATGCCCAGTCAATCTGTCTTGTCTTATGCTGTCTCGGAGCTGGGCGTCAACCATGTCATTGTCATGGGTCATTACGGCTGTGGTGGCATCGCCGCCGCCATTATCCCGTCTCCCCCCAACCAGATCGATGCCGCCAACGGTGCTGTCCAAAACTGGATTGAACCCATCCGCGAGATCTTCCGCACCTCATCTCGGTCGGTTTCCAATATTTTAACCGTCGCGTTATTCTTCTTACAATGGTGTAGACCTGAAATTGTTGAGCTGAGGACGAAGAACGCCGCTGCCACCGAGATTGAAGAGCCTGACATCAAAGAGCGTAAGTCAGACAAACTGATTACCACCCCATAGATACTGAACGACGTTTCTAGCTGGTTTCCGTGCCCTCGTTGAGGAGAACGTCAAGGCCAACGTTGCCCGTATCGCTGCTAGCTCAGTCATCACCAACGTGCGTCCTTTCCTGCTCCACCATCACGCCACGTTGCCGACATTCATTTAACTTTAGCACTACGCCCTCCTGGCCGCCAACGCGACCGGCACTGCCGAGAGGCGCTCTGGTGAGGCCGGGCCCCCCACCGATGTCTACATCCATGGCTGGGTCTACGACCTTGAGAACGGCGAAATCCGCGATCTTGGCATCTCCGTCGGCCCTGCCGGAAAGACCATCCCCGCTCCTCCCTTCGCTGCTGTCGCTGAGTCGGCCGTCAACTCTGCCTCGTCGCACAACACGCCACAGCCCGCCGCAACGGCTGAGACCCCCGTCAAGCGCTGCGAGCAGCTCTGCAAGGCCAAGCGCAGCCTCGCTGGCATGTTCGGTGCTAGGATGAACTAAGAGTAGAGATCTGCTCGGGTTTTCCGTTTTTTTCTGTTGTTTCAAAGTCCGTTGAGAAGTGGGGAGTGCTTCGTTCCCAGTGGGAGCCAGAAGCAATTTTTCATCTTTACACCATTTCCGTACCCAATGTACATGGGCAATTGCTGCACTTGCTATTCACTCCTCTGCTTCTCAGGACAAGCTTAGGGTTGAATTGGGTCTTTGTGTAAATGGGCATTTCGGTGTATTAGTGTGTTTTGGGCGTTTGGGAACCTCACAACCAGGGAGGCTTCCAGTCTTTCTCTCTTTCTCCAATACATTTGTTTTCTGGAAGCATTGATGCTTGTCAGTAGCAGCTTTTGAAGACCTGTTGCGATCAACGATAAGGAGGAGCTCGAGAAATCAAGCGAGGCTATTTTAAACCCCTTCTTACGAGATCACAAGGTCGATTGAATCACTTCTTTGCACATTATAAATAGTTCTGCTCATAGCTGTATTCGAAGAATCAAATTGTTCCACCTCAGACGAGCCCACCTAAGAGCGTTCAATATGCCCAACAACAAATCAGCAAAACCGAAGTTCATAACCCTCCGATCGCAATCCCCATCCGCCCGCATACTCCTTCGTACCCCAATCCGCACTGATGCATATTCCCTCGTCTGCCGTGTTCAAGATCCCGAATGCACCACTTATCTCCCCCACCTCCGATTCCCCAAGAATCCGATTACGATACAGTCCAATGAGAAGCAGATCGAACTGTGGCGCAATGCATCTGGAATCACTGAACAATTCCTCGTCGTTGTCCTCCTTCCCGAAAGACCAGCAGAGGATGGATTAGATCCCGTAGCGACAGTTGGCGACACTGGCCTCGCACCACTCAACATCGCCGCAGGCACAGCAGAGTGCGGAATCATGCTCAACAGCGGTCCGGACATGCGAGGGAAGGGGATCGCAGTTGAGGCACTTGCGATGCAGTTTGCCTATGGATTCGAACATTTGGGCTTGGAGATCATCTCATTCCATACAAGTAAGGACAACGTCCCGAGACGCGGCCTCCTGGAGAAGAAATTTGGGCTGGAGGCGAGATGCAGAGAAGAGGAAGGTGACTGGGAGCTCGTAGCGACGAAAAGCTGGTGGAATGAGCGTCAACATGCAGCTGGTCCAGACCGGCAGATGGTAGTTAGCGTGGATGAAGGATTGTGAAGTGGTAATTGGTCAAGTGCAGATAACTTTTTTTGGCGCATTTTACCAGGCTTGGCCTATTTGCGCAGAGAGGCTTGCCTTCAGGTATTTAGAGCTGAAGAGCGTCGGCAATAGCTCTGACGCGAAAAGAGGGTAGACCTCTGCTTCAAATCCCTCTTTGTCGACGCTCTCCACGTCCGTGGGACTGAGATAAGCAAAGAGGCTGACTTCAAATTCTCGAAGACCTTTATAGCGTTCTTGGGAAAGGACAGAATCGATTCCCTTCCATGCTTCCTTCTCCGAGGAGAGGCGATCTTGGAACGGTCGTGATGTGGTGAAGGCGATACCCAGCTCCATTTCGCGCAGCGTGTCGGGAAGTGATAGCTTCAGCATCTCCACGAAAGGGGTCAAGGATATCGGGTCCTTCATTGGAATAAGCTCGATGGCGAGATGCGTCAGATTGTGTAGAAGTACCAATGCTGGAGCGTAAGGAGTAATAGGTACACGCGGGTCTGTATGCGTCAGGATGTATCAGTGAAAACAAGTCGGAACGTTGCTTGGTAGGGACTTACCGAAATCCAGCTTCAGGTAATCGAGAGAATGAGATGCGTCTTCGAGCAGGTCTCGTACCATGATGCTATATGAAAGAGATCTGATAGACACAAGCAGATTCTTAAGGCTCGCTAGGGGAGATGGGGGAGGCTTGTCCGACTGCTGGTATTTGAAGGCATGCGACATCGATTTCGAAGTTGGTAGAATGAATGTCTGATCTGTCCACATGGTGTTTAGCTGTGGAGGTGAGACCATGAACTCCTTGGGGTTGCTTGAGGGACGGACGGGTGCTGCGTGATCGAAGAGCGTAGGGCCACACCCGTAGGTTTCAAGGCTCTTCATAACACATCCATCGAGTACTGTAATGGGGAGAAACAGAAGACCTTCGAGGCAGAGGTGGATTAACTTGGGAGAACGAAAAGCGACGCGCAATGATGTCTGCAGGTCCTCCGAGAGGCTGTTCCAGTCCACTCCAGCTGCAAATCGAAAGTAGCTTGGGCCATGAGGCGATTCATGAAGCTTGACGAGAGCTTTCGCCAATGCGGGATGGCCCAATATCCTTTCCCTCTCAGCGGCCAGAGGCGACGGAGAATCGGTGTCGAGTACGAATGCTCCGATGACGGTGAAAGTAGGAGGGTATGCTGGTGGCACATAATCCATGAGGTCCAGCAGTTTTGACACTTTTTGGCGGGATCGCTCGTCGTCTTTGAGTTCCAGGTCGACAGATGACCATAGATGACGTCGGGAACGTTGATAAAAGGATCGAGAAACAAGAAGGCAGGATCGAAGAGATTCGGCGAGAGACCTGAAATCCTTGTCGAAAGCGAGTTCATCAATGCAGAGATCTTGAATTTCTTGAGGTAAGTCGGGGGCGGAGGATGAAAGGCCCATTGGCGACGACATTGAAAGAGCAGCGAGTGCCAATGGCCATGGTTCGTAAACGTAAACCCGGGATCATGTGACCGCGCCAGTCCAATAAGCGCCGAACGTAACTTAACGCGGGATAATTCTACAAAACCCAGTCTACGTGTGCATTGGGTATGCAATCCTTGTTATTGAGGGAGAAAATTCTTACCATAGAAATCACCTCCGTATCTCTCAGAACCTAGTCGATGCCAGCGGAGGCCAAAATTAGAATCTTTCGGAAGTCGAGGATTGGGAGTCAACAGCTCAGTTTGCCGACGTAGTGAGTTTGTACAGCAGTACGTACTAGCCAGTCCTTATGACCCAACTTTCAATGAAAAGGCTAGATTCCAGGGATCTGGAGGTGAAAATGGCAGGAAGAAGTTCCGTTGAAAACAGCGCGTACCCCTCTGCGTCGCATTCCGTCGCACTAGCTCGCTCCCGGCCTCCATATCTCGCATACAATTCCAAGCAGTTGCGAGAAATTAGTTATACTGATGGTGCCTGGACCGGTTTAATTGGAGTTGATATAACCAGCGGTGGGGAAATGCCGACGAAGATGAGTTTGAGTTTCGGTATATTTTCCAATACGGGGCCGATAGGATATACCGATATGTTGGGGTCTGACAGATACGGTTAATATCTCATGAGAGGAGGGACGAGGAGAGACTCACCACCGAGTGGCAGCCTGAGTGATTCCAAAGAATTAAAAGAGTCGAGTAGAAGATCGCGTACCATAGCCACATATGGAGTGACGCGAAAGGACATCTGGAGATGTTTGAGGCTTGCCAACGGCGAGCGTGGTCTGACCATTGAGGCGACGCTTGACACAAGAGCCAGCGCCATAGCCGCAGTTGGGAAAACAAAGGTGTGGTCTTTGAAAAATATCTCCAATGGCGGAGGCGAATGCAGGAACTCGTCTGGATTGCTGGATGCGGAAATGGGGGTTTCATGACTCTCGAGGTAGCGCTCGTTACACGTATAGAGATCCAGATGTCTAATTCGAGTCCCGTTAAACATCGATAGCGGAATGATCATGCAACTTTGGAAGTACACGTGTTCCAAGCGAGGGGAAAGAACGACGGCACACAAGGATGCCCGTAACTCGGCTGTGAGATCTGTCCACGAGTGCCTCCCAGCTCCGAACTCATAGTACGTTGGACAAAGACGCGGCACTCAAACGACCGAAGCCTGCGGGTGGTGTAGTGTCCAAAATGAACGATTTGACGACGGTGGCGGTAGGTGGATATGTCGGTGCAAAAGAACCAGCCCACTCCAACAGTGTGGATAAACGGACGTTCGCCTCATCTTTCCTGAGCTCCAGTGAGACGGAAGCCCATAGAGGTTGTCCAGCCCGCTGATAATACGAAACGAAGAGGCATGATCAGAGAGCATCGAGGAGGGACTTCTTGTTTGCGCTGCTGGGTATTTCATCTATACAAGATCGTGCATTTCTTGGGGAGGGGGCGATGGTGGGCGAGATGGACATGGGTGACGTGAACGAGAGCGAACAGCTTCCGGAAATGGCAAGCTTTCAGGTCTGTGGGTCCACCCATGTGACCAATGTGTACGCTGTCCGAGTTTTGTTCAACAACTCCTCGGTGTAGCTGTAACATTCTCGACTTTCGGTTGTGATTGGACAGTTTAATGAAACGAAGCTTTTACCCAAGTGGACTTGGAAGGATGAAGCCTTCGTCATGTTGCATGGCTGTTGCGCCACACCGACATTGATGGGGCATGCAATACGAGTTACAAAAAGACGGCGACCCTGAGTGAATCAAACCCCAGAGGAGCAGAGTGATATGGATAAGTTACCCTACACATGCTAGGACATGTACCATTCTCCCGCCACAAATCAAGACGGGGTGTTCTTGGAAGCTTGAGGGTTTTAGGGACATGGCATTGGCCGGGAACCCAGCGGGCGAGGTGGTAACTCTAAAAGGAGTGCAAAGTGCAGGAAGCTGATTATTAGTAGGCTTATCTCTCCAGAACGAAGTCGACCCACCAAATAGAGGTCGAACAGAGGATCCCAATCGTCGGAGTCCATGAGAGATAGTGGTATAGGATATTGATATCAGTTGGATCAGGCATTCTACACGTCTTTACCTGGGACTTGGAGATAGTGGATTCGCATCACCCGGAACCCCGGCCAACGTCATGGATGAGGGTGTCTATTTCGTGGCAGGATGGGAAGGCAAGAGGCGAAGAGCATCGAGATGCCAATTTGATCAGGCCGGAGGAAGAACGGGCGTTCGTGTTCGTTGGATTCTGTAAACCACCGAAGCCAATATTCGGAGGAGTCGCTATGATTTGCGCTGACTCGGGGGTCGAAGACGCAAGGGCCATGCATCTTCGGGAAACAGTCGAGATATAGACTCATTGTGTGGGTTAATTTAGCCATGAGCTGAGTACCAACGACGAGGAATTACGAGAGCCTACGAAATGAACATCACTGATGCTCTCCCACTTCACCAGTAGAACAGGAGTTATCAATGTCAGATATGTCAAGGATCACGGCTGAAGAGGATTGATGCTGCGATTCTTCAGCCCAGAAGCAAGAGTGCGATGCATAAATAGACAAACCTGAAGCTACTGGACTCGGCTTGATATTACGCTGGGCCGAAATGACAGGTAGCTGTGTCGAATCAAAATCATTGAGTTGATCTACGGGTCAGTAGCATAGCCAGTGGTGAGACAGCGGTCATTTGCACTCGATTGATTTTTTTTGTTGACGGATCATCAAAGCCTTCTACGAGGGCAGTTGCGACAGCATCGAAACTGTAGGGCACAAAAATTAAGACAAGAAGGCCAGCCAATTGTCAACAAGAGAGTGGGTACTTCCATGCGTGAAGTCACAGTTGACGCACCGACAGCTGATAGGCTATGGGGTGAAACGAGGGCCAGTGCCTTTTAGACGTTTTCATAGGTGTTTTTATCATTCCCATCGGAAAACGAACAGCATGTGCAAAGGAGAAATTTCATCCAAATTGGTCTTGAAAACCCCGCGGCAAGTCAGGACCAACACGCGTGTGCGTCAGGACCTTGCAGATCGATTCTTTAGGTAGCCGGGACCTGCCATCGTTTGGCGAAACAGGGGCAGGGACAATTAGATTGCGCGCCTCAGCGCAAGAAGGTCGAACCCGTGAAGGAGGTTCCTTGTCAGAGGGTATTGTTCAGTTTATGAGGGTGAGAAGGCGATGATGAAGGCGACAAAAGGATATAGACTTTCGACGTCTCACAAGGTCTGAGCCAAAGCGAGTACAACGTCAGTTGAAGACTCAAGTTGAAGGTCAAAGCACGAGCAGAGTGATGCACCATCACTTGGATGATTTCTCTGGAGGACCGTTGCCTGCCAACGGTATGCGAGGATATTGTTGCTATGGAGATCCTCAAGGCAACAGCGTGTTCTGGCTCTGAGGAGAGGAGGAGGGCAGATTGGGCAGCGTGGGTGGATTCCATCTGAAGGATTCCAAAGAAAGCCCTTGGTTGATCCCTTGTCCATTTTACGAAATACGCTCTTTCTTTTGTAGATCGCTTGTTATTGTCTGCCCTCTTATATACCTTTCCCATTACTCTTGGTCCTGTCTTTCCTCCATCCCCAACGACTACGACCTCATCGTTAGCCATGCCCGACCCCGCTGCTGCAAAATCCAAGAACGGCGCACCCCCAGCTGCACCCCCAGCACCCAGGAAAGTTCGCTTCAACGTCGGTGAGTTCGTCGCCAAAACCGCCTTTGTTCTTGCGCATTGAATTGCTCCTAGGCACGCAGTACCAGGTCCTCGATGTCGTTGGTGAAGGAGCCTATGGGATCGTATGTTCCGCTGTCCACAGACCGAGCGGACGCAAGGTTGCTATCAAGAAGATCGCCCCCTTCGATCACTCAATGTTCTGCCTACGAACGCTGCGCGAACTCAAGCTCCTCAAGTTCTTGAGCGAGGCAGGTGTTAGCGAGAATGTGTGTCGTGGCCCGCTTTCTCTGGCGGGACGCCTTTGCTCATCCCCTAAAGATTATCTCGATTCTGGACATATCAAGCCCCCGTCGTTGGAAGCTTTCAAAGAGGTCTACCGTGCGTCGTTCTTTCTACCTCTCGATGCAATCAGCTCAACTGCTTCCCGCCAGTGATCCAAGAGCTGATGGAGACCGACATGCACCGCGTTATTCGAACCCAAGACTTGTCCGATGATCACGCACAATACTTTATCTATCAAACCCTGCGCGCGCTGAAGGCCCTGCACTCTGCCGATGTCATCCATCGTGACCTCAAACCCTCAAACCTCCTCCTCAACGCCAACTGCGACCTCAAGGTTTGCGACTTCGGACTTGCACGCTCGGTAAAGACTGCCGAGCCCTCTGGTACGGAAACTGGTTTCATGACGGAATACGTGGCCACCCGGTGGTACAGAGCCCCGGAGATCATGTTGACCTTCAAACAGTACACCAAGGTGGGCGAGGGACGCATAAAATTTTCTGATGCTTGCTTTTCTGATCTCTTTTCTTTTCTTTTTTCCCTCCTTCGGCGCTATCAGGCCATCGACGTGTGGTCAGTCGGGTGTATTCTCGCGGAGATGCTGTCCGGAAAACCACTATTCCCCGGGCGCGATTACCACCATCAACTTACGCTTATCCTCGACGTCCTTGGAACGCCTACTCTCGACGAGTTCTACGCGATTACCACGCGGAGATCTCGTGATTATATCCGAGCTCTACCCTTCCGGAAGAAGCGACCATTTGGAACACTCTTCCCTAACGCCAACCCACTGGCTGTCGACTTCTTGACTAAGACCTTGGTAAGCGTCGTCCGCGCAGCCCATATGTTGTGTTGCCTGACTAATTATTCCTTTCTAGACTTTTGACCCCAAGAAGCGGATCACAGTCGAGGATGCTCTCGCTCACCCATACTTGGAGGCATACGTGCGTTGTGCTTCACTTTCAAACTCCACTTGTAGTAATAGCTCTCTCCGCTATCAGCACGATCCTGACGACGAGCCTGTTGCCCCGCCTCTTGACCCCGAGTTCTTTGAATTCGATTGTGAGTTTTTTGCTGTACTTTAGATACCTAACTCTCACCTGTCTTTCCGCAGTGCACAAGGATGACATCAGCCGAGAACAGCTAAAAGAGCTCCTCTACGAGGAAATCATGACCTTCAAACCCGCACCTATCACATAATTTGCTGTGTAAACCGTAGAAAGCCCTTTGTAGGTCCGTTTTCTCCAACGTATTCCGAGAGTTGCCCATCTCATTTAACTTTTGCTCTATTGCCCGATAGTATTATCGTGTACGTTACATATAACAAGACCCACAGTCGCACAAAGCCGCTGGTCGCAATCACCATCATCATTCTCATTCATGTCTATCAATCATCAGCTCATGGTACAAGTGAAAAGGCAAGAATCAATGGAACATTTAAAGTAGTTTTTCTAGTAAGGACAACGGACGAAAGGTTGTTCGGCATTTGTGATGCGCCACATACCCGTATCCCTGATTGTTTTCGTCTCTTCGTCTCTCTCTGTTCGCTTTACCCTCTCTGATCTTCCGCCCTTTAATTCAATCCCGTTCTTAGCATTCCTCGTCTGGTTTTGGGTCTAGTTTTTGCTCTATGGGACTTTCGACAATTCATCGCGTAATTTGCTCTTTTCGAAGAAAATATCTTTCAGCTTGTCTAAAACACCAGACATCTATCATCATCTAGTCGATCCGTCTTTAATTTCAGCTTCGAATTTCAGAGGTGACCTCGACGTGTTGGACCGCGCAGGGACCAAGTAGGTCCACCTGTTGATGCTGTTCCGAAAGGTCCATGGACCACTGCTTTAGGCTCTTTTCCGCATTTATATCTCCATCCGATAGACCACACCGTCGCCACAAAAGAACGACAAAGGGGGCCAGATTTAACAATCAGCTCTCAGAGTCTACAGAACGTAATAGGAGGCCCGTTGACCGATGAGAGGTGGAAGTATTGCGACCTCATGGCTCTGCCCTCCAGTTCCTTTGGCTCGACCAATCCGAGTCGGCAGTTACCGCAATTTACAAATGCCAGTGATTGCTGATTCGGGATCGTCAACCATGACTTTCTGTCCGCCTTCATCCCCGCTGTGCGCAAGCTCACAAAACAACCTTGTTTTCACCCCACAAATGGCTTCGTCCTCTGTACATTTTGTTGTTTCCAATTCTAGTAGCCCCATCGAGTTTCCAGAGCTCTCAGAGGTGGACAGGTATGCGGCGTTGTCGAAGCTAGAGAACCTCGCATACCGCATTCGATATCTTTCGAATCTCCTGTCTGCGGCTCTCGAAACGATTTCGTTGGCCTCCCTATCCCCTTCTCACTTTCATTACTTTTCTCCAGAGGTAAGAGGGAATTTCTTACTCCGCCACCGAAGTCTGGAATGCTCATGAATCGTCTAGATCCTTGGAATCGTTGAGGTGACAGCGATTTTAGTTCATCCCATCTAGATACTGACCCAAGCGATAGATTGCTCGAAACACGTTGGAGAAGGAGAAAGTAACGCCATATCTCTGGGCTCGGTGTCCAGAGAAGTTGGCGTCGCACAAGAGTGCTTATCTCGACTTACTACGGATGCTGCAACGTAACGAGCGCTACGTAGACACAGCATCAAGAGGTGGGATAGTCGAGCAAACGATAAATCACCAAGCTCACACGTTTGTAGGGCGTCTAAAATCACTAATGGCTCCTCTAGTCTCCAAGTTCTGCCTAGGGCATAGCGCCGCTGTACCCAGGGTGTGTGTGAATGCCTGCGGTCCACCAACCTCAAACGTCAAGGAACACGAGGCCTCCAGCACCATGCCCCGTGCGTCAGATGCCCGCAACACCGCCTGCGTGATTCGTCCTGACTCATTTGTCTTTTTAGCGCCCACGCTTACAACGATACAACGCCCCTCTGCCACAAATGGGACAAAGACACATGGTAAGCACAAGCGCCTATGGGACCCCGACGAGCTGTTGGAGACGTCTTCCGTCCGGAGCACCTACAAGCCGAAGCCTGAGGTGTGGGCCGTGCCGCAGGGAGATGATGACACTTCCATACGGGCGTTTCGCCCTGCTCGATCTTCGCTGCGGTTTGGAATTTGCTTCTCCGCGAAATCGTCCACGCACGGGGGCGGGTACCAGCAAAAAGAGCGTGCGAATCGACGGGCGAGTGTGAGGTCACTTATGAATCCGAAGGAGTAGGCGTTTTCTCAAGGGTTTGCAACCTCGTTATCGTGATATGTACTTGTATTACTTCATGACTACAGTTCTAGCTTTGTTTGGGGTCTCTGAGTTGTTCAAGTAAGAGGAACTAACGGCCAAGTTGTTGATGCATTTAGAAGGGACAGAGCAACTGCGGCCTTTCTTATCTAGCTATAATATGCCCTGTTAGAAAGTAAATACCGACGTATCGCTGGGATGTTGAACACAGAATGCGTTGGAAGAAGCCTTTCCATCGTTCAAGCCGTCGATGGGAAATGGGCCAAGCAAAAACCCGAGATAAAGCAGATACATGCAGGCAAAGTGGCAGAGAGTACCCTGTACAGTAAAGCCATTGTATCCAAAAAATTAGGTGCCCATAACTGAGATAATCATCCTGACCGTAGTCATTGCTCATATAGACTGCTGTTGCAATGGAAGGGGGTCAAAAATGCATCGGAGATGATGTCCAAGTCGTCAATGACAAAGGAGTGATAGTGATAAGAGTACAAGAAATGCTAATTTTTATTTAATGGCTCTTTTTACCAACCCTCGTCGACGCGAGCGGCGAGGGTCGTTGCGCTGTTGTAGGACAATTTGACTACCTAATGGGGTTACATTGCGCACTTCCCACGATTCACCGCCTCCCGAAGCTGGAACCCAAAGCGGTCTTTTTCTCCTTTTCTTACATAATTCGCATCCATCTCTGATCGCTTCGAGCACAAACTTGAACCTGTGTTTATACCTCTCGAATCTTTCTTAAGGCAGGAGGCCTGGGCCTGAGAGCTCACGACGCTCATAATGCTTTACGTCTTTGAGACCAACTACCGATCGTGACACGCCACGCCCCAACACGCGTCCTCGAACATGGTGTCGGAAGGGGACACCGGTGCTTCTGCCGCCATGCAGGGCTTTTTGCACCTCTACCACCCTCGTTTTGCTTCTCAAAAAAGGTGAGTTCATCCTTTCGTTTGACCTATACCGTGATACTCACGAGACGCGAATTCTAGCTGGATTGCCGGGCTGAAGTGGTCTGCATCTCTTGGTGCGAAACCTGGATTCTTAGGGCGAGACAGGTAAGCAGGAAGCCTCCTTTTTCGCGTCCCTCTTCTTCCGTTATTTTGCTTTCAATCCACAATTACTCACCGCAACATGTAAGCAGTACCCGGTACTCTGGCAGTTGAGGAATTTCGACCGTGATGGATTCGAAGTTGCCGGAGGTTTATTACAACACCTATCGCCAATACAAACATGCCAATAGCGTCCTTGTCAAGTGGGTTACGGATACGGCGTTCCAACTGCGGAGCAAAATGTGCGATACTCCCCCCGACCCTCCTCCTGACTCATCCGCCACGGTTCAACGCCGTAAACCCAGGGATACCTGTGCGAATAGGCTGAAGACTGGACGAGATTTGGATCCGGCCTCTCCCAAGGTCTCATTCACGGTTTTCCTCGAACTTGTCGAAGACATCGCCGAAAGCAATGTGTTCATCCCGCAGTCTTACGTCTCTCTCCTCGAGCTCTCCATAAAACAAAGGAAACAGACGGCCGCTTTTTACTCCCCAGACGAGAACGCGTCGGAGGTCAACAAGTCCCACGAATTCGCCATCGACGCGTACTCGCAAGCTCTCTCGATATTCAAGGAGGCGAAGGAGAAGTCGGCGAAGAATACGGGAGCTTCCAACGAGTTGAAGGCATCCGTGGAAGGAGTTGACGAAGGCATTGCGCTCAATGGGGCCATCCACAATCTGCCGGTTCTCATGGAAGATACAGACCTCGAGAATGCACTTGAAAACGAGTGGCTCCGCGATAATCCCTCTATCAAGGCGGCGAATAAAAAGGGCAAGGCTTTCCCCTGGAAGAATATCAACTCGTCATGGACAACGACGATTCCTCTACAAAGAAGACGAAGCCCAAGGATGACGAAGAAGAAAGCTTCGAAGCTTTCAGATGCTTCCTCCTCGACCTCAACGCTATGCGCAAGTACTGCAACCAGGTCTGGGGCACTGTTGTTCCTGTTGGACCAACCAGCCACGTCGCTGCATCCTTTGTCACCAGTTGGGTCGTGCAGCTTGTTAAGGAAATGGAGCACGCTCTCGTTGCAGAATTTCCGGTTCTGAAGGACGTGGAACGGGCCTTGCGGACACTTCGTGATCATTTTGCGTCGCGAACACCTCAGAGTCAAGACGATGAAATCGAACGCCGCTCCTACACCTTTAATGAACAGATTATGTTTTACGTTTGGAACAGTCTTCGACGATTCAGGGAACGCCTCGAAACCACCAATTTTCCAATGTTTCGTGACGAAACTTTCGGCTATTTCGATCCCTGACGGACAGGTTGAAAATGCCTCCAGAAGAGAGGGCCCACGAAGACTATTGGATCATGTGGCACCCTTGGGTCGATATCATTTGTGCGAACACGACAGAACCGTCTTGGATTGGGAAGGAAGGGCTTGGCCGGGAATTCCAACAATTCTGCATAGATGACTCTCATACCATTTCATGGGCCCTCGTGTTTACGTGCCAGATGCACGTCGACAGCGTTCACATCCGAAGACGGCATCTCCAGGGCGACTTTCAGACTATGCGTGATTTCGCCGAGAAAATCACGCAGTCCTATGATTCGTATTTACCTGAAGAGGAGCCTGCGCAAGGCCAGGCCTACGTTCAAGAGAAGCTCGACTCAGCTCGAACGTCCATACGCGACTGGTTGCTAAATGATGCTCTCACACAAAGCAAAGAGCACAGCGGATGGGAAAAGTACAAAGGGTACTGCGACAAGAATTCTATTTGGCTTCTCAATCTATGGCTGACTGCCAATGCCATCTCCGGGGCCACGGTTCGCTACTTCAGGTTCGCAACTTTCGTCATCCAGCACGATAGATACGTTCAATCGATCCACTTGTGGAATATGCTCAAGCAGACTGGACACCTCGCTTTTTCCACCACCGTGGTTCGTCAGGATTTAGCAACCGAGGACATTTTGTTACTCGATCATCTTGTCGAAGCATTCAGTGAAAAGGTTTTTCTTGGACCTCCTCCTAAACGCGACTTCTTTAAGAGCTGGGAACTCTCGATGGGTGCGCTTCCAGAGAACTACGCACAGGGTAAAAGAGCGCACAAGAAGACCACTCCGCGTCCAAGTAATCCTCGTCTCAGAAAAATGGCCCATAATCTGAATCACGACCGAGGTAGCTTCCTCTGGTTGAGTGACGCCGTGAACTTGCATTATGCCAACTTTTCTAATGCTTTAAAGGAGGACTACGCTAGAAGACGCCTCTGCAGACAGGAGTGGGCATTCTCCCATCCTCTTGCAGTCACTCTGGATCTCGTCAACTCGGAATTCGGAGCTACGACTTCTGCTCCTCCCCTAGCGAAGCCGTGAAATGCTTCATCGGTCAATGCAAGACGTGGACCGCTGCTCAACCTCGACCTATTCCCTCGACCTATTCAGAGTACGCCAGCTCTGCGTTCGCATAGCTACCGTGCTCGCCGATGATATGTTATTTCTCGATTCGACCAGTCCACCTCGCCGCTTTGAGCGAGCTGACTATCCGTACCTGACGTCCTGCATAGCGAAAACAGAGGAGAAGCCTGAAAATGGTGGCTACCCAGACCGCAAAATCCTTGCCAGCGTTGCACATACCGTAAAAAAACTGGCTGGAAGAGAAACGGTTGGGAAGTACATATCTACTGTTTGACCCGAAGTGACTACAGCTGTACTATTTACAATATCCCCTGCGACCGTTTTTGCCACGGCTTCACCCCTCTTTCTATTTAGAAGAGGTATCTGAGTGGTTGAGTGAAATAGAATAAAATAGAAGTTCGGCCGAGTCGCGGAATAAGTTTGGACCAACCAATGGCGGGGAGAGTATCTGAGGAAGGCAAGCTGAGCCAAACAAATGACACCGGAACCTCTGCAACGTCAATCCAGCCAACAATCCTTTCTCCTCCACTTCTATTCCCTGTCCTAATGTTGTCGCGGAACGTCGTTGCTATTGCGCGTGGTCGTGGACTGCTACGCGCGAAGCATCTTCAGGAGGCTTCGGTCATCCTGTAAGCCCATTCTCTGCACTCCACATCTCACTTACAGGGAGGGAGAGATCCGGAGCTCAAGCACTGACTATTCGTGAGCAGGAACCGCGCCAAGGTAGCGAAATTCCACGCCTCACGTCTACTTCAAGGTTTGCTAGCTTCGTCCGAGCTGTGAGAAAGCCTTTAACCAGGGACGTTCTCCAGCGGAGACGATTAAAGTCCCGCAAATGGCAGAGTCTATTAGCGAGGGCACACTCAAGTCCTGGTCAAAACAAGAAGGGGACACGGTTGTTGCTGATGAAGAGGTCGCCACCATCGAGACCGATAAGGTGAGTTGGAATGCACTTCTGCAGCTGGATGATTAATTATTCCATTCCCAACTTTATTTCCGGTGTCTCCCCCTAGATCGACGTTTCGGTCAACGCGCCTCAAGCCGGAAAGATTGTGAAACTACTCGCAAATGAGGAGGACACGGTCACCGTCGGTCAGGACCTTTTCGTGCTCGAGCCCGGTGATTTCAGCGAATGTACGTCATACTTTCACCGCCCCTTGGTGAACTGTGTTCCAATTTAGGCGCAGCCTCTTCGCCAGCGTCCCCTCCACCCAAAGAGGAACAATCACCCTCTGAGACTGAGGAGTCCAAACCCAAGGATACTACGGAGCCCAGCGACCAACAGACGGACAAATCGCTACCTGAGCCCCCGACTCCCTCGTCTGCCGACAAGAAGGCGGACAAACCAAAGGAAGACAAATCTCCCAAAAAAGAGAAGGAGGATAAGAAAGAGAAGAGGGAAAAGAAGGACAAGGATAGCGCCCCTCCTGCCCCTCGACCAGTGGCGGGTAGCAGGAATGAGACTCGAGTACGTGTCTGCTTCGTGAATGCTTTTTTCGCGGGTGCTAAGACGTGTCTGCAGGTGAAAATGAACCGCATGCGTCTCCGCATCGCCGAGCGCCTCAAGCAGTCGCAGAATGCGGCCGCTTCTTTAACAACCTTCAACGAGATCGATATGTCCGCCCTTGTTGCCTTGCGCAAGAAGTACAAGGACTCTATCCAGAAGGAACATGACGTGAAACTGGGCTTCATGTCGTTCTTCTCAAAAGCATGCGTTCTCGCCCTTCAAGAAATCCCCGTCGCGAATGCCAGCATCGAGGGCGAGGAAATTGTGTATCGTGATTTCGTTGACCTCAGTATCGCTGTCGCAACGCCGAAGGGTTTAGTGACCCCCGTCGTGCGGAACGCGGAGTCCTTGAGCCTGCTTGATATCGAGAGAGAGATCTCCGCTTTGGGCAAGAAGGCGCGCGATGGCAAGCTTACGCTGGAGGACATGACCGGCGGTTCGTTCACCATGTAAGTTTTATCGTTAGTACTATTCTTTCTTATCTCCTAACTGCTTGGTTACTAGTTCGAATGGCGGTGTCTTTGGATCCCTCTACGGGACTCCCATCATCAACCTACCTCAATCCGCCGTACTCGGTTAGCCCATCCTCTACTCATAGATGCCCAGTCACCTAATAGTAACTTTCCAATAGGCATGCATACCATCAAAGATCGCGCAGTCGTCGTTGATGGTCAGATCGTCATCCGTCCCATCATGATTATTGCGTTGACCTACGACCACCGTCTGCTCGATGGACGTGAAGCCACGACTTTCCTGGGTACATCCTTTGTTTCCTCTCGTTCTAGACCTCTGACCGCTAATGACACCAATTTTCCCAGTGAAAGTCAAGGAGTACCTTGAGGACCCTGCAAAGATGCTCCTTGCCGCATAAGGCGCATTACTTAAAATGTCAGGAGTCTGTCACAAATTCAAGGGCTTGCAGGTCAACAACCTCGATCGTCATGTCTGCAATACAATGTGCTTCAAACTAGAACTTCGACTCTCGCACTGAACTAAAGTTTATCTAATTCCTTCCTTTCAACACGTGCTCCCTAATTATAATTAATCCCATACCACCACCTCTTTGTCTTCTCATATGTTTCTTCTGGAATAATTTAGAGCATTTTGTTTTGGCGCCGACGCGCATGACGAGTTTGGTACGCTGATAATATTTAGTTTCCAGCACCCGCCTAGAAACATAAACTCGAAGTCAACGTCAATTGAAGTTGTTCCCAGGGATTGAATCAGACCATGAACAATCCGCGCGAACAAGTACAAGTCCATTTCTTTGCAGGCTTCCATTTTCACGGAACTCGTTCTCTGGTGTATACAACCTGTGAGCATCCAGCTTTTTTTCTTCCCTGTTTTGTTAATCGACTAACACGGCGTCGCTTCTCAGTATCTCGCAACGCTGATTTCAACCGCAAACCGAGGATCGACCCATCGATAAGACTCAAAGAGCGTTCAGACGTTCAGGCTCCAATTATGCCAGAGACTACCGATTTCCCTACCACTCGAAGCAACGGTGGCCTTGTGTCCCCCATCCTTGCCTGGGACATATTGGGCGACATCATCGAGCAGATCGACCTCGCAGATGACATTCCGACTCTCAAGAACTTCTGCTTGACCTCATCCGATGCGCGACGCCTCTCCGCCTCTTGTCTTGTCCGCGAAGTCACCATTTATTTCGGCCCGGACACCAATCCTAATCACCTTAATGAACATGGGTTGCACGACGACAGGATCCGACCGAGACAGGCCGCCAATACACCCAAGAATATTTTGCCGAACTCGTCGAGTTCCCGCTCTCGAATGATCAATATAGGCGTTACATCCGTAAGCTCGCCCTTTGTCGGCTGGAGAGTGAGGGGAGGCTGGGCAGCCCGTTCGACCCCCGCCCGCAAGTTGGCGTCTTCGCACATCGTCAGTGTTCTGTCGAAGATGGGGGATTTGGGGCATTTGACGATCTGCAGTGTGCCGTTGTCGATGTTCAAGTGGGTCGAGTTAGATGAAGGTATTGAGGGCGCTGTTATGTACCTAATCCAACGATTCTCAGTCGCAGTGTTACTGTTCGCCTGGCCCACCTCAGGGAGTTCGAGTGCAATAATATCCCGTTCCTCGCCACCCACTGCTCAAGCTTGGAGCTGCACAACTATGGGATCGATGACGGGCTCGGCCGACCACGGACCCAACGCAGCTTTGTGCTTTTACGGACCGTGTGAGGGCCCAGCTCGAAGGCTTCGAGTTGCATTTGTTGTCACTTGATCCTAGCACGTTCGGTGACTCCTCTAGAGTTCAACAATGTGAAGACTTGGATTCATCTGACACCGTCTACGACGTGCTCCCCAGTTGACTTGTGGGATCCCGCGACGTTTTCAAAGCTTCGCTCGTTCACCATCCAAGTAATAAACAAACTACCGGCGGGGATCGACATCCTCCTGCGTATAATCAAACCGCTCAGTCTAAGGCATCGGCCCGGGGAGGCAAGAACAAAATCGAGCGTCTCGATATCGTCCTCGTGGACAGCCACTGGGACCATTACAATGCCTTTGATGTTGTCAGTCCGGGAGGCATATACGCGCCCTCGGAGAGGTCGTGCGAGAATGGTATGGCTGCCTCCGCGAGCTGCATGTTCAGCTCCGCGGGATGGGTGAGGTGTTTGGTTCCCTGCCGATGATTGAGAATTCCAAGGGCCCAAAATCAAGTCTTTATCGAAGTCTCTTCTAATTTTCTCCACAGTTCAGATATGTCTAGTAATTGCAGCTCGGAGTTGGACCATACTCTCTCAAGGCCCTGTGGCGCCCGCATGTAAACATATAATCGAATTCTTAAGACAGACCTACGTATATCACATTCCATGCAAGTCTAACGATACACCTCCATTATTACATCTTGGCCCATTTCTGAAGAAAGGGAGGACTGAGGGTTAGACGTCGACGTCGACATTGGACTCTCATAGTGATAACATACTGACTTGCCACCACATCTCTCAACCAACCTCGAGTACAACGCTGCTCCCCGAAGCAGCCGTGTAGTAGGCACCTACACATGCATGTCTTTTGGACATTCAAAGCAAAACGCGATTGTCAGAAACATACCTCCATTATATGATCTCTCCGAGCGCTTATCGACTGGCGTGCCATCCATGGCAAAGGAGAGTCGTAAACCAGTCCCATTGCACATTATTTTATCAAACAACGCACAACGCTACCAGTACCAATTACAACAACAGCAAAAAAATGGGGAGACCATAACGTTTTCGAGGCGGTTATATGGGCGGGGTGAGGTAGGGTGGGGATAATGGGGTGGAGGTCATAAGTCATAAGAAAAACGGTGAAGATGAGGAATGAATTTGAAGAATGCGGCGTAGGGAGATTAGGATGATGCGAGGAGAGCAAAGAGGAGAGCAGTAGTAGTAGCAGGAGGGTGGCGGGTAGAGAGGAGGTAGGAGAGGAAGGTGAAGAAAGCTTTTGAAAGGCATGTAAAAGCGTCTAAAATATGTATCTACACAATCCCAGAAGCCGAGCAGACCAACAACACGCGCACAACAACACCAACACCCAAGCCTGGATGTCCTTCAGCGCCTACTTCGACCCTGCCGGTCCACCCCGCCCACGCCCAGCAGGCCCGCCACGTCCCCTGAACCCTCCTCTCACACCCTCCTGTTGCCCATGCCCATGGTGTCCATTCCCCTGCGGCGGCGCACCTCCCCTCGGCCTCGCAGGCGGTCGCTCTCCCCTCTCCTTCTTCGTCTCCACCGAGATCCTCACCTGCCCAACCTCACCCCCCACATCGATCCACACTCCGCCCTCGCCCCCCGCATGCACGCTCAGCGACGCGATGATCGCCCTCCTCGCAGCATCCACGCTCATGAACTCGAGGAACGCGCACGCCTTCGACCGCACGATCTCCACCTCCTTCACTGGCCCGAATCGTTGCGTGAGGACGGTGGTGAGTGCGCTCTGCGAGACGGGCTCGGTCACGCCCTTGATGAAGCACTGCGGGGTGGTCAGCGCGAGCGCCGCGGCGTACGCTGGGTGCTGGTGTTGGTGGTCGGGGCGCCCGGCCTGGGGTTGCGGCGGCGGACGAGCGGCGTGGGGCGCGGAGGGTGGCAGTTGGGTGATGGGTGTCGAAGTGCCCGAGTTAGCAACAGGATTGGAGAGCGTCTCAGACGTGCCCCGCGTCTCCTGTGCCACGGAACCCCACTTCTTCTGGTTCGACGCCGCCAGCGACGCCCATGACCGAGGTGCGGCGGGTGTTGGGGCTGGGGCTGGCACAGACGGGGCAGGCGAAGGTGCAGCGACAGGAACAGGGGCAGGAACGGGTGATGGGGCAGCAGGAGGAGGGGTAGGCTCGCGGGCAATAGCAGGCGCAGGCTTCTCAGCCTCTGGTGGGTGAATGCCGTTGGGCTGCGCTGGGGCGTCGACAACAGCAGGCTCTGGTTCCTCTGGGGCCGGAGTAGGAGTCTGCATAATGGCGGGTTCCACAACGTCGGTCGTCGGTGCTTCGTCCTGGACGACGGGCTCCGGCTCGGGTGTTGGCGCAGGCGGCGGGGTGGGCTCGCGAGGCGGCTCGTACACCGGTTCGGGGGCAGGCGCAGGAACGGCCTGTTGAGGAACAGGTGCCTCTAGTTCGGGGGCAGCAGGTGGCGCAGGTGCAGGTGCAGGAACCTGAGCGGGCTCGGGCTCGACAGCCTCGTCCTCATCGTCGCCCTCTACGGTCTCTTCCTTGAGGAACCGGAAGATGTCGTTGAGCACAAAGTAGCCGTTGGGCTGCTCCGCGAGGAAGAATGTCTGGACAAACTTGCGCCAGGGGTCGCCGTGGTTGGACATCTCGCCGATGACCTGGATGATGATGCCGCCATTCGCAGAAGCCTGTGCATCGACGGAATGGATGAAGACCTTGCAGTCGTGGAAGCCGAGCGAGGTGATTTTGTTGTGAATTTCCTGCGAATTTGGGTGAGTGAAACGTCATCGAGAAGTCGTTTGAGTCAGAAGAGAAAGAACGGTGCCGCGAGTTACGAGAAAAAGAAGGTTTGTAAGCTGGATGAGGTCGTGGGACGCGAAACGAAAGGTAGGGGTTTGGGGTAGCAGTGATGACACGGAGCGCGCAGACGATCACACAACATCAGGCACGTACTGACACTCCAAGATACTCTCTCATAGCAGGGAAGCACAGAACAAGGAAGGATGAAAGGACCGATGGGAGATAGTACGTACCTGTTGACCGAAGCATGGTTTGCCATCCTCACCCTCCGTACCATGGATAAACGTCGAGTTTTTTGAGTAGAAACAGTGAAGGCGATTAGGTTCCTTGTTGACAAAGGTGTAGTATTGGGGCACGAACTGCCAGCCGACCTCTGACGGTACGACGCTGGACGGCTGAGTGGCGGTGGTCGAGGTGGTCATGATGACTGCCTACGCGTCAGCTATGCCGCAGGCAATACACCAGATTACTACTCACAGAAAAATAAAGATGAACTGAAGAGAAAACGAGGCGAGGGTGGTCTGGGGGCTGTTGGGGCGAGAGTCAACGATGACAAGCAGTTGGCCGGCCAGCGAACGAAAAAATACGCCACCCCGCTCTCTCGGCATTTCCCGGCCGTCCCCAGCCACGGTCCGCACCGTACCCCATTCATCCACAAATAATCTCACTGCCTTCACTCCGTCCTATATAACCCTCTCCGACTCAACCGCGGGCTGTCCAATGGCTCGTAGCAACACTCCCTACTTCCTTCTCCTTTTCGTCGTCCTCGCCTTCTGCCTCTCCAACAATGGAGTATACGCGTTCGGCGCAGGCAACATCCCCTCGTAAGTCGTTTGTGCTCACAGGCCGCTTGATGGTCCGCCGATCGTTCATCTCTCCCAACAGATTCGCGTACATGGAGGGCAGGGCATTCCGCCACGGTGATATCGTGCGTGCCGCTCGCGATGACCGACCAAGCGCTCACTCTTTGCGTCTGTAGGAAGACGTCCTTGCAGATCTAATCAAGAAAGGTTCCAGTGGCGGCTTTGCCCTCGCGAGTATACTGTCGAAAGGTAGCAAGTTCAACGGCCTCGACATCAAGCGGGTTTACTTTGGGTGTGTTACCTCCCCCTCCGAGCCTCTTTCCATGCTGAGCTCGATCGTGTAGGAATTGGCTCCGCGACTACAGCCAGGTACGCTCCTATAGCCCTCCAAATCTGTTCCGCTTTAATACTATGCGCATATAGGCGGTCGACATCAGCACTCTCAAAAAACTCCAGCTCCAGGTCGGTAGCCTAATCATCCCGCAATCTACCAAAGCTTATTCCAGCGTTAGACGATCATCAACCTCTGCATGGTCCTCGGCTTCATGGTTCGCATTCCCTCCCTTCTAGCCCAGATATATGCGCTAAAATCGAATCCCTTACTATCCACCCACCTCACAGGCCCACGGATATGCCACGCACGAATTCGAAGTAACCGAAGAGCGTCTGGGCGTCTACCTTCCGGTGCGTCTCGCCTTCCGCAGTAGTCTTCGCGTTCTTGGGTGACGGCTGACCGACGTCATTGATCTTCTGATCTAACCGTTATCACTCTTAATGACAACAGACTGAGCACATTGACAATCCGAAAGGCTATGGCGACGGTGAAGATGCGCGGACGTACCACCCCAAGCTACGCGGGCCTGTCGATGTACGTCCTCTCCCTTTTAGAGGAAATCCATTCTGTCGATCTCATTATCATGCTGACTTCGATGTGTTCTCCAATAGCCAATAGAGTTAGAAATCGACCCTAGGTCTGGAATGAAGAATTACATCGCCAATGGTACGCATCGCCTTCCTTCGTTCCTCCTTTCCTGTCACATTCCACTGGACCTGACCTTACCCTCAAAATTCCGACATATAGAGGACGGGCACTGGGACACATCGCGTGCCCTCGTACGCCGCACCCTCGAGCAGTGCATCCATATCGGACGGCAGCACCGCGCACGCGGGCAGAAGCAAGATGAGTACGAGGCGTATCGCCTCCTCGGACAAGCTGTGCGTCTCTTTCCCTACGCTACCTCTCTGTCCATGGGCTAATGATACGATGCTAACGTGCTATTATTACTCTGCTTCATTACCTTCATTACCATCCTATTGCGAACTGCGAACATGTCGGACTATACTCCTGCAGCTCCACACCCTAGAAGACTTCCCCGCCCACTCCAACTTCTGCGAGCTCGCGCTGGTGGCAATGGGCCACCACGATGTGTTCGTGCACGTCGGCGACAACGTACGCGTGCAAGCCCCAAACGGGCGCTGGGTCGCGCCGATCGTCACGGGCACGTTCGGTTCCAGCGACTTTATCCACTCCTTGCTTGGAGGTGCGTAGATATTATGTAACCACGAAAAGTATGCTCAACTTGACCGCATCTGCTCTGCAGAGGCCAGCGACCACCTAAGCTCCGCCTCCGTTACTGACATCAACCGCGAGCTCGACACCGCTCGTACGAAGTCCTTCTCGCAAACGCGTAGCGGCGGTGGACCCACCGACCCGGCCAACGCCCTGCGCGACCTGTTCTTCGCCCTGCCTGGGGGCGAGGGCAGCGAGCTGAGCAGGGACATGGAGAATATCGAGCGGATTAGGGCTGGGCCTGCTGCAGGGGGCAAGAGGCCAGAGGATATGAGCCCGCAGGAACTGCATTCAGTGCTGTGGCAGGTGTTGACGTTTAGGGATAGTGGTGAGTTTCCATTTTTTTCTTGTTTAGGTTTGGGTGTTTGGGAGGCGATTGCTAGAGGTGATGACGCTAACGAATATCGAATGTAGTGGTGAAGAAGATCTCAAAAACGATTGGTATGTGTGTCACTATTGACGGGGTGAAAACGTTGCTTATTTTTCTTTTTTCTTTTCTTTTTTCTTCTGTGTACTACAGAGAAGATTCCTGGACTCGGGCCGCTCATCGAGAAACTCATGGATGGGATCTCAGGTCCGTACATCTTTTTTGCTCCCAATATACTCGTCTGACGTATTATATGCAATAGTCTTCGTGTTCACGACCCTAGAAGTAACTATATGTATTCCTTCACTCCCGACACCTTGCCTAACCACTCGATCCGTAACAGCCTTTCCTGAAACCCATCATCAAGTCATCGACAGCGAGTTTGCAGAGCATATCCGGCGAGGTCATCGATAACCATGACCAGTATGAGGTGTTCAACGATGCTAGAGCTGTGAGTTGGGTGTTTCTTCTCTTGCTTGGGAATGCAACTAACAGTGACATTGAAATATCCAGTCGGACCCTACGCACTCGTTCTTGAGTAAAGACCATTTTGTAAGTTGCAGTATTTTGAGATGGATAGCAAGGAGATTCGGACAACTCATAGAGGTTCTGTAGAATTTGATCCTTAATGAACCAGCTGGGCAGTTGGCTAAGATCATCGTGGTACGTATTCCGTGCTTGAACTCACAAGACAGTCAATAAGAATACTGAACTACTTCGTAGATGCACACCGTCAAGCTTATTCAGAACGCTTGGGACAACAACTCTGTTAACGTACACCAAGTTACGGAGGAAGCTGTACAATGCCTGTGCGTTCTTTACCTCTCCTCCCCATCTGCACATTTCCGAACGTACTCTTTACCCAGGTTCCACCCCGACTTCCACAACTCCAACTCCCAAGTCCAGCGCGACATGCTGCAGTGCATGCGCGACTGGTTTTCCAAATCCTCGGGCCAACAATCGGTCCTGCAGCGCCTCTCGAAGAACGCCGTGCGGAACCACGAGAACATCCGGCTCGCGGGCGAGGGCGGCGCGCCGGCCGCGCAGGGCTCGTACGCGCAGGGACAGGCGCATCAGTTCCAGGCGTATTTAGGGCAGAACGTACCCGGGTTCTCGCAGGCACAGAGCCTGTTTGGTGGTGCGGGGAATGCGAAGGACGGACCTGGAGGGATGGGACCGGGCGCGATGCCGCCGCATACACATGGGCATGGGCCGACGAGCCCGCAGCCGCCGATAGGCGGCCAGGCGGCGTCGTATTATAACAGTGGACCAGGTGGTGATGGTGGAGGAGGGAGAGGAGGGGGATCGGGCTACGCACCGAGCTATGGAGGAGGGTCGAGCTATAGCGCGCGCGTGCCGTCGCCTTCTTCGCCGCCGCCGCCTCCGCCACGACCAGGATACTCGCCGTCGTACGCCCCGACGTACCCGTCTCCGCCGCCAGGACCGCCTAGCCACGGCACGGGCATGGGCACGGTGGGCATGCGCCCTCGTTCCCTGGGTCCACACCCGGCTTCCCAGACGCACCTGGGTTCCCTGGCGCACCTGGCGGGTACGGTGGTGGGCCGCCTGCCCCCGGAGGTTACGGCGCGCCGCCACCTGGGTTCCCGGACACTGGACCCGGAGGGTTCGGACCACCTGGAGGCACAGGAGGCCCTCCGGCGCCGTTTGGGTTCCCTGGAGCAGATCCGTATGGTGGGGGGCCGCCGCAGTTCCCTGGTGGGCCGGGGGATAATAGTGGTGGGTATAATTATGGACGGCCGTGGTAATGCTGGAGGTGTGGAGATAGAGAAAGAGAAAGGGACGAGTAAATGCAAAGTGTAGCGTTGTATGTGTGTAGTAGTGTTGTGTTATTGCCAGATAAGACTTTTTCTAGTAGTCTTCTTTCTTGCATCTCTTTTTACCCCTTTCTTTCCTTTCTGCCTTCGCTCCCTCTTCGTCCTAATTGCATTCCTCCACTCTTGTATATGTACTTTAAATCCCAAATGTAGACTCGTACCCACGTCCTTCCTGAATCGTTCGTTTGTTTTGCACCTGATTCCTCCCTATCATTAGATTAGCAAATGCGCCACACACATGCGGAGTGCGAACTCGAGCGCCAAATGAAGGCCGTTTCATTTCGAGTGTATTTTTATCAGCAACTCCCATGGCTATTTTCAGACCTGTCTCTCGCTACGTGAGCCGGAAATAGGGAGTGTGGGCGCACTCCCAAGAAAATACCAAGAAATTTGCTGGCAGGGGATGTCGGGAGGGATATAAATATCCTCGCTAATGAGCTGCCAAGCTCACATGCAAACTTACTGAGGCATGGGACAGGAAACAACTTGAACATCGTGGAACGGGGAACGAGGTGAGATACTCGAATGCGTGGCTGGGTCATATGGTCCTTCATGGTGTGTCGTAACGTGGCGTCGACCTGGAATCTAGATACCTACGTGAGTCACTGCATCATGCCAGCGGGCTGCGATGCTCCCAAAACATGAACCAGGTGCCAGGTGGTGATGCAATGATGATGCTTCTGGGGGAGACTATGTACTTACCTGGTGACGAGGCCCGAGGAGCGATTGATCGCCTGTTGGGGTGTCGCAGGAGGTGTTGGTGAGAGGGCAGAGGGTAGTGGTCGTGGCCAGCATGCGCAGAACAAGCTCGGAATGGGCGAATGGATGATCGTAACGGCACGATGAGCAAATCGAGAAGGCTGAACGGATGGATTAGGTAGCGAGGTGTGGATACTACGGAGATAACGTATCTGGAGCACGGAGGGCAGTGAGCATAATTGGGAAGTGGTGTGAAGGTACTTAGGTAAGTAAGGTGAAGGCCTGGTTGGGACTGGTTGTACAATGAGTTTTCTTTTACTGGAGGGGTATTGACGAGAATGCGAAACAGTCAAGGAGGGAAGGGGTTGGGGTCGAGGATGATCGAACGACGAAAGAAAGTAATATGGAAGCAAGCCGCGTATTTCAAGGAGTGTCCGTGCTATGTGGCTTTTCGTTTGGGTGTGGTGATGGTGGTACAGGGGTGGATCCAAGGAGAGTGAGCGTAAGGCGAAGTATGGAAGATAGCCCAAGTGCTGAAGCTTCGAAAGATTGAAGCGAAGATAACTTATGTTTACAGGAGCGAATGACAAGAGTCCGTGAATGCGAGGGGGTCATTAAACGAAATGAAACGGAGAATGGGGGGTGTGTGGGGCACCGTGTGTGGCCGGTGGGTTGCGGTGTATGGGGCTGACGCACTCAGGACGGGGTATTTGGGGATCATTCAGTGGTCGTTTCGCCGGACAATCGTCATAAGCCCGGGGATGCCCTTGGCTTTGTCCATCGCCACTGGTCTGCAGGGATCTCGTGCAACTGACTTGGTGGCTGCGGCAGTATAGCGGACCTGGTCGTGTGCAGTACTTAGATATTTCCTGAGGAATGAGCGCATAGTGAGTTGCTCACCTGGACCTTATATGTCCCATTAGGAGCAGGCTTGGGGCCAGAGATTGTACATGCCCATCTGAATAACAATGGCACAATGGAAGACCGTCAGACATGCATCATCCTGCAGAGTAGAAAACGAAGAAACGAGTACGCACTGTTCATCCGCGAGGGTATTTGCGCCAAGGCCTTCGACGCGCCCAAGCAGCTCTGACCTCGTCGCCCTCACAAGTGTGGCGACATTGACGCCGCCCGCACAGACGTAGTTTTCAGTGAACTCCACTGCAATCTGCTGCTCCTCCTTGACATTGTTGGCAATGGTCGGGTGGGTCTGCGGCTCGCCAGAGTCGACAACGATGTGGTTGCGCTTGGCCGAGGACGTCTTTGATCTGTCCTCCAGACGGCGCATGCGGATGAAGAGGTTCGCCACACCAGCCATGCCAAGACGATGCTTCTTTGGGGAGGCGGTGGTGCCTGGCGTGCTAGACGAGCGCGACGGTGAGCGCAACATGCTGGAGATCGTCTGTGCGTTGTCGGGGCAGGCGACAGGGGATGTGGGGGGAGTAGCTCAGGGTTCAGTCGAGGGCGTATTTATGTCACCGTCGCTGTTTGAAGCACTTTTGGAACGTGTCCACGACGGGGAATCCAAACTCCGCCCGCCTGATTTACTTAGATCCTTTCCTGGATCTCGCCTGGGATAAAGAGTCCCTCCCACTAGCTCAGAACCAGCCGTTGCAGCCATCATTAGGGAGTGGAATCGCTTGGGAAGCCTCTTTGACGCGTACGCGCACAGACGGGTTGATGATCGCGTACGCCTCGGACAAATGGGCTTTATTCCACTTCTGCACAAGTAAGCATTCGCCGATAGGGGAAAAAAGAGCTCAGAGACGCCCCGACAGATCCCAAGGTGAGCTTTTCTCAGAATTTTATTTTTAGTTGATAGAGAGAAGGGCGATCCATCCATCCAGCTCGTGAGTTCAGAACCCAGCGCCTGGGGCGGGTATACCCTGGATCTGTTTCCTCGACGCACGTTCATCTCACCATAGATCTGTGGCGAGCCAAGCCAGCTGGGCACTGGGTCAATTGAAGGCGAACCCAACGTTTTCACGAAGTCTCATCGGATTGGACGGGTGATTTTCAGAGAGCAATCAACCTCAGTCGCCTGGTCGCATTTGACCTCGTATCTGTCTGGATTGGGAGGCAGGAGATGGCGGGAGATGACCTTGAGGTCAGAAACATTTTTGGATGTTACATAGATACAAGCTCCTGATTTCTGTAAAAAGTTGGTGCAGAGGATTATATAGCCCAACATTAACACTTGCTGAGCTCGGGTGATTCTTTGCGCTTTATTTAAAAGGACAACGAATTGGGGGTCGAGGACGAGTTGCAGGTCAAGCGAGCGGTCCGGGAAGTTTCATTTTGATGCTGACATAAGCAAGAGTCCTCTTCCTTAAACCACCACCACAAAATGGCAAGCCCACCGCAGCCTCCCCTTCGTCTCATTCTAAACCCTGCTTGAATTATGCTAGATCATCCCTGTGCGATGCTTCTCGTGCGGAAAAGTCATTGGTGACAAATGGAACGCGTACCTGGAGCTGCTCGCGAAGGACATGAGCGAAGGGTGGGTTTGTCGTATTTTGCAGGCTCTGCGTTGTGCACAATCTGCTTACTGACGTAATGTCGTTTTTTTTATAGTGACGCTCTTGATGAGCTCCAGCTAAAACGATACTGCTGTAGACGCATGGTGCTCACTCATGTCGATTTAATCGAGAAGCTGCTGCACTACAATCGTGTGTTGACTCATTCTGTGTTTTGTAGGGTTTGGAGCTGACGAATACGTGGTAGCCATGGAACGGACGAAGGACAAGGCAAACTTCTAACGTCCTCGTTACCCTCCTACTTCCCAACTCCACTACACGAAGGTTATCCGATTCACATGCTGATAACAGCAAATTTTGGCATACCACGATCAACACGACCAACTATCGCTGTCCTACCCATATGGGCCGAGTCTCAGTGCGCACCTTCGAGCTTTCTTGCACACGTGTTCTCGGATCTATTGGTCCCCATAGACATGTCGATAAAAGTACTGTAATGTGACCCAATCCGAACTCTCTCTTGTAGGTGCTGATATCCCTCGTTGGCCAACTCTGCCCGCAATTCCATTTCTCCGAAAATATTCAGGCTCAACGTTGCCCTTCTACCGTCTGCGTCTGTCAATTCAATCGGAAATACCACGCCGAATCGAATCGCCTGGATGGGATGCATATAACCGTCACTTTCTTACTATTCAGCAAAGGGAGTACTATTGGACTGTTGGTGTTATTCTGGGCAAGGCTAATAAACCCGCGTCCGAGAATCGTGGGTTCACAGAGCCAATTCATTTGAAGGCACAAAATCGCCTCAAATGTGTCCCATCCTCCAGACGAAGGTCAAGGTAGATTGACTGCTATCTCAGTCGCTGAGCTGGCTGATGGTACCGGGAAAGTGAAAAGGGCGAATGAATCCTGTGCCGGATGGAAGTTTGATGGCAAAAAAAGACATGTTGAAAAGGACAAGTCGAATCTTTCCCATCCTTCAGCATGAAAAATCTCGGTTTCAGGCTTCATCTAAAATGCAGAAAAGTAACTGATAAAAATGGTTCATTTCTCCTAGAAAAACAGACGAAAGGCAGAAACAGTGAAGTATCATAAATACCACAGCACGTTACAGGGAATGGATCGCCTTGATCAAATCGGCAGCTCGCTCAGCCAACGCATACGTCGGAGCTTGGGTATGTCCAGTTGGTACAAAAGGCTTTCAATATGTCAGAGTTGGCTACATTCAACAAATTGATCAAACCTCACCAGCACCGAGGCGTCGACGACCCGCAACCCTGCTGCTTTCTTGACCCTCAAATCTGGGTCAACGACACCTGCTTCTGCCCCCTTCCTCGTCATGCTTGAAGTTCCAACGAGATGGTAACCAGCACGTGTGTTGCCCCTGATGAACGCGTCCAATTCAGCATCTGTTGCATTGAACCCGGGCTGGGTCGAGTCTTCAGGGCCTAATATGTAATCCCCCCAAGCGGGAGCAGAGACGAGGCGGAGAACGCTCTTGACAGCCTCACGCATGAGCGCGAGGTCTATAGCGTTATCAGCGAGTATTCCTGGGTCGATGAGCGGAATGGAGAATGGGTCGCTGGAATTAAGCTTGACCGAGCCTCGCGCATTGTCGCCCGGGCTACTTAAGAGGGCCGAGATACTTAGGTAATTTCCTGCAGGCGGGGTGGGTCCTAGGCGGAAATTCTGCTCGTGTTTTAATGCGCCAAAGTTTGCATGAAAGCTAGGGCACTCACCGTGAGGAATATTTCGAAGTGCGGAGAGCCTGGGCCTGAAGCAGGATTTGGGGCGTTCGCGAAGATGCTGCTGTTGCTGGGCACACGCACGAAGCCCACATGCTGCGAGACTCCGGTGCCTGGCGCATATCCTTCCACGCCTGAAGCGCCTCGTCTTGCCGAGTCGAATTGCGTCTATAGTCATCATACGTCTCGTTGGAGTTGACGCGCCAGTAAAGCGTAATGAGGGCATGATCAAATAGGTTTTCGCCGACATCTGGGAGGTCTACGATGGATTGGATACCATGCGAATTGAGATGCGACGGGCTACCAATTCCCGAGTTCATAAGCACTTGCGGTGTGTTTATTGTCCCAGCCGAAAGGATGACCTCCTTGTTGACGCTCGCGGTAAAGAGGGAACCTATGTCACATTTCAACAAACAGAAGAGCAAGAAGAAAGAAACGTAGTCACCTCCGCCGTTCACGCGGAATTCTACCGTTTTGAATTCTGGAACTCCATCTTGACTTCCCTCACTAGTCACCCGTGACACTTGTGCGTTGACCAAAACGTGGAGATTCGGTCTGAGCAAGAACTCTCGTGCAAGGTATCCTGACGAAGAGCTACTACGACTAGCCGATGGACCATCAATCGTGGCCTGCATCCACCCTGTATGGGGTTAGATTAGATATCTCCTCATAGCTATATTAGGAACACCTCGCGCACCGAAGCCAAGCGGCGATCCTGAATTTAAGTCCAAATTGCGCATGAACTCCCCACCCAATTGATCAATTGCCACCTCGAAGCGGCCACCGAGGACGGTGGAGGCGCCGGGCAGACTGACGGAGTTCAGACCGTCAAATCCATGCACCATGGGGTCGAACTGCCCCGTGGTGTTGTGGCGATCTGACGGTGGGGTGAACTTCTCACTCTTCTTAAAATAGGGCAGCATGTTGTCCCATGACCAGCCTTCGTCTCCTGTGAAGTTCGCATAGCGGTCGAAGTCAGCTTTGGATCCCCGGGCGTAGACCATCCCTTCTGGGTGGGCACGGAATAAGCTTTGCGCATGAGTTTGGAAAAAACAAGGGCGACGTACTGATGGAGCTCGTTCCACCTAGCACATGACCGCGAGGGAGACCGACTGAGGCTCCATTCAGTCCTGGCTGAGCTACTGTGGTATAGTTCCAGTCCCAAGGGGTCCGAGGATTCGTGGTAGGGTTCAAGAATGGAACTTGGAGGGCCAAAACCCCAGCATCGCTTCAATTGTGAATGATAAATGAAACGTCTCAAGACTTCATTATCATAGGTTTCACTTGCCTTGGACCAGCTTCGAGTACAAGCACATTGAAGTTTGGATTCTCGGTAAGCCTATTTTCGACAACATTTCCGGCAGTACCACCTGAAAATCCGAGGAACGTGTAAGCAGGCAGTAGGGATAAGAGAAGCTGGCGTAGTACCCACCTCCGACAATGATGAAGTCGTAGTTGGTGCTCACGACGTGGGGAAGATCTTGCGGACTTAGAAGTACAGCAGCACTGCTGTGAAGCAGGCTCAAAATTTGGGTAACAGCAAGCTTGTAGGAGAGACGCATGATGGAGTCTGCTGGGAGGGTCGACTTCTCCCCCATGATCATTATATACCATTAGAGTTCCATCTCTGAATGACCTCTGATTTTTGAGCTACGCCTCATTAGAGTTTCTTCTTGGACGGGCATCATAGAAGTAAGCAACTCGAATGGCTGGGAGGGCGTGAATGACGCGGATTACAGCACGCCTAGGTGCCAATCTCTCACGAACTAGAGATCAAGGAACTTGAAAAGGTAAAACCAAGTGCTTTGAAAGGTGTGTCACCGACGCTCGCAGCCAGCACCGCCAAAAAACTATACTAACGTCTATTTCTGCCATGAACGGCATCGTAATGCCGTTCTCTCGAAGCTCGCTGGCGGGAAAGTTGGAGTTGCCAAGCAAGACCTGGCAAACAATTTCGCTCTTCCTGAGGATTGGACCCGCAGCTTCGTTTTTAATGCGTAACCATGCCACAAAACACAGCATTTGCTGAATTCATCGAAGAGTATGCTTCGATTGCTCGCAGAACGATGAGCACGCGTTTATTTACATTATTCTTACTAGAAATCGAGAACTGACTTTTTTGACTTGAAGACGCGATAAAGTTTCCCATGAGCCGACCTCAGGGATTGAGACAATTCACTGTGATAGTACTTATAGGTAATCCCTGTATATACACCCGCCAAAACAGTCATCTGATTCGCTCAGGTAATTTTTTAAGAGTCCTTTCAATATACAATTTCGGAATATGACGAGGAGGGCAGCAGGGAAAAAATGCAGACTTAAGATTTTAGGACCCTATGAATTGCTCGATTTCTGCCTATGGCCTAACAAATCGGGAAAGCCTGTTTGTCATTGACTGAATGTGGCGCATTTTGCCTAAAAAGGAGTCACTAACCCTAACTCCTCCAAAAGCACCAGTCCCAAGTTTGTTGGGCCCAACGAAGTCGTTGAACCCAGAGAAAGGATGAAACGGACATGTTAGGTGACTCTCAGATTCAAATATGCAAAAAGGGTGCAATGGAACATGGAATAATCGCTGACTTTCGTCCCAGTGGACAAGTTCCCCTCGGGCTTCCGACTATGAGTTGTGTAAATGACTAAAGCAAGCATTGAAATTCTATAAAGCACTCTGATTTTATGGGCATAATTATCCTTCCCGGCCTCACCATCGTTGGCGCAGGATCTTCAAGTTGTTGGTGTTGTAACAAATATTCGGCAAACTTCGAATTCATCATAGTCGAAATACTTCAACTGTTAAGATCCTGTTTACGGGTGGCAGTGAGTAATTGCAGATCGAAAGCAACTAACGAAAGTTGCGAGATCGCGTCAGTCGAAATAAAGAATTTGGGATGAGCATGTTGGCGTGTACGAACAGATCCAAAGAGAAGGTATCAAATACCTCTTAACAAGAGTAATCGAGATGCAGGTGGAGGTGAGAGACAAGCGTAGCTGATAACCATGTGGAAGCACGGCAACAATAACTTCGAAGCTTATGTCCCATCCTGAGGACAAATGACGTGGTTAACATGGATCGCAGGGGTCGACAACATAGAGAAAGGAGGAGTACAAGTTTACAATCACGAGAAAACCACACGGTGTTCAATAATAATTCAATTTGGTAGCAATTGATTTTCACAAAATGAAACTCTCATCTGCGACTTCGCGCAGAAGATAGTCCTCAACCATTTCCTCGCCTGCTAGCCTTTTGACTACATCTGCTGCCTTCTCGAGGAGAACCCTGTCAGGCAATCCCCCATTCTGCGGCACCTGCTCCGAACGCGCAATCCAACCAGTCAAATATGGCCAATTAATCTGTGTGTGGTTTATCGGTTGTCCCAAAACACGCTGCTCTATCTCTGGGCGAAGGACGGGCTCCAGGGCCGTGAAGATACGGACACACAGACTGTGCACCTTGAGGAAGTTCAAGTTGAGCAATGGGCCCCGTCGCAGGCCCGTGGAGACAGTTTGTGCGGTGTGGGCGGCCGGACGGCTAACGGGCGCAGGGGGGGTCGGTTCTCCGAGTTCTGTGTTGACGAGATCAAGCATCGCTGCCAGGGGATGATTATGCTTATTTTCGGCCTGGTCAATGCGTTTTCTCTGGACAGAGGAGGTGAGAGTGCTTGCAAAGTAGTCTGCCTCGTGTAAAGCCCATGCATCGCTGACCTCCGGAGTTATACCCCGGCCAGCCTCGTTATGTGCCCTGATTCGCCTGGAATCGGAGGCGTTCTTTTTGTACTGTCTCTTTCCTTGCGCAAATTCCTCTGGGCGTACGCCCATCATGATATCCCACTGCTTCAAGAAATTGGACTTCGGAGGAGGACCAGAGAAAACCTTATCGCCAAGCACGTCCATAAGGTGATCGAACAAAAGTGCGTGTTCCTTGTTAGACGAGGTGTCCTGGCCGACGATGCTTGAAGAGGGCGCAAATGTGAGGTATCCTGTCTGCTTCAACATGTTCCACAGCTGAATGGTGCTCTGAACAAAGCCACCTGCACCGACAACAGCAGTCGACGAAAAGAAATAGTCCAGCATCATTTCGGAGATCACGTTCGCTGTCAGCCAAGGATTTTGAAGCCACAGAGAATCCTTCTGCGACGCCTGCCTGCTGAGCTTGTCCCATCCGTACCGATATTTGATGTCTTGAAGTGGGTCGCCAAGGACCCAAAACTTGATGGACTCCAACGACTCGCGGATGTGCGGTCTTGCAATCAGATCCATATTGTCGTCATACAAAACACCATCGAACAAGAAAGAGGAATATTCATTGACGACCGTTCGGGCCAAGTTACGCGCAACTTGCAGATCGTACCGCAGATGGCGCCTTCGGGCCTGCACAACATCAGCTTGCATCTGGCACGAAAAGATCAAGGCCCAGGTGACAGTTCGCGGCTTGTTGTTGCAGAAAGTGTAAAACTCCTGTCCAAGTCCACGGCGGCCAATCCATGACTTTGAGAGCTCGTTCGCAAGGATAAGATCTGGCCAATGGTTGCACATTATGCAATGATCCTCCAGCTGCTTGTCGTGCTGTGACATCCTCTCTCTATCGGCTAGTGGGTCAAAGTATCCGAAGTGACCGTCTCGGAGGAGCGGCCGCTTGTTCTTCTCCAGCAACTCGGAGAAGGTCTCAAGGGCGGTCCAGGTGTGAAACATGGTTTGGTCCAGGAGGGCGTCAAACATCTCTTGGGTCATTCCTTGCGGCTTCTCCAATAGCAACGGTCGAAAGACCGACGCGAGGCCCTTGTCCTTGTCCTCTAAAACTGGAAACTCTGCAACGAGGTCATACTCCAGCTGCTTGACGAGCTGCACGGCCCTGTTCGTCACGAACGAAGCGGCGACGTAGCTAGTCGTTCCGATGGGCACAACGGTGCGCCAAATCTGGTTGCAGTATTTACGTATGTTATTGACGTCCATAAGGAAACATTTCTGAGCTTCACGGGACTCATCGCGAACTTGTTTGACCTTCTTCCCTTGGGAGTCGAGATCGTTATCCGGTAGCAACTCGTATTCGTCCAAGGGGAATGAGCACGGTTTCTTCGCCTTGCCTCCAGGGTTTATCGCAGGGTTGTCGCGTAGCCATTCGTTTTCTGCGGACCCTACTGGCGCAGAAACCGAGAACCCTTCCTCCTCCATCATCGTGGTGAGGTGATGAATAGCACCGTTCAAAGCGAAATCGTCGGTGGCTACGAGAACGAGTGTGTCCTTCACTTCATCGTCCTCCTTGACTCCAGACCTCTCTCGAGCTTCCTTCAGAATGGCGAGGGCCTGCGAATAGGCATGGATTGCAAACTGGTGGGACTTGTTGGCTTCCGCCGCATCTGCGTCAGGTGAGTAGAAAGCGGCAATCTCCTTTCTTTGTTCTATTGACAACTCGAGGAGAGCGACATATGTTGCAGATATGTCCAAGTTACTGTCCGCAATCTCTTTCACGAGCTTCAAGAAGAGTCCCAACGAGCACTTGGACGAAGAGAGGTCCGGATCCAACGGTGGTTGCACCTTCTTCGGGGCATTTCTCGATTTATTCCCTTGAGCACGGGGGCGTCTGGTCGTATTCGACTGGGTATAGGCTCGGTTTCGTATTTCCCTGGCGGTGTCGATAACCCATTTCAAGATTTTGGTACTGGTTTCTTTGTATTGCCGGTAGGTGCTATAGTAGGACTCGGGCAAAGGAGCCTTTCGTTCCATATCGTCTGGAGATTATCCTCCTCGGTCGTAAAGAGAGGGAAAAAAAGTGAACTGGAATGAGAAACGATTAGAAAGGTTTCAGATGGTTGAAGCACTGCGAAATCTCACCGGGTGGAACAAAATGGACTTCAAGATCAAGCGCACTTCGCTAATAAAAACGTCGTACTGTGCTATTTCCGTCAGAAAATGTCCTCGGAATGACGAGAAATGGTCTTACAACACTTGTTCCTTTGATAATAGTGATAGAGGTTAGTAAAAGAGGGGCTCTCGGCTTGGCGCGGGTCCAATACGAGCGCGTTGTTGTTCCCTGTTGACACCGACACCGTGTCTCCTTACAGTCTTACTCCTCCTGACGCGTCCTTCAGCTCAAGTAAAAGCCGGAAGCTCCCTGCCAACACCATGGATACTGAGAAAGGGATATCTCCACGCGTTAACTCTGCGCGTTTAGCCAATTTTGTCGGCCAGGAGGTCAGATTGCCTTGCAAAACCCTCAGAGTGGGTAGAATCCTTCATGCACGATTGCGGTCCGCAAGGAGGACATACTTGCTCATCGTCGGCTTCTCTATTGGTTTCAGATCGATGGAAGTAGGGTGACTGTGGAGGCTAGCGATGGTGGTCAAGTGAATGTGCAGGCTTTGCCAGTGAGTTTCGCCTTTTGTTCCCTAGATTGGTGCTAGTTGTCGGCTCCCATTGCGCGTCCGATATCTAACTCATTTTCCATTTTCAGAACACGGACATCTCAGAGACCTACATCGAGGTCGTTGGACGCGTCCAAGACGCTTCGACCATCCAAATGCATGCGTGTATCAACCTTGGGGCCAATCTCGGTGGGTACCCTCTGGCTCTGTCCTTCCTTTCCCAATTCATTCATGTGCTCCCCAGATATGAAGCTCGTGAATGACACGATAGAGCTGATCCACGATCCACGCTTCTACTCGAAGATATTCTCTTAATCGATGCATAACCGCCCTCATGCGCCTTTCTGAATCTTTCCTCCCTTTGCTCGCTTGTTTTCTGTACTCGTGCACCCAAAATGTATTGTACCATCATCCCAACCTCGACAAATTCTCTACCCAAAAGGACGGAATCGACGTAAGGCTAAGTAGAGGGACCAGCTCCGGCACGAGCCATCTTCTTGTCGTGCCCCCGCTTGCGATTATGATTCCCGCGACTAGCTTTATTCTTGTCCTTCCATGCCCGTTCTCGCGCAGTTCCTCCATCGCCTCCTCCGCCTCGCCCTCGCTGGCCAGGACCACCCCTACCACGCGGACCACCTCTTCCTCTTCCTCGTCCGCCACTTCCAGAACCAGACGCAATTTCCAGGCCTTTTTGGTTGCCCGTGAAAGCATGCTTCTCCATAAGCTTTTCCTTGCGGCCAGGCTGGATACATGGATTAAGCTTGAATCAGATGAACTGAAAGATATTAGAGCTTACTGTTCGTTCGAGCATGAGTTTCCAACCCTCGATCTGCTCGTCTGCCCAACCTGAGTAGATGGTATTCTGTGAGAAGAGCTATTTCGGTAGCAAACGACGCTCTTACTTGTCTGAGCCTTTAAATCGCCCGTGCTTTGCTCCTTCTCGTCGTCGCATCCCTCTCAAAGACCTTCGGATCCCGAATGTACGCCAACTCGATGAGCGTCTCCGGCGTTTGCACTTCCTCCTTCTCTTCCTCCTCCTCCTCATCGCTTGTACCACTATCTTCTCCGTCTCCGGCAAGACGAACCTTGACTACATCCTCATCATCATCTGGTCCCTGATCCCCAGCGACCGAGCCTCCATCAGCTGGGTTTTCTTTACCCTTGCCCTTAGAGGTCTCGTTGGCAAAGGGGTCATACTCTTCCTCTTCCTCGTCCGAGAGTGCTTCCGCGCGCCGCAGGATGTCGGCTTTCATCTGTTCCATGAAGCTGTGATCTCGGAGGACCTCATCTCTGAAAACACATAACTGAATTAACACCCCAGTTAGAAAGGATCCAAGAAAACTGCACGAACCCCGCAGACTTCTTGCCAACCCTCAACCGCGACACGTCCAGCTTCTCATCATCAAATACGTTCCGCCTCTGCTCGACACTATACTCAAGTATCTCTTCCTTCACAGCACCGCCATCCCACGCCTCTTGTTCGCCACTCAGATCCCTTTCGAGGTCTTCCTGAGCCATCGCCGTACCCTCCAAGAGCGCCTCCACGACCTTCTCGGGGTTCCGCCCGTACCGATCATGTGCGAGCAGAAGCTTGACGTAGTCGACAGGTGTGTCGGGGAGGATATCCAGCACCTGCGTGGCCTTGATCTCGAGGTCTGGATCGGAGAGGATGGCATCTAGGGACGCCCCGCCTGCTGGGGCGCGGGATTTGCCCTTGCCTTTGCTATCAACTACATGGGTAGAGGACGATGTTACGGCGGGTTGAGCTTTGGAGTTGGAGTTGCGCGTTCCGAGGTGGTCGATGCCCGGTTGAATTCCAGACGAGCGGAGGAGGATCTTGAGCGCGCCTGCATTCTTTGGGCCTCCGGAAGTCTCTTCTGCATTGTCGAATGATTGCAATGTGCTCTCCAGAAGATCAAGTCGTACGTCCTTCTCTTCAGCGTGCTTCAGCGCCGATGCGAGCGTCTTGGAAAGCGAATAAGAGTGCTGATAGTCCGCCAGCAACGACTGGTTGAGGAACGGTGTGGGTGGTGTAGATGATGAGCTCGAAGGCACCTCCAACAGTGCAAAAAGTGTATCGAACGTCCGCTCTGCCTCCACCGCCAACCTTGGACCTGCAGAGCACGCCGCCAAGTCATCCAAGAGAGTCGTAAGAATGATGTGAAAGGCATCCAACAAGGCAACTTTCGTCTCCACCCAAATCCGCTCCCAATCGTCCGCCTCACGATCCTGGGCCGCGATACCAGCGTTCAGGGCAGGAATCCCTCCGTAGGAGATAGCGATTGCAGTCATTCCGGTGCCATATAACGATGCGAGAGCGAGGATAAATTCTTTGTTCTGTGCGAAAGGGCGAAGGAGCTCTGGGGTACGCTTCGCTCCGCGAAGGAAGGAGATAATGCATTCGGCCACTTTGCGTTGGGCGTAGAGTCCTTGCGCGCTGGGTCGTTGTTGCTGAAGGAGGAGTGTGAACCCGGGGGCGAGGTCGTCGGCGATACATTTGGATAGAGAAGGGTCGGATTTGGCTGCAGCAGCGAATACGGGCTGGAGACGCGATGGATTTGTGCGTGAATAGACGATGGCTAGGTCGAGGAGGGTCTGCACGTCCAACTCTGGGGACGACGCCAGCTTTTCTGCTAGCAGGAGACTTCGTTTTCGGATTGTCTTCTCGTCTGTGGATTGAGCTTGAGTCGCGTTCTCGTCCTTCCAGATCAGACCCTGTAGGGTCTGAAAAGCTACATCCTTCGCGAAGGTGGAAACAAAAGACCGTGCAGAGCTTGTATCGCGTTTTTCCGGAGGCAGAGCGAGTACGGATCCTAACGTCGATGCGATCGTTTGGTAGAGTGCAGCTAGTTGAGACGGGGAGAGGGTTTTGCGATATGATTCTGATGGATAGTTGGACAGACGAAGGACGTCATTGGCCATGGTTCCCTTCAATAAGATTCAGTGCTCAACAAGGATTACTAGTATCTAATCGAGGACCTACCTTAGAGGGAAGAGCTGGCTTTTATGGGACGCGAGATGCGTGGTTCAGGTAGAGATTGGAGTAAAAGGACAAGATCTAATGTTGCCTTACGTATGATTGGCGCTGTGATAGAAGCCACGCTCACCAATCCTTCACTCATCTGAACTCGAGGTTCTTGAAGATATCCTTCTTAGATGCTTCCAGACGTGCGGAATTGCTGATGGAGCAAGCATGTCTACACTTGTCGCAATTAGGTTCCAGGTTTTTATGATTTCATCATTATATGTAGAGAACGCATATATTCGACGACGCTACGGCGGTTAGCGTTTCGAAGCCAGTATTGTAGCAGCTTCTGGGCTCAGTATGTACGATGAGAGAATGACAACGATGACCAGATACTGGCGTATTAAATGCTACAAAGGTTTCTGGCTGTCAAGAGTCATTCAGCCCCACCGCGTGCCGACATGTTCAATGGGAGTCAGAGCAAATAACACCCCTACTAAATTCTGGAGCCCAAGGGTTGGAAGAGAAGGTCCAGTCGGAGTGGACCCGCTTCATCTCTTCTCTTCCCATTTCTCATACTTGTTTTCTCTAAGATCCTTGATGTACGCATCCTCAACCGTTTCACAGAGCTTGTCGAGGTCGGAGAGAGCCGTAATCAGAGCATCGAGGGATGACAGGTTATCTGAAAAGCAATATTGAGCCACTCAGGCAAGAATAAGATGGAGATAATGGTAGTGCTTACCGTACATCTGGATGCGGACGTTGATAACATTTTCTGACGGATGGGGTACGCTGGCGAGGGCCGTCAGCACGGTGAATTAATATTTCAAGGACGATAAACGTGTTCGCGGGTGGTGCCGACAAAGTGGGATGCAAGGAGATAAACCTCGCGAACATGAGAAAAGGATAAGGGGGTCGATAAACGTGTTCGCGGATGCAACCGAAGGCAGTGCCAATCGGCGCGTTGAAATCGAGCCGTCATCAGAGAGATGCAACGTCCAAGAGAGAAGTGGGCCTCTCCAGGAGCTAGGGAAGGAAGGAGCGGTCGAACAAAGGAAGGGCCTAGGCACCTGTAGCCACAGAATTCCACTTTGGGGCTGCAAATTTCTGTGAGACTCGTGTGGACGTAGTATCCAAACAAAGGCGCACTTTTTCATGAGCATCCATCGTAGCGAGTTCCCAATTGTGTGAGATTCATCGTGAATCTGGTACGTCGCAGCGGAGAGGTCGGGCGAACTCCTCAACTATGGCTTTGGGTAAGACATTGTCAATGCATTGAGTGAAATCGTTGGAGATAATGCTCACCAGCTTGATCTTTTCAGCTGCTTCTGTCATTATTGAGACTAGCGAGCGCAAGCTCCAAGTATTGTTGAAGTCGAGAACCATTCGAGGACGCGATGAAATTTCATTGTTGGCACATGATCCGGCATCTGCCAGCAATGGGCGCCAAGGCCAATCTCAGGTCAAGTCATTTTGAAAGATATCGAATCAAGTCTTCAGAAATTTCTCGTACATATTGCCTCGTCTATTGCCTCTGCAAGCTTCGCTATTGTGTGTGCTTACCCTGAGTAAGGAGCTCGAGCCGAAGAAGCGAGCAGACAATGTAGCGGGCCGGTTCAAACCCCGCTTAGCAAACAGTTGCCAAACAGGGACATATCTCGCTTCTGACTTTTTGTCTTCACAATGGACTCCCTGACGTGCCGACCATGTACGGCCTTGAATAGGCAAAACTCCTCCCGATATGCGTGGTCTCGCATACGATCAATGGCGCTACTGTCCGTCGGCTAGAAGTCTCTATCGGGTCTATAAAGCAAGGCCCAATTCACCGACGCTGGCCCAACCAACTCCCCGACTCCCTCCTGACCCCGGTTCTCCACTTATACCCGTTCTGCCACTTTCTTCATTTGTAACGACATATATTTAAGGCTGGCCTTGATTACCTGGGTAATCGTCTAATTTCCAACTCGCCACACGATCTTCACTTTCTCCACACCAAACCACTTTACGCTTCTTCTCTTCCTTCGCAATGTCTGCCAACCACTTCATGAAAACCGAGGAGCGCCCCACACTCCCTCCTCTTCACACGCTCAACCTACCGATGTGCTCACGCCCATCGCGAGCTAATGTAAAATACGAACATCACGATAATCTGGTATGTTTCGCGCTTCTGAAATATTTCCTCAGTGGCTCATCGTCCCCGTCTACAGCGACCCATGCCTTCGCAAGTGCCTCGCACCTGCCATATCCGTCAGGTCTCTTCCTCGTCTTCGCATACGAACGCGTCGCGCAACACCTCTCCCTCTCCCTCCGAATGCGACTCGGACGTCAGCCCGCTCGAAATTCCTTCGAAGCAGACGAAATTCCGTCTCGAACCTTGCGAGTTCGCAGCTGCCGACGCCGTCATCCTCGTCCCGCCTCCTGGCACCTCGTATGCCGGTGCAGGTTACAACTACGTTCCCCGTGAGGGAAAACCACAGGGCCTTCTCCTCGTCGGACAGGCGCTGCAGCACGTTCGCCACCCCGAGCGCCACATCGCGAAAGGCGCCAGGATCCATCCATACCGCATCGCACGGAGCGCCCACCCGAACACGGGCGCCTCAAGACGGTCCTCGGTCATTTCGATAACCGCCTTCAACCCCACCCAATGAAATTGTACGACCGAACGGACACACGACCACCTTTTCTTTCTTTTTCTTCTTGCGATATCTATCCGACTACCCATACCCTGTATCCATCATACCAGACTGCCTGCTCCACGCATTTGTATCATTATACTCTATATACAACACTTACGAACGTAGGGCTGACTTTTCACGACGTGTATAGTAGAACCACTGTTACATTGTGCTGATGGCTACAATAGTAGTAGAAAAATAAACATCGAATAAGTCTTGCATTGTCTTAAGGGATTCGCATATTCAAACGCCTCAAGTCGCACATGGACCTGCTCCGACGAGACCACAATGGCCTCTGCGATAATTGTCTACGGATAGACAATGTAAAGCTGAACTACATCGAACGCCTCCAGCTCCTCACTCCGAAACGCGCCTCTACTTATTCTTCTCCAAAAAGCTCAACAAATTCCTGACCACCTCCTCCGGCTTCTCCTGCTGCACCCAATGCCCCGCCCCATCCACCAACACGAATCCCTCTTCCCCGATCCGCGTACACACCGCCTTCATCTTATCCACCGCGCCCGGGATCTGGAACACGCCCCAATCCTGCTTGCCCGCAAGGAACATCGCCGGCACCTCGATCTTCCTCCCCGCAAAGACCCGCAGGTCCTTCGACCACCTTAGCCCGTCCGTCTGGCACCGATACCAGTTCAGGCCGCCCTGGAAGCCCGTCTGCGCGAATTGGTCGACGTAGAAGGCGAGCTCGGCGTCGGGTAGCCAGGTGTTCTTCACCATTTGGCTGGCAGTGGCCGCGTAAGACGCGATGGATTCGGGCATGCTTTGAGTGAGGGGCATGATATAGTAGTGCGGCAGCACCGAGAGCGCTTCTGGGGAGAGGGCTGCGAGAGGCCCCGCAGATTGGTTGGGCGCCCAGTCCGCGCTCTTGACGCGGTAGTACGTCCGGAGGAATACGTGCAGGCCCTCTGGTGGGTTTCTCAGCTCCTTGTCCGCCTCGGGTGTTGAAAAATACATTGTATAGTGCTTGCGTGGTGGGTCGAGACGCGCCAACCACTCGTTCGCTTGCTGAGCGAGTGACTTCGCGTTAGGATCGTCAAACGCACTACTGAGGGCTGGAGGACCAGTGTACGGCGCGCTCATAAGCACGACAGACTTGAAGACATCCGGACGGATGAGTGCGCAGTGGGCTGCCACGGGCGAGCCAAAGTCGTGCCCGACGACCGCCTCAACCGACGTGTACCCGAGCGCATATACGAGTGCGAGGATGTCCGTGGCGAGGTTGAGCATCCTGAACGGCGCGAGGTCCTCCTCGTACGTGATCTTTCCTTCTTTGCGCGTCTGTTCTCGGGTTTGTCCATATCCACGTTGGTCAGGAGCGACGACTGCGTATCCTGCCTTCGTCAATGGCTCGATCACCTTGCGCCAGGAATAGGCCAGCTCTGGGAAGCCGTGGAGGAGGACGAGAAGCGGTGGTTTGGATGAGGGGTCAGCATTTGGTGGGTAGGCTTCGAGGATGTGCATGTTCAGATCATTGACGGTTATGAATCGCGATTTAACGCTATCTGGAAGGCCTGGCATCGTGTTGGTGCGCATGGTGGTGGTGGTGGTGGTAAGGGTGAAAGAAATATGCAGGCCGGTTTAAGTTCACTTCCCCTACCCGAGTTAACCGGATGATATGACGGTCACAAGGCCAGGTATATCATGGAAAGGACATTGATAAGTAACCCCAATGACAGGTCGATGTATTCCGCTGTTGTTGTGCATAAATTGCGTGTGTTGGATTACACATTGAAACATTGCTGATCAATCTCAGCGACTGTCCAGACGGACTGATCTTCCTCATCCTCAAACCACCTCATCAACTTTCGAACGATTGATGCAGAAACCCTAAGAAAAAGCCTTAGCATGTTGACTGTCCACAAGGATCGTTGGGGGCGCACCGGTGTCACCCATTCCTTGCATCCACAACACACTCCAGCCCAATCGTAGTTGCCCAGCTTAGCCCCGCACTTTTTGTTCGGGCACGTTATCTTCCCGGCTAGTTGTCCATCTGAGAGGAAATGCTCCATCCATTTCATCTGCATAAAGGGTAAGCTTTAAGCATGTCCAAGATGAGGTGGTTATGAACTCACAGGTTCAACAAAGTACCCCGAACATTTCGGGTTCGCTAGTATTGGTGCACTGACAATCGGAGGCTTCGATGCGATAGGCGACGTAGCGGCAGACCCGTGCTGTGAGCGAAGCGCCGCCAGTTTGGGGTTGGTATACAGCTGAGCAGCCAGATCCGTAGGGCTAATAAACTGGGTTGTTGGATGCTCAAGCTTGGTCTCTGACGCGCCTCCCTCGGTTGTCGTCCCTCCCTTCGCGGGGATAAAATTGTTCTCCTTCTCTGACTGGGGCGTGTCTTGTGGGGTGGCGATAACCGCGTCAGAGAGTCGTCGCCCGAGCACTCGCGAGGCATCGATTGACAAATCCTCTGCCGTCACAGGTTCGCCTTCGGCCTCGTCGTCGATGTCGAGGGCTGACATGGACAGAGAGGACGCGTCTAACAGAGACATACTGCGCAGCGAATGGAGTGGATGAGTTGGAACTGGCGTGGTTCTCGCTGTCGGGTCGGAAGAGGTAGAGTGAGAGGGATTCTTTCTCTGGGTCTTGGCCACCTGGATCTTCACGTATCGAGGACATAGATAAAGAATCTCCGAGAGCTGTGCTGAAGGATTTGCGTGAAGGTCGTCGAACAGGCTCGTTGGCAGGAGTCATCCCGTTTGATGAGGCTAACATCGCGCTCGCGGGCTTGCTTTGCGAGGGGCGTCGGGATGTTGCTGGTGTTATTCCCGCTGGTGTTGGAGGCCCGAGTTGGCCATGATCCAGCATGTGCTCACGAGCAGCTAGCTCCTGCCTGATCGTCCATAATCGCGAAGAGAATGAGATTTCGTTCATCGAAGAAAAAAAAGTATCACGCACCTGCACATCTTGCATCGTATTCTCCTCCTAGGACCTCCAGGCGTACTTGGCACGGAATCCGATGGAGTACGAGGATAGCTGGCGAACATGTTGGTTTCTGGAGGAGATCCGTCTCCATCTGCATGTTCAAGTCAGTGTTATAGGATGTTATGTGATAGTCAAAAGGACGTCCCCGGTCCCGAGACGTACTCATCACTTCTTCTACCGTTCGGTCCATGTAAAACATTCGCACCGCTTTCTCCCTCTTCGAAATCTTGTATCGTGCTTCATGAAATAACTCGAGTTGCTGTAGAAAGCCTTGGTTGGGCCTTCAAGAACAAATGGATCAGAGGTACAAAGGGAAATGAAGCACGAGGAAGTGGACGTACTCGACGAAGGGCCGGGCCTGTCTGATGATTTCGAGGGCTCTTTGAGGATCGATTCCCTGACTATACATAAGGTACGCCGCTACTATAGTCGAGCTGCGGCCTAGATAGACTTTGTGAGGGGGCGCAATCGGGATATATGCATTCACGTACTGACTCCAGCCTGACAATGCACCAACACCCCTCTTCCTTTATCGAGCTCTGCCTGGATGAAGTGTATTGAGGGGAGTAGATGCGTCAGGATATCCGCATCCTCTGAATCGTCGACCTTGATCTGGTGTCGAATGAAGGTCTGGGGAGGCAGTTACACGTTCTGGAATCTGCACATCGGAGTTGCGAGTTGAGTTGTCCGCACCTCGTGAATCGTGATACTCCCTCGCATCGCCGTTAGAATACTGAAGATCCCGTGCTGTTTAAGCTTCTCAACGTTGAGCGCGCTTGGAAGGTCGCCAATCCATAGGCCTGGTATAATTTCGTCCATCGTGCCCGTTTCCGAAGTGCGTTCGACGATTAGACGAAGACCCTGCTCGAGCTCGTGTTGGGTTTCCGATTGACGACTATATGCACTCAAAGGAGTAGAGGAGGGTGCTCGACGGCTGGAGAGGAGGAACGGTATCAATGGAGAGTAAGGGTCTTCGTAAGCTCTCTGGTAATCAGGGAGCCTTCGATTATAACGGAGGAAGGAGAGGTTAAATAAGAGCCGTCCGACTTCAGTTCGATCAACGTCTGCCGCCTTCGCTCCAACCGCCGACAGACCGCAGCTCCGAGAAAATACAGTTTGTACATTTCAACTTCGACTTTTGACTACAAAGTTATAAGCATTCAATACTTTGCGATACATGGCCAATCTTCCTTCAGCCAAGCGCCAATCTAGCGTAAGTTGTCCACAGTTAATCAATCATGGGCAAGTAAGTGCATCTGGAAGATACTCACCTCTTGAGTCCAGCTGTGTCACCGTTGAACAGATCTTGGTCTCCTGGGTTCGGACCTGAGTCCGCGTACTGCCAGAAGGTGGTGTATCTGCAGCAGAGATGTCATTCCGCAGCTAGAAGTGGTGAAGGCAATGACGTACGCCCAGCCGGCCGGTAAAGTGCCAATAGCGGAGGCATATCGGGCGATCCAGAGAGGGCTCGTTGACCCGAAACCAGAATTATTTCTGGTACATGTGGTCCACCAGTTGGTGGTGGTGTAGATCACTGGAGTTGAACACAAAGTTAGAATGTGGTAGGGGATTTTTTTCAGGAGAGTGGTGTCTGACCTGGATAACGACCCGTCTTCGCATGATAGGTGTTGGAGAAGTCGCGAATCCAGCTAACCATAGAAGCTTGGCTCAAACCATAGCAGGTTGCGCCATATGGGTTGTCTCGAGAAAAATTAGCCGTTATCACCCCAAACGAAGACGTCAGCCATACATTCTATGTCAAGAGCTCCAGGAAGGGTGATGCCTTGGGAATCGAGGTGAACTGGTGAGAATTCGAAAGGACGAGAACATCCAGAGTGATTTACCATCACCACTCCAGCCACCTAAGAGGACATATGTAAACAGTTGTGCAAATGCTGGTTATATTTGATTATTACTCGCCTCCATGAGCAAGGAAATAGGTCGCTTGAGCAGCTCCACTGGACCTGTCGGGAAGAGCAAAGTGGTATCCTCCGCGAATCAAGCCAACGTTCGTGGCGCCTGTGTATTGAGATGAGAAGGAGGGGCTAATGTAGCCTGTAAAAATATTGTTAGCCCAAGACTTAGATCGTAATAGCAGAAGAAAATCACCTGTTCCTTCAGTAGCCTTGATATAGGCGAACGAAATTCCATTCGCCTTGACGGTGTTCCAGTTGACGTTGGGCTGATAGTTGGAAACGTCAATTCCCTGAGGAGATGCACGTTTGAACAGCTCTATGTTTCCAACTGGGCTCGCATTGACGACCGCTGCGGCCAGGAGTGACAAGAGAGATATCCACTTCATCGTCATGAAACGAAGGTGACCTTTTCTTCCGACTATCTAAGCCATTTTATATGAGTTGGCAATGATAGAAATTGCGCAACGGTCGTTGCTGAAAACACAAAGAGTGAGATGCACATGGGTCAACTAAAGGCCCAGGTGTGCTAGAGCAAATTTGAACGACAGCGGTTGAATGATGGAAAGCGGCGCGCACCAGGTGATCTGTAATGAGACCCATGAGTCGCACTCGAATGAGGTTTTTCTACGAGCTTGACAGCTGCTCGTGCAGAGGAGGTGCCTATTGGCCCATCCTGTGCCTGCGAGAGATGGAAGTAGGCTATTTTTGCCGCAAAGAGAGCAACGGCACGCGGTCTTGACAGCGAAACCTTGATTATCGCTGGTTGTTCTCCACGTAATTGAGCAGTATGATGATCCAGAGCATCTTCGGTGATGAAATGCACTCGTTCCTCGGGTTGTCGTCGAGTCATCAGGAAGCATGGGTGTAGACATTGGCCAACCTAGAACTTCATCTAGACAAGTCCAGTTGGGGTTTCCCGTTATTTTTGCCTCTCCTATAGAACGTTGGCGAGTTTCATGTGGTCAATTTAAGAGAGCCATACGATGCGGAGCCCGTTTGACAGAGAAATACACACCTCCAAAGTACCTGTTCGCAAACCGAGGTCCGAGGGGCACACCAAACGCGTGCAAGAAGAGATGTATAGGTCCACTCCATGGATTACAGGTAAGCGTCCATATTCAGAGAGCACCTAAATTAAGCATAGAAATTACGATGCAGGTTGGATGCAGGACTCCAAAAAAAAGAAAAACTGAACGTTGGTGGTCAATGACAAGAGGAACTGCCAGTGTAAAGTTGGACCTTGGTGTCACGACCTTGTCCCGACGCGTGACATAACAGAGTCACGGGACTTTCAACACCTTGAATTAGGGGCGAACGCGCTCCCTATCGAGCATCAGCCTGTATCAGCGAACTCCAAAGTTGGTATCTCTGAGAAACATGTCTCAAAAGAATTAACAGATGGTGTAGTTTAGACGATGAAGCTACCAGGAGCGCACACCCTGGTCAAACTTGGACGCTGCTGAAGGGCAACTTGAAGTGAATCAATCCTCGAGCCACGAGCGCAAAAATTAGATCCCTTCTTCAGCTTATTACATTCACGGAAAAAAATAGCTCGGATTCCACCTTAGTTTTTCTTTCTCAGCTCTCTATATTTTTCCTTCTCGTACCTCATCTTGTAGTCAAGCAGCGGTGCCACTAAACCACCCAGGAAAAAGACGCACTACGGAAATGTGTAATGCGTTCATTGAGCACGTAAAGCTGCCTGCATGTCAGATGCTTATCACGGTCTCAATCCAGAGAATATGCCAAGGGAACACCGGGCACACGTCGCAGTTATACGCAACTAGAGCAGCTTGGAGTACACTAGTTGGTAGGCTCCCGCTCTCCAACATATTCCTAAAGAACAGCTCCTTCTCGTCGTCCTGGTGTCCCAAACCTCATCATTGGCGCCTATGCTCCAATCAGGCGACCTCACTTACCATCGGCTCTGTCCGTTCCATAATAATGTGCTCGCCCTTGAATGAACGGATGCTGTGGACCGTGCGCCGCGGGATGATTATCTCGCCGTCCTCTGGGGTGTATATCTGAGTCATAGGTCCAATTCTGACCTCGATGTGGCCTTTAACGACCCGGAACACCTCGTCGTGCAAGGGGTGCCAGTGCGGAGGGACGAAGAGCTCCTCCTCGGTGTCGTATTTACAACCCACCATAACTTTAACTCGGGTGAGGTACTCTTTGTTCCTCAGGAACGTCTGGAAACGTGACCGCGATTTAAGGTGAAGTAAGGAGCGAGTGACTGTGCGTCAGCGGGAGAGATCAACGCTATTATGATGGCGTTCTTTGCTGCCATGATCGAAAGGGGGAGCTCGTCGTTGGACATCGTGAATATCCAGCTTGAGTTCTCGTCGAAATGGAAAGTGGAAGGAACTCGATCGCGATGCCTTGAGCCACGAAGCGTTGCTTTTGAATACAAGCTATTAGAGTCAGCGCGCTCTCAAGCGAAGCTTAAGTGAAGCATTCAACCTACCCTGAGATGGCAATGACTAAGTACTCTGTGTAGGGTCCGTCAAAGTAAGTATTAAAAAAGCCGATGAGTAGCTATGTATCACCGTCTCCACCTCTCGGACTCGGTTCGGGCGTCATTATTTTAATGTCTTCGGCAGCCACAATACGTGATTGTGATTTGAGGATGAACGAAGTTGGAGACAAAGCGACCCGGACGTGTGAGAGTCGAGTGAGCGCCAAGCCGAAGAAGTTGGCCACACTTTCCGAATTAGGGTGGGCTCGCCTGAAGTTTGAACTTTTCGCACCTTTTACAGCTTCGGCGTATTCGTGCTAATGTGAGACAGCGCAATCTATATACTATCTCTACGTTCAAAAAGTGGACGAAAATCACTGGCTGAATTATTACGGTCCGCCTAGATCTGGGGACTTTCAGCCACGACAAGCGCCAGTTGGGATGCAATTAGAGTAAGTAACATTTGAACCAAGAACGCGACGATATGTGTTATTAAAAGCCACCTCAGTTCTCCTTCTTGACGCTGGTATACTTCCGCTTCCAGCCAAGCAACGGAGCCAAGATACCACCCAGGATCGCAATAAACTGGATAAACGGTTGAAAAGATTCATTCGTGTGTATTTTAAAGGGACTTACAACATTCTCCAGCCAGAAGATGTGCAAAGGCAACACAGGACGCGCGTCGCCGTGGTAGGCGGCTAAGGCAATTTGCATTGCCTCGTCTAGGTTAGTTGGCAAGCCCCCGTCCAGCGGTGGGAGGTTACGGAAGAACACCTCCTTGATGTCATCCTAGCGCATTAAATGTTCACCATGAATGAATCCTGGACATATTCGTAGTGCTTACTCACCATCGGTTCTGTACGCTCCTCGAAGATAAGGTGTTCGCCTTTGAAGGTCTGTATACTGTGCACAGTACCCTTTGGGACGCACACCTCACCGTCTTCTGGGGCGAATATGCGGGTGGTGGATCCGACCGTGACCTGCATCCGCCCTTTGATGACCAGGAATATTTCGTCGTGCGTTGGATGCCAGTGGGGGGCGACGTAGAAGGGCACCGCGTCAAGAGTGGGATCTATTGGGGTTTCGAACCGGACGAGGAACTTCTCGTTCCTCAAAAACGTCTGGATGAATGAGGCGGATGCGCCATGAGTGGTGCCAGTTACAAAAGATTGCATCTCACCATCGTAGTATTCTTTCCTGCCATTACGGTGGGAGAAAGGTCGTCGTTGTACATGGCAATTCACCTTTCTGGGGTTCTTCAAGAAACGTAAGTAGGAGAGAGGGATGGGGGATGAAAGAGCTTGAGTACGCCATTTTTATATCTAGCTCTACCATCAGGTGAGAAATAAGAAGATGCCCGTGGTCGTGGCTTGACAGAACCACGATGAGTTTTCGATCAGAGCTGCACAGTTCCGAGGGTTACTTTCGAGCACGAGTGTACACTAAACAAGCTGTGAGGTGCTGAAAGCTCGATACAGTATGTAATCACTCTAGTGTCTTCGGCGATCCAGCCAAGTCCGTCATACGCGAAGGGAATTTGACAAGTTGACTGGTGCCGGTGACCTTTGACAAGTTGAAGCCGAAGCTCACGAGCACATATGAGAGTTAAAAAGGTTAAACCCTCAGGCCTCAGACCTTCGGGCCCTCCCTCGACCGTTGACGATGAAGTGACCGAAACACCTACATGAGTTTGCAGACCCCCGACGCCAGACTGATGGCTCGGCAACTTCCACGTCCGAAAACGGGTTTGTGTAATGACGCAACTTTGACTGGCTCCTCGAACCCAACAAGTCTATGCCTCCGCCCAACATCGCCGTGCTGGGTGGTGGCCTCACAGGACTTTCAGCAGCCTTCCACCTTTCGCGGCGCTTCCCCGCAGCCCAAATCACCCTTTTGGAGAAACAAGCTAGACTCGGTGGCTGGGTACGCTCTGAACGCGTCAAATTACCCCAGATAAGTGCCTCAGTATTACTGGAAGGCGGCCCTCGAACTTTGAGACCGAATGGCAAACCTGTCCTGGAGTTGGTGAGCTTGACGGATATCATGCACATAAGCTGAAATTGAATCACGTCCAGATCAACCTGCTGCAACTTGAGGACCAACTCGTTACAGTTCCTAAGACTGCCGCTCCTGCGAAGTCTCGCTTCGTCTACGTTCCAGAATCTTACGGAGACAACGTTTCGGGTCTCCAGTGCCTCCCATCCTCCTTGTTGTCTCTTATATCATCCCAATTGCTATCTATCCTGTTGCCAGCAATCCTTCGTGAACCTTTTAGAAGGTCCAACCGGCCGCCAAATGCGGAGGACGAAAGTCTAGACTCTTTTCTTTCCAGGAGGTTCGGGGAGACTTTTGCTCGAACGTTTGGCAGTGCTCTCGTCCATGGGGTCTATGCGTCAGACTCGCGAAAACTGAGTGTCCGAGCGGCATTTCCATCGTTGTGGGAGGCAGAGAACAGGGGAGGAAGTGTTGTGCGAGGATTCTTGATACCTTCCCGAACGAAAACGTTGGACGATGATTACGCGCTAGGGACGATGGTCGACCGGATGCGCGGTGTCTCCGTATTCTCATTCAGAGACGGGATGACGACGTTGACGGACGCGCTGGAGGCACGCTTGCGGACAACCTCGAACGTCACCATTCTCTCAGGCACTAATGTCACAGCCATGAAGCCTGGGGGGAATTATTTTGAGGTGCAAAACCATCTTCGAGCTTTCACTTTCTTTATTCACTTTGTCTTTCTTAGATTTCGACTTCGTATAGACAAACCGTTCAGGCGTCATACGCTATTTCCGCTCTACCTCTTCCCAAATTACACCAGCTTCTCAGTTCCTCTCTGGAATCCAGGACCTCGCACGAAGTACCCCACTTGTTGGAGAACCCGACATCGACGGTCCACGTCGTCAACCTTGTGTTCCAATGTCCTCCAGCGCAGGTCCATCCAGAAGGTTTCGGTTATCTCATCCCTCGTCATCCAGCAGGTTACCCAACCTCAGCCATTCCCTCATCCCCAGGCATCTTAGGCGTCGTATTTGACTCTTGCTCGCTACACGGACAGGACTTACCGCTCATCGAGGACTACTACAGCAAAGCTACGCACACGAAGCTCACAGTCATGCTTGGCGGACCCTACCCCACGCTTCCACTGCCAGCGCAGCTCGCCTGTGCCGCCTCTGACACCATGCCACCTTACGTCGCATCAGTCCTTGACCAGCTAAAGCGCCAGCTAGGTCGAGATCTCCCGAACCCCATCTATTGGCACATCTGGAACAACGAAGGCTGCATCCCGACGTTGCAGCCAGGCCACCTCGAACGCGTGAAGGAGATGAGGGAGGCTCTTCAGAGTTATGGCGGCGGGCGGCTCGCCGTCGTTGGCTCCGGGGTCGGAGGTGTGAGCGTGAGCGATTGCATTGAGGCTGGGAGGCAGGTTGGGAAGGAGTGGGTCTGAGAGGCCGTCTTCGACTAAAAAGATGTAATTTATTCTTATTCTTAAAGCCTTATAATGCTAATGAAATCTCTTCTCGACTCATATTGGTCCTCAATCCCTCAGCTGGTAGCGTCATGATGTTCACCGGAGTAGGGCGTGCCTCGGAGAAGATTCCTCAAGAGGCAAAGCTGGATCAATGACCATAAGCTCTTTGGTGCATCCGGGCAGCATTTCACAATCGGTGGGAGGAGCTCCAAGTCTCCAAGCTGGCGTGCTTCAGCAACCAGAAGACGATGGCCCATCAAAATCCCTACTATCCTCCGTGCCAACACATTTTGCAGTGACGGACTTCAACTTCGAGTAATTCAGTTGTACTGAATGCACCATGGAAACGCACTGGATGGGTGTTGTACATCGCTGGACGCTTTGCTGAGATGTCCTAACCATGTCGGCATCTGCTCCTGTTCGTCGATCATCGACCAGTCGCCACATTTCCCAAACTGGTAGGGCCGGTACCAAATGACCAACTGAAACAACGCAAAACTTGATGACGCACGGCGAATATTATCGTGGGCCTGGAGTATAAAAACAGATCCCTCAGAGGACTTATTCTTCAGCTGGTCTCACCTCAACAAACGCAACTTCATCCTCGCCATTGACTCGGCGTAGATCGTAACTGTCATTCACACCCTCGACTTACACTCTCAACCCACGGCCCTACGCGCAATCATCATGGTTCAATTCACCGCCTCCATCCTCCTTACCGCAATCATTATTGCTCCCGTTCTTGCGGTGCCTTTGACCATGTAAGTGTGAAAATATTCTCCCTACAGCTCTCATGACTTAACTCTCTTTTTACCAGTGTCGGTCTTTCCTCCGAAGATGCCACTCAGGGAGAACACCATGCCTTGCACTCACGAGCGCTAAGGGTGACGCATCCACAACTTACACGCGGAAGGACCGCTCCTTGGAGCCCTGTTGCCCCTTCGCCCGATATCATGGTTCGCGCAGAAGAAGGCATCCAATCACGCGAACCACGGGGACGCGTTCAAAGCCTGGCTCAAGTCACCTCTATTACCCATGGTACGGGCCGCCATATACGCCGCGACCTCGGGTATTTCGCAACCCGTGAACCAAAAGGCGGGCGTGTTCAAGCTGCGGGACAGGCCACCTACATCACCCATTCTCCTGAGCGCCTCAGCTGTGGAGGACGTCTGGCGGCGCGCGAACCAAGAGGCGGACGTGTTCAAGGCGCGGGACAGGCCACTTATATCACCCATTCCCCCGAGCGCCTCAGCCGTGGCGGAGGTCGTTTGGCGGCGCGCAGACCAGAGATTCATCATTTCGAGGGCGTGGGGCAAGCCGCTTCGCTCACTCATTCTGAAGTTGTTGATACTGCTTAAGCTGGTTGTACCGTCGCCTCGGCAGCGAAAGTAAGCGGACTGCAGCACGGTGAGGGTCGTGGAGGACTCCTCTGGGAGCTTACTGTTCGCGATTATAACCCACTCGATGAGACGTAATAAATGAATATATATCAGACGTTTGATTTTACTTCTTACTTGCATCGGTATTTGGCAGAAAGAAGTAAGTGCATTTGTAGGCTCTCCATGTCTTCGAAGAATGGGACTCAAATGGGCGGGCCGGTTACGTCATTTACCTTCCCACGGGGTTCTCAATTGATTCAACTCTCAAGATCCCAACTTCGTCCCATCTTGTCTTGTACCGATTTCGCTGGCAAAAGCGTTCTGCAGCATGTCATACCCAGGATATACACCCCCGTCGCAAACACCAGCAGGCGCTGTGCCACAGACTGCGACCACATATCCCTATGGCGCCTACGCGACTGCATACGGTCATCCAACAGCAGCAGGTGCATACAGCTATCCTGCAAGCGCGTACCAAACGGGAGTGACTGGTTACGGGTGGACGTACCCGTATGGCTATCATATTCCTCAACCACACGCACAGACAGCAGCAACGTCAGCTGCACATGTTCAACGACCCGCGGCTCCAGCCACACCTGCGGTTGCGACGCAAGCGACAACGACATGTCTGCCCCAGCGAACAGCATCTTTCTCTGCGTATACTCCGAATTACTCCAGGGAGAGCCTTCCTTCACACACTGGTGGGCGTGGAGGACGAAGGCAATCCAATTTCAAGGGGTTGTTCACGAAAGAATGTGCGTGCTGTCTTACGTCTTCCTACCATTAATCCGTGCCATCTGACCGTGCCATGTAGTGAAGAATCTCATGTACGGCTTCGGAGACGATCGGAACCCGTCAAACGACACTGTTAACGTTATGGAAGAAATCCTCATTGAATATATCACTGATGTAGTGAGTTGCCTCTGTTTAGAGTGTTCCTGTTGAAAGCTAACTGGGTGGCATCCAGTGTCAAACCGCAGCAGGACCAGCAAAAAAGACCAGATTATCTGTGGACGACTTGCGTCGTGTGCTGTCTCATCCAGCAGATGCGAAGAAGCTCGCCCGCTTGGAAGAGCTGTTGTTTATGCAAGAAGACATCAAACGCGCTCGTGCACAATTCGAAGAATCCGACATTCACAATCCGAAAGGAATATAACATTTGAAGGTTCCACCTTTCGACGCTCTTCATATCTGTTTGGTTCGAGTCAACCCACAACTATCCTCCGCGACGGTACTTCCTGGATTCAGCACAATCTCCCTCCCGTCTCCCTCGCCACACTTATCCTAGAACCAGGGGACGGATAGCCCTTCGCAGTTTCATTGAACCAGGACTTTTCGGGACCATGGCGATTCGACACGAGGAGCAAGTATCGATACGATGGCCTACAAAACAACGACTGCTGGCAAACAATGGCGATACCACCGCCTCGACCATGCCGCCTACCGATGGCTCATGGTCCATTTGCGACGTAGATACTTATAAATGCCCGCCCATATGCCCATTCCAATCTGGGCCTTTACCTCATGCAACATCGCAATGCGAACGCCCTGTCGCCTCGATATTTGCTCTGTTTGTCGTAGAATAGGGAAAACAGTAGTAGAAGCAGTTTGGAATCCAATAGATGGACAATAAACCAGTCGCGTTCGGCGCCTCTAACGGCGAAGCGAGAATGAAATCACTCCTCCATAGCGTCGTTGTCGTCGTCTTTGTTCTCGGGGTTTTCAGATGCTGCTGCCAGGCGTCCTTGCACACCTATAACGGATAATCAATGTACTGAGATCCTAGTCCAGATCTCGCAGGTGAACTCACCACCAGACTGCGCCAGAGGCTTTACGTGCTCCTTCAACCACTCCTCCGACTCCCAAACTGAATACATGCGCAAAAAAGGTCAAATGACACCGTCAGTATCCACTCCATCAAACCATTCAGAAGAACGTTCATGACGCACTAGCTCTGTTGCTTTGTGGGTTCAAGTCGGCCTTCATCGGGCGCGCGATGCTCACTTTGAGGACACGGCCCTTGAGCTCGTTCAAGTCCATGTTGTCAATCGCGTCTTGCGCGTCCCCCGTGGAGCTGAATGTGACGAAGCCAAATCCACGGTGTTTTGGATCTATGAGGGAAGATAAGGGTTGCCCGAGGCCTCGTAGAGAAGAAGCAGCGGGGACGAACCGTTTGGGCTGGGGTTCTGGTGCGGGTTCACTGGCGGAGGTATCTGGACCTCAATGATTTCGCCTGGAGGATGGGTGGAAAGATTTCGTGTTAGAAATCATCTTTGAGGAGAAAGACGGAGGAGGAGGCGCACCGAAGGTCGAGAAAGCCTCATATAACGTCGTCTCGTCTGTATCATCGCTGATCCCGCCTACGAAGACGGTTTTCTTCGTTTTTGTGCCTTCTTCCATAGTGTTTAGACGCGGAGACAAGGGATTTCAGGGCCGTGCGTGTTGTGGGATGATATGGCGGCAGTAATGGTGGTGGTCGAGGTTGAACGTTGAAGCTTGAAGCTCTTAAAGGTCGGACACAGATCATGTTCAGTATTCAGAAACTCAAGCGTTCAGCAACCAAAGCCTATGGAATTCAACAGAACATTCGTGTATCTGTTCTGTGAATCTGTCACATAAAACATCTGCACTTATGTTACATTTGGTTTCATGGTACAAGCTGCCTTATAAACAAATGAGGAGTGGGGAGGAGTCAAATGGCGGCGTAGATCTAGGTCAAGGCACTGGGGCAAAAGCAAATAACAGGTGAGGGAAGGGGTGGCATAGAACAAGTATAACGGAATAGGAGAAGGTAAAGGACATATGACGAGAATGAAGTTCAGAAAGCCGAATTAAGCAGTGCGAGGATTTCCGTAGGTCGTTTGACGGCCGACAATCAGGTCCAAGGTAAGGGATCTGGGCCTAGTTGAAGGTCAAAAAGCCGGCGGACACCCTTCAAAAGTCAAATAAATAGGGCGCACAGAGAATCTGAGGAAGATTTGTTTGTCTTCCCCAAGTCCAACGAGGAAAAAAGTAACAGTATTACGTTATGATGTTCGACCGTGCGGAAGACCATAGTTCCACTACGACGACGAGGAAAAATGGATGGCGGATGGCAGATGCGAGAAAGCGGGACATTGATACTATTATGATGAGATTAGAAGACTATAATATAGTAAGGAGCTACTACTAACCAATACACCACAGCAGAGTCGCCTAGGCACTGCTATCGTGGTCATCCCCATTGGCAACGGCAGGGTCAATGCCGTTGGTGCCGTTGGCTTCTTCCTCCTTTTCCTTTTCAGCGCGTTTGGCCCTCTTCGACTTCGACTCGCCGCTCTTGTTCGCGCGCGAGCGTTTCTTACCGCCCGTGGCAACCTCTGCGCCATTCGTCGCGCTCGTCGCCGTGTCTAGCTTCCTGGCAGTATCCGCTGGGTTGATCGTCTGCGGCTGGGCTTCTGGCTGCTGGACAGCAGCTGAGGTGGATTGTGGCGGCGACTGTTGAGGCACTGGGGCTGGCTGGGCGCCGGGAGGAGGAGGGCCAGCGTGCGGATAGATGGGATAGGGGAAGGGCGGGTAGGCGCCAGCGGGGATGTAGTATGGCATCATGGGGGCATTCGGGTGGGGAGGAGAGCCGTCTGGGCCTGGTTGGCCATCGTGGGGATGAGGCATGAAGCCAGGAGGAGGAGGGTAGTAGATAGGATAGTAGCCCTCCGGCGGGTACTGGGCGACAGCATGGACTGGAGGAGGGGGAGGAGCCGCCGCTGTGGTTGGGGGTTGTCCGTTGGGCCATTCGGCACCTATGCCACCCTCGTCATTGCTGGATGCAGAAGAGAAAAATGATACCGTACCACTGTAACTGCTGCCCTCGCCCTCACTCTTGGACTTGCGCCGATATGGACCACGTTTGATGCCTCTTTTTCTCTCCTTTCTCTGGCCGTCAACGCAAGTGTCTGCAATCGCATACTTGAGACACCTTTCGCAGGGACGATTTTCATCGCATCGTTTGCATGCACTGGCGCAATTGGTACACTAACAATGTCTCAGTCAGGCATACTGCATGTAACGTTGATACATCAACTTACAGCCATCTTCACCTGCTTGCGCTTGGGACGCAGGGCAGGAGGAGGTTGAGACGTAGGTGGTGCCCCAAAAGCTGTGCAAGCAAGTTAGCAATAAGGGGTCATACAGCGTCCATACTGCAGGGAACATACCTTGTGTCTGAGGAGGAGGATATGCGTAGACGACGCCAGGTGGAAGACCAATCATGTATGGACCAGGAGGAACGCCGTTGGGAGCGCCTTCTGGATGATTGCCCTCTGGTGGGTGGGGGTATGCAAAGAAAGGGGGCAGGTAGCCCCCAGGGCCTCCAGGAGGCGGGAATGCACCATTGTACGCTTGGTGGGGGTATGGGACGATTGTCGGCGGTGGATATGGGTGTTCCTGAGTAGGAGGCGAAGACTTCGCCTGCTCAGTCATCGGTGTGAGCTTGAAAAAATTCTATGAGATGAGGAGGACCGAGGGCGCCGTTCGGCGGAGTGCAATGACTCTGGAGGCATTGTGGGCGACAGGTTAGTGAAGGGAGAGGGAGAAGGGATATGCGGGGAGGGAGTAGGAAAATGCTCACTCCGATTCAAAGATTCCGAGCTCAGACTCAAATGTCGGCACCGAGCCAAATGTTCTGCCAGACTGTGGCCTCCAAGCGGTCTCGAGTATGCGAGAGTCGTCTGTGCTGGACACCTGTGTCCTTGGGGTAGCCGAGCCCTCTTGTGCTGGCTCTCGCTAATCCAGGCTAAATACGAGGATATGGGCAGGAGAGAACCGCAAGTCTGTTGTTGCCACGCGTGTGAACATCCTCTGTTTGGCTCATGCGCACGGTCCAACAGCCCTCCGACGGCAGGACCAGCGAACACCAGAGCTCGACCTGCGCAGACTTCTGGTATTCAGACATTTCGGGGGGAAAGCTAGATGGCGAGCGTCAGTTGGGGGACTGTGAAAGATGGAAATTTTGGTGGGGAACATATCCCTGCTCCGACTTAACTTCTGTAGACTCCGCTAATCGCGACTTCAAGTGGCAATCGCGTTTCTCAAGCATATCTTCGATTCTCAATACAACGCAGACCTGAAGCCGGCATGTCTTGACCTGTTCTCACTGGCATGGCCATCTGTCTTGAATTTACGTTGCTCCACCTGCTTCTGTCTTCAATTCTCCGTCCAGACTGTTACCGAAGTCTAGAGCACGAAGTTCTGGCTCATCGTTCAACGGCCCTCCAGCTGTGTGGAAGGAAAGTTTTGTCTTACAACACGACAAAGATGGGGTATATGTACTGTGACGGTGGCGATCTCGGTCTCTTGGGGCTCCAACTTCCACCTCATGGTTCGGAATTGGCCAATCTCCCAAGAAGAATGTTGAAAAAAATGTTGGAGAATCATCTACAGACTCTTTGCAGCGAGACACGGCTTATGCGTCCAATTCATCCCGCGTCGTCGGTATGGAAGACGAGATGGCCGGGTAACCTTTGGAAGGTACGAGTCTGGTACAAGTCTACATGAAGAATTCAACTCACTTCCTTGCAGATCTATTTCGTTTCTTTATGCAAGAAAAAACCTGCTTCTGACAAACTTTTGATCATGATTTATCATCCAACAAAGCGACAAGCTGTTCTTCCAGGATATCCCCTTTCTTCCCTCTCTTTCGACATGCTGTCCTCCACGGTGTTGTGGGCCGAATTCCCCAAGATATGAACATCGACATGAATCATTTCTCGACCCTTCCTACCAAGACCCATGGCAATCGTTACAACTGATATTCGGACTTGTGGTTACTTCTGGCTTAGGGCCTCCGATGAGAACCGATCGAACGATGCTTAGGTGACCGCATTTTCTTGACGGTGTTTCCCTTTTCTGAGAGCATTCGAGAGAAACAAAACGCCTCGCAGAAGGCTAGTCAGAGTCATCGATTCACCTTATTCGCGCAGCCCTCACCAGCCACGAATCCTTACTAGCATCCTTTGGATTTTCTTCCCCTATTCTCTCATAGTCCCTTCACAACTGCTATCAAACAACTGCGTGGAATTCGATGGAGAGCAGTCTCCAGATATTCGAATAGTTCATGGAGCTTGAAGCAAACGGCGATCAGGCGACGAGACCCAAATAGAAGACGATATGTAAGATGCGCCACACGAGCAATTAATATTAATTAATCACCAAGGCTCAAGTCAATTACGGCAGTCTTGGAGTCAGCTTTATCACGACATGCAAATCCCCTGAGCATAACTCACTATGATGAAGAGGAGTTTCAGCACCAGATTCTGCGGTGCGGAAGTTTCTGGACTGGGATGATGTATCGATCATCGAGGTTAACGCTGCCGGCTGACACAATTATTTTTGTTCTAGAAACACTGCATGAGTTGCATAGCGGAGCCGTGATATATCCCCAGAACATTGGACCCTGCTCAGGCCCTTAGACTTCATTTCAACCGTCTCTCTTCCTTCACGACTATGATGTGCCATCGTTGAACAATTCAACCACGACTACGTTGACTTCATCAGCCTCAGGCATTCCACTCGTCGCGACCATGGATCAGTCAGGGGGAGTCGCAGCCCTCGTTGAGTTGGTACGGGAAGCGATGGTCTTGCAGGTGCGCTGCTTGTCGTTCTGGGGCTTGCTTTGGAGTCTTATCTCTCCTTTTCTCCTCCTCGCGCAGATGGTGGACGGTGCGTCTGTTTGTAGTACTCTGAGTCTCAACCCAAAGTCAACTTAGGCCTTTCAACAGTCGCCGCCATTACGATGTTCGTGTGGGACTACCTCATCACGTTTGGAATGGAGGTGGAATACGTGTGGTGTGGGAAGTGGAACTTCATTACGGCCGTTTACCTCGTCCAACGCTACCTCCCTTTCATCGACACAGTCTGGATGATGCTTCATGGTGAGTACAGCCCCTGATTGGTCACACCGGAACAGACCTCATCATTTTAGTGGAGCACTTTGGCGCGAACCTCAGTCCGGAAATGTGCACCGTATTGACGAATACGAGCAGATACATTATGTTCGTCGGGCTCGCGTTGTCAGAAGGTCCGTCAAACTCGCTTTCGACGACTAATCAACTTTTCAACATCTGCATGTTACCAACAGTTATCCTGACCTTCAGAGCGTGGGCGGTCTGGGAGCGCAAGAGAGTGCTTACAATCGCACTTCCTATTCTATTCATCGCATGCTGGATCCCGCCCATTCTGGTTCTACACGATTTTTTAAAAGCCCTTCATTGTAACCCTGTCTCCCTTATCTCTCAGCTGGCCTCTAGTAACGCTTCGTTCAGTTTCCTATCATCCGATTCCTCATTGGAAGGGGTGCTTCGCAATCATGGGCAGCTATAACATAGTTGTTGTTTGGATTCTTCTTTTGGTGTGGGATCTTTGTGAGTCTATCGCATGGTGACGTTGCGATATCTAGCTGACTCCTCGGGCGTCTTTCAGTTATTCTGATACTTATGGTCGTCCCTGCTTTGAAAGCCTGTATGTTTGCCAATTTTGTTTTCTCGCTGCCCATCGCTGACCCCATTCTCGCAGATCATTACAGAGGATACTCTGCTCTGTACAGTACTGTGTATGCTGAAGGTAGGTTTCCACGTCTGCACTTCGACTGTTCACGTAATAAACCATATCTATGTTGTTCCAGGAATTGTTTACTACCTTTATCTCTTCGGTGCGCTAAGGCACAATTTGGTTGCACTGGCACCTGGGTTAACGGAATTCGTAGTCATGTCGGCTCTCAACATTGTTTTGCTTCGCTTAGATTCGGTGAGTGGCCTCCCATTATCTCGACCCCGCGCCATAAACCGTTGGGCCTAGGTCAGCACTGTCTATCGGTTCATGTTCGTGTCGTAAGTCGTCTTCACAAGTAGTGTGGAAATAGGCAACCTTGCTTACCTTCCGCCAGGATGTCGCGTTGTCTCCACTCGACGCTCACAAGCCGGGCCCTTCTACACATCCGGGCTCGCCTCAGCGAGGGAACGACTGTCGGAATAGTGACCATAACCACCGACGAATCTGCCCATCTTGACACTCTGTCTAGTGCCGAGAGGCATGCTAGAGAGGTTCCATGAGAGCACGTTTGTGAGTGTTACTTTGATGGGGACCTCCTGACCCTCCAACTGGCTGATCCCTCTTGAACGCTTCCAGTCGACGACGGTATACACCAGTCCTCCTCGACTTTCGGTCAGGTCAGCTCTACAACAATGTCCAGGCATATAGGAAAGTCGAGGATGAATCCCTCCATTTCGCAACGACACTTCTTCCTCTCTGTGTCTATTCAAAGCCCCTTTCTTGATTTTCTTTGCTACACCCCCCCAGAACGATTGGGAAATGTTGACCGTCGACAGAGTCTGGAAGTGAAAATTTCTTGGGCAGTAATTGAATACATCGGGGTAAGCCGTTTCCAATGAAGTGCGTTGAAGTGAGTCAATACTTACAGCACTCAATTGTTGCAGCGAATCGAGGGTTTTGTAGATCCAGTCGTACTACAAGAATTAAGGAGGCAATGGCGGATCTTCCGCTAAATCGATTGTTTTCAAATTTCAGCTCTCGCATTACCTTCGGATGTGCTTTGGGGCCATGAACACGAGTCAAAAGGTGGTGGCCAGCCTAAGAACTGAGCTAATGCTCACTGGCACTGTAGACCTACCCTCGTCTACTGAGTTGCCGACGTTCTCATTATCTGTCACGTTTGAGAGCGCTTCAAGTTATGGCGACCTGACTAGCGCTTAGTAGGATGAACAAGCCTCCAACGCCTGAGTAGGCCCAAGCCACTAGGCTTTCTAATTATGCAAGCAAGGAACAATAATGTACCCTTCGTTATCTTCCATCTCCTCTGACACTTTCGTTTGAGAGATGGGTACGAGTCGTTTGCCCGCCCGAAAGGCAATTTTTTCCATGTACCATCCTCGTGAATACTTCTAGACACAACTCCAACAGATCAAGACATCGTGAAAAGTAGACTCTTTAATATCACTCGTAGATAATATACAAACGTACAAAATGCTGGGTGTCCCACCATCGGTATCGTTCTGTGGGCCCGAAGAAAGGTCTGGCGAGTTACCGGGACAATCCACCCACACCGTTCCGCTATCGAAAAGTTCTTGACAAGGAGATTTTAGGCGTTGTACGTAGGAAGGGGCTCTTTGGTGTTAATGGATTGATGATCGAAGTCCTGAACTTTCGCTTTGATGTCGAAAGCTTGGGGCGACTGAGGAAGCTGGAAAGACGGAATGTCGATGTACGGCTGATTTTATCATCAGTGAAAAATCGGATGAGGGCCATGATTTCGGACTCACCGTGCCATTAATTACGACCGTTATGCGAGGTGTAGTCGTCGGGAGGCGAATCCCCCCCTCCTTCATAGCATCGCGATGTGCCTGCCAGATGTCGAAGAGGAACACGACAGCAAGAAGACACAAAAAGGCCAACTCGATTCCGGCGATAATCGTAATGTGTAGGCGGAGATCTCGCGGGGTCACCGCGTTGCCACTCTCGCTGACGATGAAGCCCCACAGAATGGTCAAAGCTGCGATATAGGCGAAATTGACACATCCGAAGGTACCGCGCTTCATGTCTTTGATGGAGCGAGGGACTCTGGACGGGAGCCACGAGGCGAAGACGAGGGCGAGTAGATAGAACAGGGTGAAGGGCGCGGTGACAAAGCAGAGGATCGAACCGACATGGGTGATGCTGTAGTACGGGTAATAATGTCGGTATTGACGATTCCGTTCGTCTTCGAAGAATCCAACGATCGACATAATAAGGAGTGTTATCGTGAAAATGGTGAGCGGATACGCCAGAAAGGCAGCTTGGTCGGGGAGGATCTTGTCGGCCTTCTTGGAGCTATTCTGGCTGGCAGACTCCAGCTCGCTTTCAGAGCGCGGGGGGACGATCATGGGCAGAGGCTGAGTAGGGGTGTTATTGAAGGTGGACATCGCGCTGTTTGGACGAATTACTTAGCGTTCACCAATTATATATGTAGACCCTTTGCTATCAAGCCCACGCACCCGAGAATACAGTTGATTCTGTAAGCGTTATCTAAGTGCTGCGTAGCGGTGAACGATGACCGTCATCTCTGCAATTTAGCAGCACCCTTTTGTAGGATATCTGACAAAAGAAGCATCAAGCACTAACCGTGGCCGGTAGATATATGGAGTCTTATGGACTAATTACATAATCGGCTGGCTTGACGAAGCTAAACCACATCAGCGCTAAAGCTACCGAACTCTCCTCGGGCTCCAGCGACTCCAGAATTCACGTCTGCAGGAATGCTAGGGGTACAGGGACGGCATATTGAGACTGGATCGTGGCTGCGCAGTATTTCATGGGAGAACACATAAGGCACAAGAGGCACAAGACTCAGACCCTCAACGAGGGAATTGCTGCGGACGGCAGATAATCAGCGTTCGATGATCAGGAAGAGAATTGGAGAAGGATATCCGTCGACCGTGAGCCAGCCACGCTTGCAGATTGTTTTCAAGGTGTCGTCATTTTATGTCCCACGGGCAGTTAGATCAAACTTCAGACTCTCTTTTAAAAGAGAACGGTTGTCTTCTCAAAATTTAAACGAGAGGCTAGTCATCGAGACTACTATCTTCTGACCAGTCCAAGTCCAGCGCCTCATCAACATGTAAGTAAATACGCCGAGAATATTGGGTCTCTTCTATGAATCGAAGTCAGCTCTGGGGAATTCACCACTGTTCCTCTATCTGACGAAATGGTAAAGATTATTCTGGTGTTCTAACAAATGGGTTGGTGACTCACAAGGATAATCACTGCACCTAGGCATTGTACGTAGGGAGGAACTCTCCTCCTTCGATGTCAACGGGTTTCTGGTTGAATTCCTGAATTTTCACTTTGACATCGGAAACTCGAGGCGACGTCTGGGGAAGCTGGAAATTCGGAATATCAATGTACGGCTGGTTTTATCGTCAATAGAATCGGACGTGTGTCGTGATTGCAGACCTACCGTGCCATTGATCATGACCACGATGCTAGGCATGGTCGTCGGGAGGCGAATTCCCCCCTCCTTCATAGCGTCGCGGTGTGCTTGCCAAATATCGAACAAGAACACGACGCCAAGAAGGCACAAAAAGGCCAATTCAATTCCGGCGATAATTGCAATGTTCAGGCGCAGGTCTCGGCGCATGGCCCTTTTGGCGTTCTCGCCGACGATGAAACCCCATAGGATCGTCATAGCTGCTACATAGGCGAAGTTGAAGCATCCGAAGATAAGGCGCTTCATTTCAGTGATGGAGCGGGGGATTCTGGACCGGAACCAGGAGGTAAAGATGAGGAAGAGCAGGTAGAAAAGGGTGAAGGGAGTGACGACAAAACAGAGGATTGAGGCGACGTGAGTGATCCCATAGTAGTGGCGGTATCGGAGCTTTTGTTTGTCTTCGCAGAATCCGACAATTGAGAGAATAAGGAGTGTGATCGTGAAAATGATGAGCGGATACGCCAAAAAGACAGCATGGCCAGGGAGGATCTTGTAGGCCTTCTTGGGGCTGTTTTGGTTGGCAGACTCCAGCTCGCTTTCAGAGCGCGGAGTGACGGTCATGGGTGGAGGTTGAGTAGGGGTGTTGTTAAGGGAGGACATCATGTTGTTTGGACGAACTAGCGTTCGCCATTTATATAGACCCTTTGTTATCAGGTTGACACGACGGCGATCCGACACACCCGAGAAGATAGCTAATTCTGTAATGGTTAAGTAAGTACTGCGTAGCGGTGAAAGATGGCCGTCGTCGCGTCAGGCCTCTCAAATTTAGCACCTTGATTACACCCTTTTGTCGGATATCTGACACAAGAAACATCGAATATCAACTTTTGTGACAATCGCACGGAGATAGATGGAGGTTTGACGTACAAAGTGAAGTTACACCATATCAGCCCCAAAGATGTTGTTACTAGAGGTTATTTGCAGTTCTGAGGGCTCCACAAATCCGTGAATCTGATTGGCTTGGGGCCTCCTTCAACCAGTGAGATTTGGGCGATTCTAGGAATATTCGAAGTGCAAATAACCTCTACTGAGTTCTCTCCTTGTGAATGGTCTTCGAGTCAGGTAGGCGCTTAGCGCATTCGGTGGCGCTTCCATCAGGCCTCAAAAGGAAATGTCCAAATGTGAGCAGCTCTAGCCACTCCAGAAATATCGTCTGCAGCAAGGCTGCGACCTGCGGACACCACATCTTGAGACTGGACCGTGGCTGCGGTGGCACAAGAGCCATCAGGCTCTTAGTGAGGGAATCACTGCGGACGGCAGACCATCAGCGTCGAGTCAGCAGTGTTCGACAATTAGGGAAGATAAATGTGGAGAATTGGAGAAGGATACCACTTAACTTAGAACCGTGTCTGTTCACCCTGAAAAAGGACGGGTACACGCTGGCAGATACGGATGGCAGATACGGCTGTGGGTTGTTACTTAGCAAAGGTTTGCATTGTCTTCCTGGCGTTGCTCCATCCCGACAATATCACAACCGCGAGGATCATCCAAACAGCCCTAGAGGTTAGGAGGAACGCCATCTTCAAGATCTGGGGCTGTTTCAGTTTTAGATATAGTACAGTTTCAAAAACACAAAGGGTTGCGGCAAGATCTCTGGAGCTAACTTCTGGCCTCGAGGAGGAGCAATCTTGACGGTTACCAAGGTGCCAGCTGGGGGGTAGGGAAAGGTCACGGTGTCATGAAACTTGTGAAGGACGCGAACCTGGATGACCCAATGGAGGCACTGTCCATTATCGTGATTCCGCTTGAAGCTTGACATTTGGCTGTATCAACAGTTACATAAGGGAGTCCTGTTGAGAATCCAAACGCGGCTATACAACACGCTCAGCTAGTCGACATGCTCACCAATGTCGATTTTGAGTTCGCTGATATCCAAGGTTGTTGCTCTGCAGGGTTTTCCCTAGTGTGGGGGAGATACCGGGGAAAAATCTGGATCCGAGATGACGGAGTTTTGTGGTAGCGACCATTAATCATCGCGTATCGCATATGCAATTGCCAGTAGACAAAGCAAGAGGTCTTACCGCTAGTTGATTGGGGGTGCATGTCGGCTTCGAGAACCATCGACGAGTTCAGAGAGAACACCTAAAATTTCTCCCAAGATGTATTCAGGACACGAAATCTGGATCCAAAACATACGATGGCCCTCAGTGAGCACTTGAAGGGGAGCAAGCCATGCTACACGTTCATCAATGAGAACGACGTAGGAGGTGGGGTTTGCGCATGTTGTGGTGATAGGCTTCGGAAAGTACTTTGGCATTCATGGTAAGAATTAGAAATGTTGAAAAAGACCGAGAAAGAGGTTTAAGTTGTTTCAGGACTTGCGGTGACGGAGCTTGTCACCGTTGTACTAAATATCACGTGATCAGTACGCATGCTGTGACGCAGCGCATCCCTACCCTCCCTCCAGCATCTTTTTTTTTTTTTGAAGTCTTCCACGTAGGGTGTATTTTAGACGTACTCCAAATACACAAAAAATAGGGTGTTCGATCACAGTCCCTTGGAGGTAGGCTACACCTAAACGACCCTCCTCATCATCCCATCCCTCGACCCGCCGCCTTTGGTTGAAGCCCCATTGGGCGCCGAAGCTTCCAGCTGTTGAGACAGTTGGTGAGAGCTGACCAGTTTCCTTGCAGTTCGCCGAATCTAAACAATCAAGGGCTTCATGGTGTTAGTCCTTCCCAGCATTGGGCGCTGAAGCTTCCAAGCTGTCAGTCGCCTGCATGGTTGGTGTGCCAGGCCAACACCATTGATGGGGGCAGCACATGTAGGTGCTAAGTACCCCTAACGAGATTGGATGGTTTGGAAGTGAAATGTTGAAACGAGTGACTCTGCCTTCCACTATGCCTTCCGCCCTCTGATACAACCCCACCCGCTTTCCTCCCCCATTTCCCAAACCCTAAGGCACGCATCCTGTAGCATCCCCCTACCATGCAAAGGCGGTTGAATATCTAGTGTTTCTCCCCAAGGGGTGTAGCCGGATCATAGGCAACACGGCTGATGATTGGAGACTAGCCTCCTCCCTCCATGGGTTGCCTTCCATGACTAGGTTGCGCCCCCGAAAGGTCTGCGCGAAGCAGAGCAAGATGGTACATGGGCTGCCTGTCAAGTAGGGCCATCAGTTGCGCTTTGAGATTGTTGTAAACAAGGTCTTCGGGCCTCCAACAAAGCGATTGGGATACAACCACGCCGAAGTCGCGATCTTCTCCGATAAATAAGAAAAGATATTAGTTTAATGAATAGATAAGGAATCAGGCGATGAGTGGGGCCCGATGGAGGACGATGCTGATTAATGAGAGGAGTTCGGTAGTGTAGAGCGCGGCCATGGTGGGGGCGACGAATTCCCACGGCCAGATGGTGATGATTCAAAATCAAGAAGCGTCGCCTCCCTCCAGCATCGAACCCATACTTGGCACGCCTACGTGTTCTGTCATAACCACAATCCCCAATGTTACATTTAACCAAGAATTCCCTACGTACTTATATGTACTTACATTGCACAATGAGATAATGATACATATGCCGCTACAACAGGTCCACAAAACAGAGTGTCTACTTAAACATCGTTAACGTCAAGGACAATGCGGCCGGCAATCTTGCCCTTGGCCATATCGTCGTATACCCTGTAAGATAACAAAGGTAAGACGAGTGCTGAGATGAAAAGGATACAAAGCAACGTACTGCTCAATGTCCTTGAGCTTCTTCGTTTGATAGTGGCACTTGACGGCACCAGAGGCGGCGATTTCGATGGCTTCAACAGCATCTTGACGGTTGCCAACATATGAACCGTGGATGGTGATGCTCTTGAACACCGTGAAGAAGATCGAGGCATCGAGGGTTGCGGTGGAGGGGAGACCGACGGCCATTAAGTGACCGTTCTGGCGCAAGTAGTCAATAGCCTGAGTATACCCCGAGGGCTGCACAGTGATGTCAGTAAAGCGTCACATCGAACAAGAGGGATGACGTACCGAGGCAGTGGTGACAACAGCAGCATGCGCTCCGCCGTTAGTGACCTTTTTGATTTCGCCAACAATGTCCTTTGTAGTGGTGTAGTCGATCCAGTGGTCGGCACCGAGGGCGAGACAGAGCTTGCGCTTCTCCTCACCTCCGTCGATGGCGATGACGCGGCGACCCATGTACTTGGCGTATTGGACGGCAAGATGGCCAAGTCCTCCACCAGCCCCAGGGAGGACAACCCAATCGCCGGCGCCGGTTTCGCTGTACTTCAGAGCACGGTATACGGTAACACCCTGTACAGTCGATTAGCCCAAGTGAAAATAGACAAAATTCATGGTGATACACACAGCACACAAGATAGAAGCTGCCGCGGCACTTTCAAGGTTGTCGGGAATAGGGGTAACACAGTTCGTGTAGGAGACCTGTTGCATCGTTAGTTCGCAATCCGATGTCGACAAGGTTGAAGACAGACCAGATATTGCTGGAAGGTTCCGTCGACAGTATAACCACTGAGTTTGACGTTCGCGCAGGCTAGAGAGGAGATGTCAGAGTGACTTGGAGTAGCAAGAGATGCATCACGTACTTTGCTCATAACCCTTCCGGCATTGTTCGCAGTTGAGGCACGAGTACGCGATCCACTTAACACCGACGCGCTGGCCGACCTGGACGGGGCTGTTGATAGTACCCTCGCCGATCGCGACAATGTCTCCAACACCTTCGTGACCACCGATGAGAGGCGTCATGGGCTTGACGGGCCAATCACCCGTCGCGGCGTGAAGGTCGGTGTGGCAGACACCAGTGCAGTGAAGCTTGATCAGACATTCACCGGGGGCGAGTTGGGAGGGTAGCTTGACGGGATGGTCCTTGATATGAACACCACTGCCTTCGGAGGCGACGATGGCGACCTTTTGCGTTGCTGGGACGTTGGCCATTGGTTTCGGAGCAATCGTGTACGTAGAACAGAGTCTAAGAGGGAGTGCGCGACGAAGAGAAGTCCTTCTAAGCGTAAGAGAAGTGAGTTGGGCGGTTCTAGCGGAGCGAAGCATCTGGGGTGGGTTATATACCTCTCAGATGGGTACATCGGAACGAGCTTTTGACATTTTCCTTCTGAGACACTCGGCCAGGCTCTGAGACAGTCCACTCTGGACTCCTGACTGAGCCCCATAAGCAAGATACGATAAGAATCGCTCCCCGTCGCTGTTTCGCTGAGATATGGAAGGGGTACGCATGGTGGTGGTGGTAAAGTCTTGACCCAGGGCCTGGACACTCTCAGGGCCCACATCCAAAAAAGGCGAAGACCGAGGTTGCGATTCCACCGACTCCAAATTTAGCTCATTCGCTTGGGTCATCCTTGAGTCGGTACGTTTGCGGGGCCCCGCATTACGGACAGCGAAGCAGCAACGCACCGCCAAAGACCGTGCATCCGTTGCCAAGTCTGCTTTCTTTCCCCTTTTACTGTACTTCAATTATCGAATTCCGCGATGTAAAGGAGGTCTCCTGACTACATTCAATGTCATACGGGACAGAAAGGATCAAATTTGGCCCGTTCATGGACAAAACGGTGACTTTTTTAACATCCATTCCGCTGAATATGGGATTTGGCGCCCTCCATCGTCCCGAGAGAACCGAATTTTCAATTCAGAATCAGGGGTAACCCCCTCTTTCCCCACATCTCTTATTTGCCGACCCCCACAGAGCTGACATATTCATTCCCTCGGAGCTCCAGATCCATCTTCTTCCATTCATTTTGAGAGATACGATCCGAGGCTCGCGTGGCCGTCGATTCCGAATGGTCACTTCCATAGCACCGCTGGAGTAATTATCTTCCTGCTCAACCCGCAGCATTCACATCTCTGGTAGCGTTGAATGGAGGTTTGAATTACCACCAGAATTACTAGGCGTTCTATGATACGTTCTGCCCCGAGGAATTTATCGCGCTCTCCGACGGCACAAACCACGGATTTCATGACAAAGTAGCAAATGTCAGTGAGCCGGCTATCCAAGGAGTTGAAGTCCGCACCTATCACCTAAACTATACGGCCAATTTCAAGCTACCAGAATGGATAGATAGGACATGAAGAGAAGGAACGCCGTCATTGGAATACATCCGTCTTTTGCACCCAATGCTTAACCCACAGTGGCTCTGGCGTAATATGGGGCGCCGGTCGTCAGACCTCACGGAGACAATAAAGAGCTAAAAAAAATTTCATACAAACTATATGAAGAACGAAGGTCGGCGATTCGCAGTTACATATATTTAGCAACAACTGCAATTTTGGACTCCTGGCAGGCATCCTAGCGATCCGATTGGAAGAGAAAGGATCTAGTAAGTATATTGTGGCGCAAGTCTTGATGAGGGCCCGGCCGGTGCCTCGAACACCACCGGCTATTGTCTGTATAAACATACGAAGTAGCTTGTAAATTGTCACATTAAATTCGTTCAGCCCATCTTGGCGGTAGCCTTCAAGATGTGTTCGCCAAGATATCACTCTTGAGTGGGCGTTCGGCATTTGCCGATCGCACTTGGAAAGTTTCCATCCTCCACGAGGTGCACCACATGGTCCAAAACTAGGGCATTTCGACGGTTATCCGGCGGGAACTTGTTCAGAAAAGATGATTGGGGTCTATTCTTATGTCTCATGTAAAAAAAGAAATAGAATATTGAGGGTGCAACGAGAAAATCGCCAACTCGGCCTCCTGGCCGTTTTCCACCGTTTATTCGTTTCTGGGCCGTTTTCCTCCGTTCTTTTTGGGTTCGGAAGATGCAAAACAGCTGATGAGAGTGGGATTCGAACCCACGCCCTTTCGGACCAGATTACGTAATCATTTTGCACGCTTTTTTTGGACATTTTATGTCCTGATCCTTAGTCTGGCGCCTTAGACCGCTCGGCCATCTCACCTGTAATATAAGAGGTAAATTTAGTCCTTAGAGCTTGTCTCAACTGTCTGGAGGTTCTTTCAGCCTTATTACCTCGAAATATCCGCCTCAAGAATGGAGGAAAAGCTCAGGGGGCCGGGTTGATGTCATCCAGGTGAGTGTCTTATTGATGATTGTAACCGTTGCTCTCGTGCTGGTCTACATCCCTATCATCCTACAATGTAAACGCTTAGACGCTGTGCCGTTGCGCCAATATGCAAGCTATTCTGAGAGGCGAGAAGTGTGCTGTGCATTCCCAGAACTTCGGGGACAAGGAGGGTGCTTATCTAATTTGTGTGGCGCACGATCAGTCACATCCTGGCTCTCGATCACAGACTCAGCTACCCACCACGCACCCAGTATGTAGCTCTCGGGGGAGGTGGCGAGAATTTGACGCAGCTTATCTTTTTGATCCACAGTAATGAATGGAGTCCTTGAAGAAGCCCGTCCCTGTCTGGCTCTGGCCACGCAAATTGGTGTTCGTCGATCGAGAACAATCCGAGGTGACGCGAACCAGGCGTTTATTTTGGTGAAGGTGGTATTAATGCATTCCGTTGATGTCGAGTGCCTAGGAACTGATACGACTTCGTAGAAGAGTCGAGAGAGTGCTATTAATATCCTCCCTTGTAGTACAATTCGTGCTCTGATCGACAGAAAAATTTCTACTACTACACTATTTTACAATCATGGAATGGGTACTAGACTAAGAGAAGAAATTCTCTGTTTAGTGGTTCTGAAATTTGTGCGGCGTGTAGACAGGGATCAAGCATTCGGGCAACCGGGATCAAACGTCAGTACTTCAGTCCGCTCTCCATCGGTCCCGATGCACGCACGCCTACGCAATGCCCTCATGAAAGGGTTCGGAACTCTCTGGCCTCTGTGAGCTCACACTAATGTTACAGGACCGTACTTTCACTTCCAGGGACGTGTACCATCGAGCTCTAGACCTGTCTACCTATCGCCGTGCGCCACCGGCATTGGTCTACACTGTACACGCGTCAGCCGACATTATCCCGAGCCTATCGCAGATAACGCTTCGACCTCGAGACTCGGGAAATTGGTACGAAAGTGCCCAGCCGCTGTTCGAGTACGAGGCTATGAGCATTGATCTTGAAGGTTCGAGTGAGGCCATGAAAATCTCGTCAGTGAAGTAAGCCGTTCCAGAGCCCCTCAGTGAGCACTCCATCGCGGTCATAGTAATAGTTGTGTTCATAAAGCAGAGTGCACGTGTGATGTGATCCTATTGCTTTGGGGAAGTCTAGACCATTTCTCGGAGAGTCGGGCCGCACACCTTAAGCGCCCGTGGAGGCGTCGTCGGTGCTGGCGGCTGTCAAGCAAGTCCCGGGACCCTCTCTAGAATCCTGATCACAGAAGCACAATTGTTATCAGGGAATCGTCTCGAGTATCTCAACGCCCAATTTTTATACGGAAAATATCTCGGACCTTGATATTTGGAGCAGATTTTCTCCCCCGCTTCGCGGGCCTCTGCGACATTTTCAGGCGTTTCCCCTTAAATTCCGCACATTTTCAAATATGCCACGTAGCTGGACAAAGCCCAATGTTATCTGGACGGTCCTGTGGCCTTCGCCCATATCTTTGTGATGTTATCCGGAAATGGATCAGTAATCTAGTAGTGCTTTCGGGGGTCAAGACCCCCATGAAGGATAAGCTGTCACATCCGATTATAGACAAGCAGCCACCCGACACTGTAACTTGTGCTTGAACCAGAAGTGCGGGAAAAGGGTGTGGGACAGGTTCTATGCAATTTAGAAGACAAGAGTCGAGGTCAAGGTATTGCCGTCTCTGCGGTTGTGCCTCTTTCCCGGGAAGAAGGGACTGGATGCTAAGCGCGCGTCTTTTGCACATATTTCCGCTATCGTTTGCTCCAAACCAGACTTCCCTGAGCCCGCGGATCCATGCATGAACATCAACGAAGCAGCTGCCGGGGTAGAAGTTGCAAGGCTCCGATCATCCATATCTGCCGCTACCTGTATTAAGAACAGCCAGTCCTATCAAATCGACGACGGTGACTATACCTCTATAATGAAGCAGATCCCTCGACTTCGTGTACGTCTGTTTGTACGTTTGCTCGTGCCCGTTTTCCCGTTTCGTCTCTCCTCCCTCAGACACTTTACTGTTCTACCCCTAGGTCATCAGGCAATGTCCTATCCTCGATTCCCCTCAATGCTTCTTAATTTTTTCTCTTCCCCTCCTATTCCTTTAGTCTATGTGTCCTTATTTCCTAGAGTATTGCATGACGGACAATTAATACTGTACCCTACACACCGTTGTAACTTTTGATCCTCTACTTCCCTGCTCCTCTATTCCCTTTCTCTCCCTCCACATGCGTTCATCTTCATCTCTCATCCTCTGTTTTTTTCTCCTTTCACATAAGCACTCATAAGCGCCTGCTCGGCTGCACTGCGCGTGTCTATCGCGTCAACTCTGCTCTTTCACATGTGCCATAGGCTTGCCTTTCCGAGTTCCATTAGCCCCAGACTTTAGTCTCTTGAGATCCCACCCTTACAAAACGTCAACTTTCGATGGTATGACACAGGGCTAGGTTCCGCATATTCTCAAGCCGCCAGTCTCCATGTCAAGCCTTGAGTTTCGTTCATTTTGGCGCCGTGGTCCTCTAGGAATTCGAGTTTCATCCGAAATTATTCTTCTGAGATTCTGCTCAGTGGCGGATTTTGTTTATGGCCGAAGCGAAGCGAGGCAAATATCTTGTGTTTTACTGAATAAAATGCAATGAAGCAATGAGGAGTCTTTTTATTCTTGTAGTGTACTGAATAATGTCTCGAATCAAGTTATCCCTTGGAAACAATGAATATCGAGTACGCGAAACTCAATATATTCGGCATTCAAGCCTCACGGATTTTGGATTACCATCGGCGTGAGAGATAGGAAATGAACGTGGCAGTCTCTATCTTTAGGGGCTCTGAAAGTCCTTAGTTAATGTCCTAGCAGAAGCAGATAAACGTTGAGGTGTTCGCGCTACGATGGCTTTAATATTTAAATGCTCAACAGGCACTTCAGCTGGCAACAAATAAATCTTTTTTGGAGCTAGGAAGAGCTAGGACTCGGAACGAAAGAGGGACCTGTCTCGTGGACAATGCTTGTCCCCACTTGGTGACTTCGTGGGTCGTAATCTTCAGCCGTTGCTCCTTTTGACTCGTACCATTACATTGATTGAGCATGAGTCCCAGTGTAGCAGTGGTGTATGAGTGGGGCATCGGTCCCACTGCGCGAAGGACTCGAGAACGCTGTGAGCTTGTCAAAGAAAATTCCCACTCGAAGGCCGACAGTTCGCGTATGTCCGCAGCGCATAAGTCAAAGTCCGAGTCGGAGACACCCGTGTGGCGCACTTGGAAGCGTGATCAGCAGACCGAGCCGCTCAGCCTGCTTCTACGTACGAATACGGTAGCCCTGACCTTCGAAGCTTTGCAAACGCGTCAGTACTGACGTCGTCGGTCGAAAATTGCGTAGATGCTCAGAGTAGAGGTCGTGCGGGCGCCGGCTTAGTCCGGTTGTTCGCGTTGACATGGGGTCCATGCGCCGTTGGGTATTACCCATAAGTGAGGTGAGAAGTGAAGATGATACGACTCTGGTAGAAGAAAAATGATCATGGCGTTCGCAGATACACGCTGTGCAGGTGCACTCCCTCCCTAATGTTTTGTCTAACATCCAGCAACCCCTCCAGGAGCAAGTTCGTCACTGCCCACACGTAATCGCGCATCCTTCATCCTTTCACTTTCCGTAACCACCCCTTCGATTTCACATATCTCAACGCGTTGGGAAAACATGGCTTCGAGTGGAGCACAAGGCTCCAAGGGCTATAATTAAATATATAATTAACGTCGGTTCGAAGGGTGGCACCCTCGAGTCGGGTCAGCCGAGATCGTTGAGACCAGTGCTCTCTGGTATTTCGTAGTTCGCGTCGGCTTCGTAGGGCAGGAACTGGAAGGTGGATATCGAGGCCTGGCAATGGGTCAGGAGAGAGGCGACGCAGCTCCTGCCAGCGCCCGTGCCATGTGGACCGACTTCGGCTCCCGGGAAGCTTGAAACTTGAATACACCCTCGTTTTTATTCAGGCTCAATGCCGCGGCGCTATAATGGTCCTGTAGTATACATACCATACCATCCCTGTCAAATGTGAATGTACTGTGAATCGCAAAAGCATGTGAAGTTTGGAGTGACATACGTCCAGTTTAAAATAAGTATGGGAGGATCGTCGCACGCCCAAAAACTCTCGAGCAGGGGTCGAAGCGATCCTTTGTCGTCATTTCGTACGTACGTGTCGGATACCCATTAAATAAAGTGTATGTGTTGACTGCACCCGCGTTGTGCCATATGCTGCGTTTTCGTGGAGATCAGTGAACCTGAGAAGAAGAGGCACGTTGACAAACGAATTGGTATTGGGAAGAAGAAAGAAGGGACAAGGCGAAGGCGCCTCAGAGACACGGAGACATACTCAATAACTCTGCCCTGAGGAACGACAAAAATACGAACGCGTGGTCAACGACATGGGCCATTGACTTAAATCCGGAGCGTCCGAGCCCTGGGAGGATTGTTGCCTGTCCCCTGGAAATTCTCTTCTTGTGAAGTCAATTGATCCCTCCCACTGTCATTATTTCGTCATTTCGTACGTATGCATTCAGTATATCGTCACGGACCCGCAGGATGAGAGGGTGCTCACCACGCCTTCACACGCGCGTTCGCAGTTTTGAATTTGAGGGGTGCCATTGGCACACGATTGTTGACCCGGGTCCGCTCCTATTAATAGTGGTGCGTCGGCGTTTAATTCGAGCGTCGCGAGGTCCTCCCAAGTCCGCGTTCGTTCGACACGCGATCGTCAGCCGAGAGCACCTGTTGACCGTTAACCGTTGGCGAACGGAAAGACTGGGATTGGATTTTCGGGCTTGTCCAATGCGAGCACGGATAGAGAAGGAAGGGGCAAGACGCCAGAACGCGCTATAGTATGTACGCAGCGTCCAAGTAAACGTGTTGTGCAGTAAGGAAGTAACCGCCTAAGCAAGTGATTTGTGAATCACGCTTGCACGTATTTCGAGTGCTGAGTGAAGACTGAGCTGATCCTTAGCGAGATGAATGAAACCAACGATCCAATGAACGAAAATTTTAGGGGTTAGCGCGTGTACACAGCAGAGACTGAACTCGCAACCGAGTGTCCAAGTGCTCACTGTCGTCACGCGTAAGTATTGGTTGAGCGTTCGTAGAGGCTTGGAGCGGTCGCCCGCACTAGGACAAGGTGGTCGAGATTGCAGTCGGAGGCGCCCAGAGAAAGTTAAGGAAAGGTATATACTTACTAGGCGAGGACGAGGACGAGGATGCCCAATGGTGGGCAGGATCCGCGAGGAGAGGCGCCAAGTAATCGAGAGCGTATAACATGGAGGTTATGTAAGGACTGCAGCCTGCAGGCCCAGGTAATTGTAATCTTGGTGTTGGCAAGAATGGGGGTCGAAGCTGAAGGTGGATCAAGGGATCAGGAGATCAAGCTCAAGCTTCGAGTGCGCCGGCGGAGGGGTGGTGCTCGAAGGAAAACTTTTCGAAGTCGATCCCACATGAGCGATTTGAGCTGTCCGATGTCCAGCGATGGGATGTCTTCGAGTCGTTCAAACTTGAAAGAGAACATGACTTTCCTTCCTCGTATAGCGACAACGTTAACAACAGGCCTCCAGGTGACGGTACTCATGCCTCAGGCCTTAGGAGCCGTCGTAAGTAGTAATCCTTCCACATCCAAGCTCGCGTGTCCACTTCTACTCTTCTCCTGTTCTCGATCGCGAACCCAGAGGAACTAGAAGCCCCCAAGTACGGAAACAAGAGAGTCGGCGGGGGGCGAGAAGTGGGTACCGAGGATAGGTCAAGCCGGCCGAGTGTGCTTGGGGGGTATGTAAGTATGTTATGCAGGAGATTGCAACGACATGCCGCAGGGTTTTGATTGATGAAGGCTACGCCGTCGATGATAGTTATTAGTAGGATCGATGATGGTTGTGTACGATTCCTGGAGGGAGAATTGGGGTGGGCGCGAGGGGGCGCGTTTGTCGTGCAAAGACACTAAAGAAATCGCTGGGGTGCACGACATGTTAGACTCTAGCGCGGCACACGAGCACGAATCGGCAATCATGCTTTATGTAGAACGCGCTGAGGACAAGGGGGGCTAGACTGCGGAATGCGAAGCGAATCAGAGGCAGGTGTTGGTGAAGGTCTTCTCTCACTGGTCAGTGGATGGACAGGCGGAAAGGTCCCGGGTCCAGGGATAGGTTCGAGTTCGAGCTTCTGTGAGGCGCTGTTAGATGGTGACACTGCCGGCAGCTCCCCGGCTCGAGAAGGAACAAGGAGGCAGACCAGGGAACGAAGGCCGTTCGTTGGTGAAAAGTCTTGTAAAGTCCGGAGGGATCAACGGGAGTAGCTGGGCGATGACGTACACGAGGACGCCGAGCCAATGGGAAGCTCCGGAGGGGAGGGCCGCGCAGGGCCGAGGATGCCGGGCGCTGCTCGCGCGGCGCCAATGTGCCAAGGCCGCCGTGCAGACGATTGGTTGCTCCTTCTCCTCGGACGCGCGGGTCGAGGGGGGCGCGTTGGGCCGCTAGATGCCCCAGGCGGCACGGCATGGAGCTCGAGCCCCCCAGGGTGGTCCCAGAACGCGAAGCATCGAGCGGCGTTGTGCACTGTGAAGAAGAAGAGGTGGAAATGAGACTTGGGAGGGCCCTTGGGAGTGGTTGGCAGATGATGGCCTCGACCGGGTGGGAGGCAGTGGGAGATCTAGGCCTGGTCGGGTGGCGACCAATCAGAGGGGAATGGGGTGGCCGCTGGGGATGCCGAAGGTGGAGCAGCGCAGCGCAGAGTCGCCCACCGATGGTTTCCCCGAGCTAGCCAGACGGTGTTCCCACGGTATGACGTCACGGCCAGCGCAGAGGCCGGGCGAGGAGAGGCAGCGGCGAGTCGGAGGAGTGAAGGAGATGGAGGAGAGAGATGCGTGCCGGAAAAGGAAGTGGGGTGTGTTCATCTCGGCATGGAGTGTCACGAACAACGGGCTTTATTTTTTTCTGCCAGTGCCTACTCGCTGGGACGCGCGCTATATGGCTCAGTCTGCCTCTACATGCATCCATCCAGCGACTTCCCGCCCCCCTCCGACGATGCTATCGAGGCAATCATCCAGCACGCAATCTCCTCCCGCCCGTCCCCAGACCCTCGCCCCATGAGGGACACCCGCACTCAGCTCTTCGTCGGCAACGTACGTCCCCCGTCGTTCCATCTGCCACCACCCCTCTCATAACCCCCCCCTAGCTCCCATTCCGTGTACGCTGGCAGGACCTCAAGGACCTCTTCCGCAAGGCCGGCACCGTCCTGCGCGCCGACGTCTCTCTCGGGCCAGACAACCGTTCCAGGGGTTACGGCACCGTCCTCCTCGCCACCGCAGAGGACGCAGGTCGTGCCGTCGACATGTTCAATGGCTATTCCTGGCAGACGCGCGTCCTCGAGGTCCGCCTCGACCTCCTCCCCGACATCGAC